CCAAGGACTTGGCCCGTTCTCCGCTGCCTTCTCAGGCCATGAGCAGGGACTGGATGGCAGGAGCTGCAGCCGGGGCTTGAACCAGCACCCACATGGAATGCTGGTGTTACAGCAGAGGATTAGCCCACCGCACTTCCATGCTGGCACCTGGGTCAGCCGCACGACCGACACCTGCTCTCTCCCATTTCCTGGACCTTTTGCCCTGTTGACAGTGTTTTTGATACACATGTTTAAGTTTTCAGGAAGTCCCACTTGTCTTTCTTCCCTTTTGTTGTCTTTGCTCTCTGTGTCACAGATCCAGTGTCCTAAGTATGTGTTGCTTGTTTTCTTCCAGGAGTTTTGAAGTGTTAAGTGTTAGTTATTGTCGTGGACCCATACAATTGTGTGTTGGTGTGTTAAGGGCCAGCTTCACTGTATGTTGCATGCACTGTCACGCTGCAGATCATTGCACTCATACTGTCAATCACTGTCACTCACCCTGTCAATCACTGTCACTCACACTGTCAATCACTGTCACTCACACTGTCAGTCACTGTCACTCACACCATCAATCACCGTCACTCACCCTGTCAATCACTGTCACTCACACTGTCAATCACTGTCACTCACACTGTCAATCACTGTCACTCATACTGTCAATCACTGTCACTCACTGCAAATCACTGTCACTCATACAGTCAATCACTGTCACTCACACTGTCAGTCACTGTCACTCACACTCAATCACTGTCACTCACACTGTCAATCACCGTCACTCACACTGTCAATCACCGTCACTCACCCTGTCAATCACCGTCACTCATACTGTCAATCACTGTCACTCACACTGTCATCACTGTCACTCACCCTGCAAATCATTGTCACTCACACTGTCAATCAGTGTCACTCACCCTGCAGATCATTGTCACTCATACTGTCAGTCACTGTCACTCACACTGCCAATCACCGTCACTCACCCTGTCAATCACCATCACTCATACTGTCAATCACTGTCACTCACACTGTCAGTCACTGTCACTCACACCGTCAATCACTGTCACTCACTGCAAATCACTGTCACTCATACTGTCAATCACTGTCACTCACTCTGTCAGTCACTGTCACTCACACTGTCAATCACTGTCACTCACACCGTCAATCACTGTCACTCATACTGTCAATCACTGTTAGTCACCCTGCAGATCATTGTCACTCATACTGTCAATCACTGTCACTCACACTGTCAGTCACTGTCACTCACACTGTTGATCACTGTCATACTGTCAGTCACTGTCACTCACACTGTCAATCACTGTCACACTGTCAATCACCGTCACTCACACTGTCAATCACCGTCACTCACCCTATAAGTGTTAGTTATTGTCGTGGACCCATACAATTGTGTGTTGGTGTGTTAAGGGCCAGCTTCACTGTATGTTGCATGCACTGTCACGCTGCAGATCATTGCACTCATGCTGTCAATCACTGTCACTCACCCTGTCAATCACTGTCACTCACCCTGTCAATCACTGTCACTCACACTGTCAATCACTGTCACTCACACTGTCACTGTCACTCACACCATCAATCACCGTCACTCACACTGTCAATCACTGTCACTCACACTGTCAATCACTGTCACTCATACTGTCAATCACTGTCACTCACCCTGCAGATCATTGTCACTCATACTGTTAATCACTGTCACTCACACTGTCAGTCACTGTCACTCACACTGTCAGTCACTGTCACACTGTCAATCACCGTCACTCACCCTGTCAATCACCGTCACTCATACTGTCAATCACTGTCACTCACACTGTCAATCACCGTCACTCACACCGTCAATCACTGTCACTCATACTGTCAATCACTGTCACCCTGCAGATCATTGTCACTCATACTGTCAGTCACTGTCACTCACACTGTCAATCACCGTCACTCACACTGTCAGTCACTGTCACTCACCCTGCAGATCATTGTCACTCATACTGTCAATCACTGTCAGTCACACTGTCAATCACTGTCACTCATACTGTCATCACTGTCAGTCACCCTGCAGATCATTGTCACTCACACTGTCAGTCACTGTCACTCACTGTCACTCACCCTGCATATCACCGTCATTTTGTAGTATGTGCTGAAATCGGAATGTGTGAGACGTCCAGGGTGGGACTGCTTCAAGATTTTTATAGCTGGTCACGGTTTCTTGAAATTCGACACGGGTTAACCTGGGTTTTTAATTTCTACAGAAGAATCACTGGGACTTTGATCAGAGATTGTGTGGATAGATTAGTGGGGTAGATTGTTGTCTTAATAGTATTAATCCTTCCACTCCATGGATGTGAGTTATCCTTCCCTTGAAGTGTCTTGTGGCCCCTGAGTTCCAAGGGTACTAGCTGAAATTTTATTATTTTTGATGCTGCAGAAAATGGAATTCTTCATCTGTTCACTGTTAGTGTGTTGAACTGCAGCTGATTTTGTATACTATTACATTGCTAAATTTGATTATTAATTATAATACCTTTTATGGACCATTCCAGACTTTCTACATGTAAGATCGCATCATTGGCCAACAGACACCATTTTGTGTCTTCTTCCAATTTGGATATTTTCTACTCCTTTTCTTGCTAGGTTGTGGCTGGGAATTACTATGTCATGTGAAATAGAGTGCAGGCATCCCCCTTTACCCTGACCCTCACCACAGGAGATGACAAGCTGGGGTTTTTCCTGCAGTCGGTAATATGCTACAGTCATTTTTTCTTCTAGCATATTTTTGAGGAATTTTTTTTAAATCATAGAAGGTGCTGAGTTTTGTCGGATGCTTTTTCTGCCTCAGTTGAGATGGCCATGGGGCTTTTCTGCCTCATCCTGACCATGTGATAGGTCACATTAATCCTTTTTCGAACGTCGAGAGCCATCCTTGCATTATGGATCTCACGAGGCCAAGTGTACCCTGCTAACATCCTTTTGAACTTGGTCTGCTGGACTCTGGCCAGAGGATTTTACATCAGGGCTCACAGGCATGTCAGTCTCAAATTTTTCTCCTTCCTAACATTGGCTTTTGTTCAGATAAGGCTGGCCTTCCAGGATGGGTCAGTGTTCCCTTGCCTGAGCCCCTTCTGAAATCCAGCAGGGGTTGGTATGAATCCTGCTTTGAATGGCTGGTGGACTTCACTGTGAGGCCGGCAGACCCAGGCCTTCTGCTCGATTTTTATCTGCCAATCTCAGGGCTGTTCCGGTCCCGCCCATGTCTTCCAGCATGCAGCTGTTCACGGTCCTCTCTCACAGCCTTTTGTTCCGGGGAAGTAGCGGCAATCATCTGCTGGTGCTTCTTCCTGCAGCCTGTCTTGCTAACTGGTTCTTGCCGGTACTCTCTGTTTCATCTCTAACCATGGTTGTCCTCTCCCATTGCCAGCCTTGTGAGCTTGTTTTGTTTCCTTAAGCTGGATTCAAGATCCTTCATGGTTTTATAGATGTAGGAACACAGATAGCCAGGAGACAAGGGGGAAAGGAGTTGTTAGGAAAGACCTGCAGGTGTGCAGGGAGGCCACCATGAGGCCCGAGCTGAGTGCGGTGACCGTGGCGGGGTGGGGGTGGTCATGGGCCAGCCTGAAAGGGCAGGGGTCACACCTGCTTGGTGTCATGAATAAAAGCCATGCCTAGCCAATGCCTGTTTGGGCTCCCCAGCTCATCGCCCTTCCCAGGCCCTGCGTCCCCCACATCACCCCTTCCCCTTGCACTGCGTCCTCCCCATCCATCTTGTAGGCACTGTTCTGACCTCCAGTCTGCATGGCACAGGCTTGTCACTGAACAGTATGGTGCCCTATCTGTCCTCACAGCCGGGCCACACGATCCTCTGAGCGTCCAGTGTTGGGTTCCTTGGCCCTCTCCTTTTGTGCTCACCGTGTGTGTCTTATGGTTTTTGCTTACTTGACTTTATCGGTTCTTGTCCTGCTGAGATTGTGGGAGTCATGTGTCTGTCGGAGCTCATCTGTTCTGAGGCCATTAGTCTTGCACACAGGACCAAGTTAGCCAGGCAGCCAGCCTCACGTCCGCTTGTTCTCATTTTTACCACTCTCCATCTAGAACACCGTGTGACAAGGTGGCATTTTGCTTAGCTGTTCATTGCTGCATAATAAACAACCTCCATGGGGAGGGAGGGCAGGAGGGGTGGATAGCAGTGAGCGTATTTTCTCATGGCTCTTTCAGTTCAGGTTGGGTCCATGCTCTGCTTGGCTTCCACGCTCAGAAGGGTCAGCATGCCAGCCAGGTCCCGGTCACTAGAATCTGTACTTGGGCTGTAGGACTGGCCTCTGTACTGGCCTCGCAGGGCCAACTCAAGTGTCTTCCCGAGGGGCGGCCCTATATCCCTCGTGACCCTGTCTGGGCACACCATACACCATCACTCCGGTGACACAGGCCAGGCATGGGTCAGTATGGAAGGACCACAGGATGTGAGACCCTCTGGGGACGAAGACAACTGGACCCCCTGGAGGGCTCGTGGCCTATCCTGGTGCCACTGCTCCTCTTGGCCACCATGGGGAGGACACTGCTTTCAGCTGGCCCAGCTGGTCCAGCTGGTGCTGGACAGGAAGCCAGGGTGGCCACAACTATCCGGCTGATGCTCAGCCCAGTATCTCACCCCAGATATACACCCAGATCCTGTGCATGGGGAGGGAACTGGAGCAGAGGAACAGGGACTGGCCAAGGTCACAGTCAGATTCCAGGAGTCCCTCTTGGCTGAAGCCAGCATCCACTCCATTCCTGCCTCTGGTGCAGACCCAAGCGGGAAAGGGGATGCAGGTCCCTGGCATGTCCACCCCAAGGGGACTGTGCCAGTCTCCCAGCTACACCTGGGGGAACAGGGAGCCCGGAGAGCTAGCTGTGGGGCTGGGGCAGAGTGGGGGGCCTCCCAGGCCCAGCAGGCACGAGGAACAGTTTCCTGCCTCCTCCAGGAGGGTGGGGCCAAGCCCCAAGCACCCCAACCATGTCTACACTGGCTCCTTCTCCCATTGCAGGTCAGCGCCCACGATGCTGACCGTGCAGCAGGGCCCACTGCTGGGCCTCCTGCTCGGAGGCCTCCTGGGGACCCTCCACGCCCAGCAGCAGGAGGTTATCTTGCCTGAGACCTCCACCTCTGAGAGAACCAACAACTGCCCAGGTAACTGGAGGCGGGAACCCCACGACGTGCACTGCCCCTGCTCCACCTGCAGCGGGGCAGTCCTTGACAGCTCATGTCCCCCCAATCCCAGAGAAGGCCGACTGCCCTGTGAACGTTTACTTCGTGCTGGACACCTCGGAGAGCGTGGCTATGCAGTCCCCCACCGACAGCCTCCTGCACCACATGCAGCAGTTCGTGCCGCAGTTCATCAGCCAGCTGCAGAACGAGCTGTACCTGGACCAGGTGGCGCTGAGCTGGCGCTACGGCGGGCTGCACTTCTCGGATCAGGTGGAAGTGTTCAGCCCGCCTGGCAGCGACCGCGCCTCCTTCATCAGGAGCCTGCAGGGCATCCGCTCCTTCCGTAGGGGCACCTTCACTGACTGTGCGCTGGCCAACATGACTCAGGAGGTGCGGCGGCACGGGGGCCGTGGCGTGAACTTTGCCGTGGTCATCACCGACGGCCATGTCACCGGCAGCCCCTGTGGCGGCATCAAGCTGCAGGCCGAGCGGGCCCGCGAGGAGGGCATCCGGCTCTTCGCTGTGTCCCCCAACCGCAACCTCAACGAGCAGGGCCTGCGGGACATTGCTAGCACGCCCCATGAGCTGTACCGCAGCAACTACGCCACCATGCGGCCCGACTCCCCCGATATCGACCAGGACACCATCAACCGCATCATCAAGGTTATGGTGAGCACTTCACCGCCACACATGCACCCCATCTGCCACGTGCAACATCTCCCACCTGCACCCCGTCTGCCACCTGCACCTCATCTCCCACCTGCACCCCACCTGCCACGTGCACCTCATCTCCCACCTGCACCCCGTCTGCCACGTGCAACATCTCCCACCTGCACCCCGTCTGCCACGTATGCCCTCGCCACATGCACCTCCATTCCCCACCTGCACCCTGTCTGCCACGTGCGCCCACACCTACATGAGGAGCACCTCCCATCACTGCATGCACCTCCCCTTCATCTCCTTTGGCACCACGTGGGCCTGTGGACGCTGGGGCACACGGTCACCCGAATCTCTGTCTGGGTCTTTTCTGCAGAAACACGAAGCCTACGGAGAGGTGAGTAGCCGCCATCCTGCTGACCCCAGAGCTGCTCCCAAGTGCTAGCGGATAGCAGAAGGATATAGCAGCCCATTTGCTCGGCACTGGGGCCCTGGCCCTTGAGTCTGGGCAGATCTCCCAGTCAGAGCCAGTCTGTCCCAGCCCAGGATCACACACTCCCAGAACTCCGGTCTGCCAGAGAAGGCATCTGCTCTGGCCCTGCAGCCTTGGGGTGTGTATCCCAGCTACCAGGAAAGGGGCACAGGTGCCCGAGCTCCACGCCTCCTTAGCATGGCTGCTCACAAGCGTGGGCTATATGCCAACGGCCAATGCAGCCACACTCCCTGCCCTTCATTCTCCCATTGTGACTGCTTAACCCAGTGTCTTTTTCCAAAGAGTGTCCAGACAGCTGAGTGCACACTGAGCTGCCCGCCCTAGGTGTTGGGCAGGGGTCTCGGACCCCCTTCAGCCTGTTGATGCAGTTGGCACTCCCAGGGTCTGGGCCGTGTGTGTCCTCCACCCCGGCCTCGGCCGCCATCTCTCATTTCAGTGCTACAAGGTGAGCTGCTTGGAGATCCCTGGGCCGCCAGGCCCCAAGGGCTACCGTGGACAGAAGGTGAGCTTCCCAGTCCCCCATAGCAAGTTTCCTCCTCGTTCCCTTTAAAGTGGTATGGGAGGAAGGCTGGAGCTTGCTGAGAGTTCCAGCAGGCCATGCTAGAGGGGGTGGGCAAATGACAAGATGTGCTGCTAGCTCCGGGGCTTGCCCCCTGGTGAGAGTTACATGGAATGGACACGGCAAAATCCTTCCAAGCACAGTCAAGGGCCACAGCCCTGTGGGATTTCCAACCACCTCCCCAGGGCCAGAGGCCTCTGCAAAGAACTGGGACGGGAGGTTTCCACGTGGTCCTGCCTGGTCCTGAGAGGATCCTGGAGGAGGTGCCCACATGGTCGAGGCTGGTCCCGTGGAGCCACTGGGGGAGGCGCCCACGTGGTCCTGGCTGGTCCTGAGGGGACCCTGGGGGAGATGCTCAGAGGTGTCTATGGGGCACAGGACCTGCAGCCAACCCCGTCCGGCTCAGGCCACCACCTGCCATCCCACCATGGTCCATCCTCACATCCACCATCTGCTTTCAGGGTGCTAAGGGCAACATGGGTGAACCAGGAGAACCAGGACAGAAAGGGCGACAGGTGAGTACCCAAGCCCCAGCCCCACCCACCACTCCACTTCTCATGGCTTTGGGCTTACATGTCCCTTCTCCTTGTTCAGGGAGACCCCGGCATCGAGGGGCCCATTGGATTCCCCGGACCAAAGGTGAGTAGCTATGGCCACCACAGACTATGGAGCAGGTGCCCCCACCATGACCTTCCATGACCCAGTGATCATCCCAAACTCAGCATGAGACCAAGCTGTCTCCTCGGCGTCCCTGTGACTACCCTGTGCCCCTTCAAGTCCTCCCACCTGCCCTGTATCCCTCCCCAGACCCTCCCACCTGCCCTGTACCCACTCCTCAGACCCTCCCACCTGCCCTGTACCCCTTCAAGCCCTCCCACCTGCCTTGTACCCACTCCCTAGCCCTCCCACCTGCCCTGTATCCCTCCCCAGACCCTCCCACCTGCCCTATACCCACTTCCCAGACCCTCCCACGTGCCCTGCACCCACTTCCCAGACCCTCCCACCTGCCCTGCACCCACTTCCCAGACCCTCCCACCTGCCCTGCACCCACTCCTCAGACCCTCCCACCTGCCCTGTACCCACTCCCCATCCCTCCCATGTGCCCTGTATCCCTCCCCAGACCCTCCCAGCTGAACTGTACCCACTCCCCAGACCTTCCCACCTGCCCTGTACCCTTCCCCAGACCCTCCCACCTGCTCTGTGCTCCCCTCCCCAGCCCTCTCACCTGCCTTCTCCCAGCCCCTTCTGACGCCCCTCTCTCTGCACTCAGGGTGTTCCTGGCTTCAAAGGAGAGAAGGTATGTGGGGTCTGATCGGGGTCCCCCAGGGGCAGAGCCAGCCCTGGTGTCAGGCCCAAGGGAGACACCACTCTCTGTGATGCTGCTTTCTGCCCACATAGGGTGAATTTGGAGCCGACGGCAGGAAGGTAAGTGGGCAAGCAGGTGGGTGCCTTACCCCTGGGCTCCCAGACAAGGGCAGGGCTCACGGCACCCCTGTCTTCTCTCCCCAGGGGGCTCCCGGTCTGGCTGGCAAGAATGGAACCGATGGACAGAAGGTAGAGTGAGCTTGACCAGGCCATGTATGCTCCAGCACCCACAGCAGGGGCTGGGACACATCTAGGGCCCAGGATGAGAGCCTGGTTCAACCCTGACCTTCGCTTTCCTCTCCCAGGGCAAGCTGGGGCGCATTGGCCCTCCAGGCTGCAAAGGAGACCCTGGGAACCGGGTAACTGTGGCGGGCAATGGGCGGGGAGCCCCTTGGATTCTCCCGGCGTCCAGCAAGGGTGGGACCATGCATGGGGGATACCAATGGCTTCTGGGGCAGCCCAAGCAGCCATGTTCACCCAGGCCAGGCCATCGCAGCCTCTCAGAGCTGTGGAGTCAGTGCCTGGCCTTACCAGCGGGGCATTCATAGAGCTGGGGGGCTGGGGGACATCCACCCACCCTGGCTGCAGCACCCACTGGCTCCGGGGGCAGCTCTTACCCTCACTCCTCTCTCAGGGACCCGACGGCTACCCAGGGGAGGCAGGAAGCCCCGGTGAGCAAGGAGACCAAGGTGCCAAGGTAGGTGACCTGACCCAGGGTACTAATTCTGGGACCTCCTGCCCCTGCTTGGGGCCTGGAAGGGACACAGTCCTGGTGAGAAGCCCAGCAGAGGGCTAGCCCTGAGGCTGTCAGGGGCCCCAGAGGCTTGGGAGACCCTAACCACCCACCCTAGGATGGTGCAGAGTGACCGAGGCCAGGCATCCCAGGGAGCCTGAACAGAGGGTGTGGGGTTGGGGAGCTGCAGACTCGGTCCTGCCGTGGGTGGGAGAACGAAATCTCCACATCTTTCCAGGGGGACGCTGGCCGCCCAGGACGCCGAGGGCCCCCAGGGGACAGCGGGGACAAAGGAAGTAAGGTCAGTCGCCATGCCCCTCCCTGCCCCCTGCCCGGGGCCGGGAGGAGTGACCACACTGCCTACTGTTCAACGAGGGGTTTGGGGCGAGCCCCTCTCTCCCTGAGCAGTATGGAGCACGGGGCAGGCACGGGTCCCAATGAATGACACGTGGGGTTGGGGTGGGGCCAGCTCCGACCACCTGCTCCCTGCTGACCTGCTGCCTTCTCCACCACTCCCCCACTCCCGCCCCAGGGATATCAAGGCAACAACGGATCCCCTGGAAGCCCTGGCCTGAAAGGAGCTAAGGGTGGGCCAGGATCCCGCGGCCCCAAAGGCGAGCCTGTGAGTACCCCCTGACACAACCCAGCCCTTGCAAGCCTGTGAGTAACCCCCAATCCCCACGCCCCAGCCTGGACCAGGCCTGCTGACGGACACCCTTAGCCAGCCCAGCCCCTCCACCCACAGTGCCCTCCGCCCTGGCCTCCCTGAGCTCAGATCTCCCTCTGAGTCCCTCCACCCACCCCCCTGAGGTAGCCCCAGGTGGGCTGGGCTCAGCCTGGCAACCGCCCCCCCCTAGTGGACACAGCTGTCGTTCCTGGTCACACGGGGCTGACCACAGGGCAGGCAGGGCCCTGTCCCAGTGTTGCATGCCCAAGAGGAGTCTCACAGCCCCAGCCTGTGAGTGGACTGAGGGGCCGTGCCAGGGCCCCCCACTCCCGTCAGCTCCCAAGTCCTGAGCAGCATGGAGGTGCCTGCAGGCCTTGGCTGCAGCCTCAGGCTCCGCAGCCCCAGACATCCCTCACAACACTCCTGTCTCTGCAGGGACGCAGGGGTGACCCTGGAACCAAGGGCAGCCCAGGCAGTGATGGTCCCAAGGGGGAGAAGGTGAGAGCCAGTGGTGCCTAGAGAGGGTGGGGGGCTGGGGCTCCTCATGCAGCACAGTGGGACCCCCTAAGGAGGGAATGCCTCTGGGCAGACCGAAAGTTCCTGTTTGGGGTGCAGGCCAGGGCCTACACAACCCAGCAGAGCCCGTGAGGCATACCGGTCCTGGGGCAAGATTGGGGGAGGGGGGACACTGCAGTGGCTTCTTGGCCGCCACCTCCCTTGTCCTTGTGGGAGTGTGGAGGCCTGGATGCTGCAGGACAAGGAGCCTTCACAAGGAGGGAGGTGATCAGATAGCCCCTCTTCTCCCCTCGCAGGGAGACCCCGGTCCAGAAGGACCTCGGGGCCTGGCGGGAGAAGTCGGCAACAAAGGAGCTAAGGTAGGCATGGCAGGGGGAGGGGACAGGGGACAGTCGTCCTTGGGGAGGGGACGGAAGTCAGCCATCCTGGGGAGGGGACAGAGATCAACTGTCCTGGAGCAGGGGATAGGGACCAGCAGTCCTGGGGGAGGGGATGGAGGTCAGCCGTCCTGGAGAGGGGACAGGGACCAGGCATCCTAGGGAAATAGGGAACAGCTGTCCTGGGAAAGGGAGGGACAGAGGCCAGCCATCCTGGAGAAAGGGAGGGACAGAGACCAGCTGTCCTGGGAGGGAGGGACAGAGACCAGCCGTCCTAGGGGAAGTGGGAATAGAGGTCAGCCATCCTTGCTAGGACCCAAGGCCAGGCCAGGCAGAGCAATACCTCCTGGGACAGCAGAGGCCCATAGGGTTTGGTTTTGCCCCATACCCTGTCCTCATTCCTTCTCTTTCCAGGGAGACCGTGGCTTGCCTGGACCCAGAGGCCCACAGGGGGCTCTTGGGGAGCCTGGGAACCAGGTTGGTCCCTTTTGCACAGCCCCTCTGCCACCTGACCCTGCCTTCTGGGTCCTGGGGTCTCACCATAACCCCAGCCCTGCCTGGATGAGGATGGGGGCGGGATCTGGGCCAGGTCACACCCCCGAGAGGGGTACTGAGTGTGGCCTGGGTCAGGATGGGCCTATGTCCACTGGGGCAGGTCCAGGCCCCACAGGGCAACTCCTCACTTCCTTTTTTTACTCTCAGGGATCTCGAGGAGACCCAGGTGATGCAGGGCCACGTGGAGACTCAGGACAGCCGGGCCCCAAGGTACACCCTTTGGAGCAAGGGGAGGCGGGGGATCAGGGCTATGTGGGAGCCCACTGAGGCAGCTCCAGAGCAAAGGTGGCCTGGGCTATGGGCTCCAGGGAGCCAGGCTGCCTTCCCCAGCCCATGGACTCTCACCTCTCCCCTTACCGTCCATGGAGCCGCACCCCACAGGTGGCCCGACTGCTGATCCTGGGCCCCCGTCCCTGGCTCCACTCACCTGCTCTCATCCTGCAGGGAGACCCAGGCAGACCTGGATTCAGCTACCCCGGACCCCGCGGGGCACCGGTGAGTTGTGGCAGGGATGGGAGCTCCCGGAGAGGGCAGGGGGGACCCAGGAGAGCTTCCACTTTCCCTGGGGCCTCTGCTGCCTTCTGAGGGGCACCCTATAGTGCCCACACCCCACGGGGCAGGAGGCGCTGCCCTATGAACACTGCAGCGGAGGCAGGACCCCTTCATCCTACCTCTGGATGCGGCCACCTGCCGGACTGACCATCTGCCATTCACTTCCCAGGGCGAGAAAGGCGAGCCAGGCCCCAGGGGCCCTGAGGTAGGCTTTGGGGGAGCGGCTGCCCAACGGGGTAGGGGGTGAGGAGCCACAGTCCCGGGACACCCACCTCTCAGTCCTGCCCACAGGCTGCATTGCGGGGCTCCCTCAAGCAGAAGCACAGGCTGTCTGATGATCATTAGCACCCTCAAGACCACCAGGACTGCACTGGGCCGACCCGAGGGGCGGGGCACCCTTCTCCTCACTTTGTGGGAACTGCTAGAGGAAGGGGTGGACCCTGGGAGAGAGACCCCAGCTCCATGTCCCTTCACAGGGTGGCCGAGGCGACTTTGGCATGAAAGGAGGCCCCGGGAGGAAAGGAGAGAAGGGAGAACCGGTGAGCAAGCGCCCTCTTCCCTGTGTGGGCCCGCAGGGTGAAACCCACCCACAGACCCCTACCGGCACCCTAGTGGTTACCCCAAGGATCAGGCCAGGCCAGGGGATGGGTAATTGAGTGAGTGCCAGACTGTGGGTTGCTGGAATATGGGTGAGTGGGCGGAAAGTGGACTGCAGATCGCTGGGCTGTGGGTGGATGAGTGGAAGGCCTGTGGGTCACCAGACTGTGGGTGGGTGGGCAGAAAGTGGACTGTGGGTCGCTGGGTTGTGGGTAGGTGGGCAGAAAGTGGACTGCGGGTCGCCGGGCTGTGGGTAGGTGGGCAGAAAGTGGACTGCGGGTCGCTGGGCTGTGGGTAAGTGGGCAGAAAGTGGACTGTGGGTCGCTGGGTTGTGGGTAGGTGGGCAGAAAGTGGACTGCGGGTCGCTGGGCTGTGGGTGGGTGGGCAGAAAGTTGACTGTGGGTTGCTGGGCTATGGGTGGGTGGGCGGATGAGTGGATGTGTGAGTGGACAGTGGAGTTTGGTTAGGGGGGGATAGGGGCCATTGGGTCAGCGTGTGCTGCCCCATCTTTCAAAGATCCTCTGCCAGGCATGGCTTTGATGGGGGCCACTGGTGGTGCTCACAGCTGGGAACCACTGCGCTGTGCCAGGCCCAGCACAGGGCACCTGGCACAGCCCCATTCCATCCTGGCATCCCCAGATCCCAGGTTGGAAGGGACAGGTGTAGAGATACAGGACCTGCCCAGGGGTTTGCTCAAGTCCACCTGCCCTGTTCTTTCTCAGGCTGATCCTGGCCCCCCAGGTGAACCAGGCCTTCGGGGGCCAAGAGGAGACCCAGGACCTGAGGTAGGCCCCTCTGCCTGCCAGGGTGTGAGAGGGAGGGGAGATTGGTGGAGAAACAGCACTAACCAATGGCGCATGCTGCACCATGCGTTTCTTCCCCCAGGGTGAGCCCGGCCCCCCGGGAGACCCCGGCCTCACGGTAGGTAGCACATGGGATGAGGGCCCTTCTCCTGCACACAGGAGGCAGAGGCCGTAGACCAGGGGAGGTTGGAGGTCAGTGTCCCCTCTCTCCCTGGCTCTGCTCCAGTCACTCACGAGGGGTGGACAGTGTCCTGGGCGGGAATTCCTGGGGGGCTAGGACTCATGCCCTGTGTTGCAGGAGTGCGATGTGATGACCTACGTGAGAGAGACTTGTGGCTGCTGCGGTGAGTCACTGCCCGGGGGCTCAGGGTTGGAGCAATCCCAGGCCCCAGCCTGTCCCTGCTGTCCAGGGTGCAAGCCATGGTTCCCAGCCTGTCCCTGCTGTCCAGGGTTCAAGCCATGGTTCCCAGCCTGTCCCTGCTGTCCAGGGTCCAAGCTATGGTTCCCAGCCTGTCCCTGCTGTCCAGAGTGCAAGCTATGGTTCCCAACCTGTCCCTGCTGTCCAGGGTGCAAGCTATGGTTCCCAACCTGTCCCTGCTGTCCATGGTGCAAGCCATGGTTCCCGGCCTATCCCTGCTGTTCAGGGTCCAAGCTATGGTTCCCAGCCTGTCCCTGCTGTCCAGGGTGCAAGCCATGGTTCCCAGCCTGTCCTTGCTGTCCAGGGTGCAAGCCATGGTTCCCAGCCTGTCCTTGCTGTCCAGGGTGCAAGCCATGGTTCCCAGCCTGGCCCTGCTGTCTAGGGGCATAACTAGTGGTCCAAGCCTGTCCCTGCTGCCCAGTGGGGCTCAGGGGTCCCAGCCTGTCCCTGCTGTCCATGGTTGGGGGAGCTTGGGGTGCCAACCTGTCTCTGCTATCCAGAGGACCTCAGGATCCCAGTGTGTCCTTGCTGTCCAGGGGACTTGGGGCCAGGATCGTCCCAGGGTCCCAGTACCTCTCTGTGACCACCCCTGACACTGCAACCCCACAGACTGTGAGAAGCGCTGTGGCGCCCTGGACGTGGTGTTCGTCATCGACAGCTCCGAGAGTATCGGCTACACCAACTTCACGCTAGAAAAGAACTTCGTCATCAACGTGGTCAATAGACTGGGGGCCATTGCCAAGGACCCCAAGTCAGAGACAGGTCAGGGGTGGGCATGGGGGCCAGGCAGAATCTGTGGGCAGGTGGACGATGGTGGGAGACCTGGCTTGCCATGGGTCCCTTGGAAGCCCCAGCCCTCAACTCAATGTGTCCTGCAGGGACGCGTGTGGGCGTGGTGCAGTACAGCCATGAGGGCACCTTCGAGGCCATCCAGCTGGATGACCCACGCATCGACTCCCTGTCCAGCTTCAAGGAGGCTGTCAAGAACCTCGAGTGGATTGCAGGTGGCACCTGGACACCCTCAGCCCTCAAGTTCGCCTACAACCAGCTCATCAAGGAAAGCCGGCGCCAGAAGACGCGTGTGTTTGCTGTGGTCATCACGGATGGGCGCCACGACCCCCGGGATGACGACCTGAACCTGCGGGCGCTGTGTGACCGCGACGTCACCGTGACGGCCATCGGCATTGGGGACATGTTCCATGAGAGGCATGAGAGCGAGAACCTCTACTCCATTGCCTGTGACAAGCCACAGCAGGTGCGCAACATGACACTCTTCTCTGACCTGGTGGCCGAGAAGTTCATCGACGACATGGAGGATGTGCTCTGCCCAGGTGAGTGGCACAGGTCTGCCGGCCAAGCCCTGCCACCTCCCTGTCCCACCTCACCCCACCCACTGTTTGTGCCGCTGTCCTGCCCAGGCCCCAACAGTTCACCTCCTCCTGGGACAGGTGCCCACTTCAGCAGGAGAGGGCAGGACCTTGTAGGTGGACAGGGCTCAGCTACACCCTGAGCCCAACCCCACACCGAGAGCCCAGCAGGGCCTGACCATGGTCCCTGACCTCTCCTTTCTCTTCTAGATCCACAGATTGTGTGCCCGGAGCTTCCCTGCCAGACAGGTAACACCGCTGGTGCCTCTGAGCCTACCTCACACCGGCAGAGCAGCCCCGCATCCTCATGGGCCACCAGAGCTGGGGCTGGGACAGTGAGGGCCCCTGCTTCCCCAGAGCCTTCCCCAGGGGACAACGGGAGAGGCTCATCCCCGGGATCCCACACAGCTGAGGAGGGATGCAGGGAGGAGCAGCATCCTCCCTCCCATGCCAGCACCGTCAGTCCAGCCATGGTGGGACGCTGCTGGCCCGGTGCCCGCGCTTGCCTCACAGCCACTGGTCTCCAAGGCTCACAGCAGGGGAACCCACAGACAGGGTTGTCCAGCTGCCCAGACTGGGTCATGCAGGAGTGAGCTTGGGACTTGGCAGAGGACATGGTTGATTCCAACCATCCAGAAGCCAAGGAACCAGTACCACAGCGGCCAACCCGCTTGCTTCTAACATGCTCGCCAGCCTCAGCTGCTCCACAGCCAACTGAGGGAGCAGAGCCAGCATGTCTGGGGAAGCCTGTGTCCCTGCAGTGGCCATATTGGTGGCCCCAAGGGTGTGAAGCCAGAGCTGGGCCTGCCGAGGAAGAGGTTGTGCCAGTGCCAGGCAGGAAGGGGCTGACAGCATTATGTATGCTGTGCCAGATACCATCACTGCCACCAGGTCTAGGTATGGAGCCGCAGGACCAGCAGAGGTGCCCAGGGGACTGTCAGTGGCCCCTGCCCCTCCAGGGCGCACTGATGTGGGCACCAGCAGCCTGCTGTTGGGGGAGGGCTGCTGTGGACACAGGCCAGGGTGGGAAGGCTCAGTGCCCAGGTTGGCATTCGCAGCAGAAGCAGAGTGTGCTGGCACAGACCAGTGCCTTGGGAAAGGCTCCTGGCACAGACCAGGATGCCTACAGAGCATTTCCACAGGTACTGCAACCCCAAGGGAAAGGCCAAGTGCAACTGGGGGCCAGGTTCCCCACGCCAATGCTGAGAGGACTTTCGTAAGAAAGTATTCATGGTGGCTACGCCTTGTGGCCACGTAGTAGTAGCATTCAGCACTTCTGACCACCAGCAGCTGTACATCACTCAGAGTTGCCCAGAAACCCACAACACTCAGAAACCCACAACTCTCACACAGGACAGCAGGGGCAGGATCTGACCAGGACCTGGCAACCATAATTCTGAAGCACAGCCCCCGCCCACCATTCACAGCCCCAATCCACCCAGCACAGCCCCACCCACCACAGTCACCAACCACCAACCATAGCTCTACACACCAACCACAGCCCCAACCACCAACCCCAGCTCCACCCGCCAACCACAGCCCCAAACACCAAACACAGCTCCACACACCAAACACAGTCACCAACCACCAACCACAGCTCCACACACCAACCACAGTCACCAACCACCAAACACAGCTCCACCCACCAACCACAGCCACCACAGTCACCAACCACAGCTCGACCCACCAACCACAGCCCAAACCACCAACCACAGCTCTACACACCAACCACAGCCTCAACCACCAAACACAGCTCCACCTGCCAACCATAGTCGCCAACCACCAACCACTGCCCCAAACACCAAACAGCTCCAGCCACCAACCACAGCTGCCACTTCAGCAAGGACAACAGCACACCCGACTCCTAAGGCTGTCAGACCCTCAGGGAGTGGGACGTTCAGCAGGTGGGCAGGATCTGAGTATAACAGGTAATACAGTCCTGGGGCAAGGGTCTGACCCGTGCAGTGCACAGGGGTCAGCCCTGCTTCAGCTGTCTGTAGAATGACCACTAAGGGAAAAATTTCCTCTCTCCCATGTGATACCATTTCTCACCACTGGTAGGTGCTGGAAGCCAGCAGTTGCTCCTCTTGAGCCTGTCGCCATAGTAACAGGACCCTCTAGGTGTTACAGAGAGCTGGCTGAGACCTTAATGTTCTGCACACCACCGGGTCACTATGGCACTACCCTGTGCCTTACAAAACAATCTGCTCTCACTCTGCATTGAAGGAAAGGAAGGAGTCTACCTGTCTCTCAGGGCTTTCTATCAGTACACAGGCTAGGACATTAGGCATGAAGAGAGGGTGGGGATAGCAGACCAAAAATGCCCACAACTTTAGCACATGAAAGGGAACATAGAAGTACTTGGGAACCTGAGAAGTATTCATCTCAGAACCTTACACCACAAAATATATACACAATAAAAAGTAAACAAACTGATACAATAAAAGAGGGGATGGAGTTAATACATATTCTACCAGTAAGTTTAGTATAATGAAGGAGCAATGTGCGTATGATACAGTGTCAAGAAACAGTGTGATATGGCAGTGCTGTGTATAGGACACACTGTCAGAGTCACAGTGTGACGGAGGAGTGATGTGTGTAGGACACACCGTCACAGTCACAGTCACAGTGTGATAGAGGAGTGATGTGTGTAGGACACACCGTCACAGTCACAGTGTGACGGAGGAGTGATGTGTGTAGGACACACCGTCACAGTCACAGTCACAGTGTGATGGAGGAGTGATGTGTGTAGGACACACCGTCACAGTCACAGTGTGACGGAGGAGTGATGTCTGTAGGACACACCGTCACAATCACAGTGTGATGGAGAAGTGATGTGTGTAGGACACACCGTCACAGTCACAGTCACAGTGTGATGGAGGAGTGATGTGTGTAGGACACACCGTCACAGTCACAGTGTGACGGAGGAGTGATGTGTGTAGGACACACCGTCACAGTCACAGTGTGACGGAGGAGGGATGTGTGTAGGACACACCGTCACAGACACAGTGTGACGGAGGAGTGATGTGTGTAGGACACACCGTCACAATCACAGTGTGATGGAGGAGAGATGTGTGTAGGACACACTGTCACAGTCACAGTGTGATGGAGGAGTGATGTGTGTAGGACACACTGTCACAGTCACAGTGTGATGGAGGAGAGATGTCTGTAGGACACACTGTCACAGTCACAGTGTGATGGAGGAGTCATGTCTGTAGGACACACTGTCACAGTCACAGTGTGATAGAGGAGGGATGTCTGTAGGACACACTGTCACAGTCACAGTGTGACGGAGGAGGGATGTGTGTAGGACACACTGTCAGAGTCACAGTGTGACGGAGGAGTGATGTCTGTAGGACACACCGTCACAGTCACAGTGTGATGGAGGAGTGATGTGTGTAGGACACACCGTCACAGTCACAGTGTGACGGAGGAGTGATGTGTGTAGGACACACTGTCACAGTCACAGTGTGACGGAGGAGTGATGTGTGTAGGACACACCGTCACAGTCACAGTGAAATGGAGGAGTGATGTCTGTAGGACACACCGTCAGAGTCACAGTGTGACGGAGGAGTGATGTGTGTAGGACACACCGTCACAGTCACAGTGTGACAGAGGAGTGATGTGTGTAGGACACACCGTCACAGTCACAGTCACAGTGTGACGGAGGAGTGATGTGTGTAGGACACACTGTCACAGTCAGTGTGATAGAGGAGGGATGTGTGTAGGACACACTGTCACAGTCACTATGATGGAGGAGTGATGTGTGTAGGACACACTGTCACAGTCACAGTGTGATAGAGGAGGGATGTGTGTAGGACACACTGTCACAGTCACAGTGTGATGAAGGAGTGATATGTGTAGGACACACCGTCACAGTCACAGAGTGTAAATGTGTTGGAAAGCAGCTGTTGTTAATTATTTTCTCAGCCCCTGCCTGAACCTTTGTTCCCGCCTCCGCTCCGTGTTTCTTTCGTCAATGCTTTCTGTTCTGCTCTGTTCCCATCCACCCATGATTGCATCTCCCTGTATTGCTGTCGGCCCCTTGCTTCTTTTGATTGATATGACTCACAGCTCTGTTCAGCAGAAACCTCCCCCTACTTCTTCTCCTTGTGGCCTGACTGTAGTTCATTTAATTAATGTCTTGTGGGTACTTGCAGGCTGGTCTTCCTGCTGCAAGAGTAGAGGTTACAGATTGGTTTAACCCATGGAGAGCAGGCGTAGAAATCGTTCTTTATGTCAGAGAGGGGGTAGTAAGGTAGAGTAGATTACACCAGATAGTCCTTCCCAACCTGCCATCCACCAGGGAGAGGGACAGAGATGAAGATAGACAGAGAACAAGAAAGAGAGAAAGAAACTGGGACAGAGACCAGGAGGGAGAGAGAGGGAGTGACTGGGACAGAGACCAGGAGGGAGACAGACACAGATCATAGAGCGATACAGGGACAGAGATCAGGGAAGAGAGAGACAGAGATCAGAGAGAGAGACTGGCTCAGAGACCAGGAGGGAGAGAGACAGAAACTAGGAAAGAGAGAGAGAGGAAACAGAGACCAGGAGAGAGACAGGTCAGAGACCAGGAGAGGCTGGGACAGAGGGACAGACATAGCGGAGCTGACAGAGAGAGCATCGCAGAAAGGAGGGGGATTGCATCCCTGAGGTTCCCAGTCCAGAGTGCAGGAGCGGCTACTCAGGGCAGGGTTCTCAGCAGGTGGCTTTCCTTGGGGGTCCCTCTCGTGTTGGGCACTGCGCAGGGTGGCTGCCTCTCTCAGGGCTGCTGGGGCTGCTGAGGTGGCCCTGGGGCTGCTGAGCCCCATTCCTTGGCACCCTGGCTTGCTGTGTGCACCCTGCACACGCCCAGATGTCACCCACCTAGCCTACGCACCTCCCGCACTGGGTCCCCGCTTGTGCCTCTGCCTTGCTCAGTAGCAACCCACACCCCAGCCCAGCATCCTAGCAGGGGCTGGAGGTTGCCCCAGCTGCCCGTAGCCCTCAACCTTCTCTGGACGCTCCCTTGCAGATGGACCTCAGCCCGGTGGCGAGCCCCTGGTCACCTTCCTCCGCACGGAAGCAGGGCCAGCCCCCACCTTCCCCAGCACCGTTCCCCTGATCCAACAGTTGCTAAACGCCACGGAGCTCACGCAGGACCCCACTGCCTACTCCCGGCTGGTGGCCCTGCTTGTCTACACCGCCGAGCGGGCCAAGTTCGCCACGGGGGTCGAGCGGCAGGACTGGACGGAGCTCTTCATTGACACCTTTAAGCTGGTGCACAGGGACATCGCGGGGGACCCTGAGACTGTGCTGGCACTCTGCTGAGGCCGTGGGGGCCCCAGGAGCTGGCCGAGCCCTCAGTGGAAGCCGCCCAGCGGAAGGGCTGCCCTCCTCCTCCCACCCCTACTGGGGCCGCCAACTTAGCTCACACCTCCGTGGCACCAGGTGTACCCCATCTTCCTATGCTGCTTCCCCGTGTTCCTCAGCAGTCTGTCCTCCTGCCCTGGGGACACTGGTCTAGAGCTCAGGCGATCTCACCCTGCCACACTCCCGTGCCAGGTCCTTAACTCAAGTCCCTCTCCATCACACGGGCAACTTACAGGCTCCCAGACCAGGTCCTGGGCCCTCCTTCCAGCACACCCACTCTAACTGATCTGCCACTCATTTGGGGTACAAGTGAGGGGGAACCTCCAGGGCAGCTCCCTACCCAGTTCCAGCTGGACCCTTAACCCATACCTCCAACCCGTGTTGCTCACAACCCGAGGGCTGAGCTGAAGGTGACCAGTCCAGGCAGCAGCGGACAGTCCATGTCAGGGTGAACACCAAGGCAGCCCTGGGTTAGTCAGCTGTGTCTTCCCTGCCCAGCCTCAGGGAGTGAGGAGCTGCCACTGGAGAGCACCTAGCCTGGGCCCCTTCTACCCTACCAGTAGAGTACCTCTCCTGCCAGGAGCCACCGTGATCTCACCCCAGGTTCCTATATGTGACCATCCCTTGTGGACAAGTCCTTGTCCCCACCCTCCAGCTGAGGATCCAGGCCTGCTGTGAGGGGTGGGGTGCACACTGAGCCAGTAGACATGTCCAATGGCCTCCACCGGCCCATGGCTGGGCCTACCACGTATTTGTGCTGAGGGGCCTGGGAGTCTCCACCCTGGACAGTCACTCCCCCATGGCGCAAGCCGAGGGCAGCCCCAGCAGAAGCTGCTGTTGGTTGGCACCCAAATAAGCTCGTTGTCAAATACAGTGAGGCTCTGTGGGCAGAGCTGGCACAGTGTCCTGAGCACCCCTTCAACATTCCTGACAGGGAGCAGGGCATGCTGCCATGGGCTCACAGGGCCCTAGCCCAAGGCCCATGGCCAAGGGAGGGTTAGGACTCCCCCCCCCCTTTGGCATTCCCAGGGGTCCACATCCTTGGACTGCTGAACACCCTGAGGGTGGGTTGAGTGTCTTAGATACACCTGTGCCCAAAGGGTGGTCCCAGACACCTTGGCCAGCCAGTTGCTAGAGGACAGTGGTGTGGGCAGGTGGCTCTGGACATGAGCAAGTGAGGGAGTCAGGCCCAGGGTCCTTTTGTCACGGGTGGGGGCCAACATGAGATGCTTCCTCGCCTCTCCTGCCAGGACTCTGTCTGTGACAGGGCCTGCAGCCCCAGGTCTGGAAGCATTCCCCAGTGGGTGACACGAGGCAGCAAGTCCCGAGGGCGCAAGATGGTTTGCCAACCAGCAGAGAGGACACAGGGCTGGCCAGTTGAGGCAGGGCACCAGGGGTGCTGACCTGGCCGACCGTTGCCCAGCCCGTGCCCTCCCCACATCTTCCCTCAGAGCTATACGTGGCCCAGTGCACACAGCGGCCAGTGGATATCGTCTTCTTGCTGGACGGCTCCGAGCGACTGGGGGAGCAGAACTTCCACAAGGCCCGACGCTTCGTGGAGGAAGTGTCACGGCGACTGACACTGGCCCGTGGGGACGACGACCTGCTAAACGCCCGCCTGGCCCTGCTGCAATACGGCAGCCAGCGTGAGCAGCAGGTGGCCTTCCCACTGACCTCCAACCTCACGGTCATCCATGAGGCGCTGGACAGTGCCAGCTACCTCAACTCCTTCTCGCACGTGGGTGCAGGCATTGTGCATGCCATCAACAACATTGTGCAGCGCGCACAGGGCGGGGCACGCCGTCATGCTGAGCTGTCCTTCGTGTTCCTCACGGATGGTGTCACAGGCAACAACAGCCTGGAGGAGTCTGTGCATTCCATGCGTAAGCAGAACGTGGTTCCCACGGTGGTGGCCGTGGGCGGCGACGTGGACATGGACGTGCTGTCCCAGCTCAGCCTGGGCGACAGGGCCGCCATCTTCCGTGAGAAGGACTACGACAGCCTGACACAGCCCGGCTTTTTTGACAGGTTCATCCGCTGGATCTGTTAGCCACACCCCCAGCCCCATCCTGTCCATGGTGCTATCCTTACCATAGCTCGGCGAGTCCCACGCGACCTTGACTCAAAGTCTGTTCCCCAGAGAGGCTGGAGGGGGGAGCCACGCCCCACAGCCCATGCGCCCACCTCCCGCTGCTCCTACCTGGCATCCCAGAACCCACCCACCAAGTCCCTCTCTGGCATGGCTGGCCCCCACAGCCTCTGCTGCCCTGTATCTCCCTCACCCCACAGCCCTTCCTATAGCTCTTGCTGGCCCCTTCAGAAGCCCAGGCCCTGCCTCTCCTGCCTGAGTTAGGAAGGCCGCCTGAGAGTCCCTGTGTCGCACACCCTCCACAGTCCAATAAAGCCTTAAAGGCCACCTGCTGGCCAGTGCCCAAGTGTGAGTACCCAGCAGGGACCCCCCAGCCCTGTATTGCCCCTGAAGTCTCATCCAGACCAGTCACATGCCTGCCACGGTCAGCGCTCCCTGTATACCCCACAAAGTTCCCAAGTGTGTGCCCTGGGTGGCCTCCTCTGGGAGGCCCACCCAGCCTGCTGACTGGGGGTTGAAGCAATGGGCTTTACTCAGTGCCCCAAGAAGGCCTTGACAGTGGCCCTACAACAGTGTCTGGTCAGCAGTGAACCAGCCTTCACTGTGTTGCTTATTTGAACATCAGAGTTACAGAGAGAAAAAGAGATTTCTACTGACTCATCTACTTCCACTTGGTGACAACAATCAGATCTGGGCCAGCCAGAGGCGAGGAGTCTGGGACTCCATCAGGTCTCCCCCATGGGTGCAGAGCCCAAGCACTTGGGTCATCCTCTGCTGCTTTCCCAGGCACATCAGTAGGGAGCTGGATGGGAAGTGGAGCAGCTAAGATTCAAACCAGCACTGGCATGGGATGCTGGCATCACACAGATCAGGTTAACCTGAAGCACCACAATAGTGGTCTCAGTAATCCAACGTTTTCCTACCACACATCCCATCAAACAGAAACCCACACATCGCCACAACAAAACTGGATCTCAAGACCCACAGCAATAACACAAAACTAGCATCCTTTTGCCAACACCCTTGCATGTATTACCAGCAGGCCAGGTGACGTGCCTTCTGCTGCCCCCTTCAACAACATCCCTTCCCACCTTCCCTGACCCACATGCCCTCCCAGTGTGCCATCACCACTGTGTGCTCAGAGTCCTGTACCAGATGATGCATACCACACCAAGGCGCTCTCACCACCCCCTCACAATAATGCCCACAGCGTGCCCTTCCCACAGCCATGATCAGCCTTCCGTCAACCCCTACCAATTGCACCTCATTGCTAAGCCCACCCCAACATCCTTCACAAAAATTCCTCTCACCAAACCTCTTCAAAAACCTAATCCCAATGTCATTTCACCAGTAATCTGGTACAGGGAGCAAGAGAGGTCATGCCAGACACAAAGGTAGCATGTAAGGAGGCATCATTATTAGCCACGCTTGGTGACGGTAATGGTGATATCAGTTCCCACTACCTCCAGGAACCACGGCACCGCACAGCTCATTAGGGGGTTTTAATCTCCCATTGACACAGAGCACCCAGGGATTTTCCAATCAACTCAGGTGGTACACATTACAAATCATTCAATCAACTTTACAGGAGCAGATGGCACTGCTTAGCCATGCTCGAATCCTAGCACTATGCCAAGATGCCAGCCCCCTCAGGTCCCCCTTTTAAAATATCATATCTGCTCATTGCCATGGAAGCTATCAACCAGCTGTGCCCTGCCATAAACCATTATGAAAACTGGCTCAAACTTACCTCATCAGCATTACTTCACCAACATTACTCACATTACCTCATCACCTCACCAGGATTACCTCATTACAGCATTACCTCACAGCACCTCACCAGGGTTACCTCATCACCTCACCAGGGTTACCTCATCACCTCACCAGGATTACCTCACAGCACCTCACCAGGGTTACCTCATCACCTCACCAGGGTTACCTCATCACCTCACCAGAGTTACCTCATCACCTCACAGGCATTACCTCATCTCACCTCACTGGCATTACCTCATCACCTCACCAGGATTACCTCATCACCTCACCAGCATTACCTCATCACCTCACTGAGATTACCTCATCACCTCACTGAGATTACCTCATCACCTCACCGGCATTACCTCACAGCAACTCACCAGGGTTACCTCATCACCTCACCAGGGTTACCTCATCACCTCACCGGCATTACCTCATCACCTCACCGGCATTACCTCACAGCACCACACCAGGGTTACCTCATCACCTCACCAGGGTTACCTCATCACCTCACCAGGGTTACCTCATCACCTCACCGGCATTACCTCACAGCACCTCACCAGGGTTACCTCATCACCTCACTGGCATTACCTCATCACCTCACTGGCATTACCTCACAGCACCTCACCAGCAGTACCTCACATCATCTCACTAGTGTTACCTCACGTTACTCACCACATTACTTCACAAGCATTACATCATAACTACCTCACCACATCATCTCAATACATTATTTAATCAGCATTACCTCCTTTTCTCTCACCAGCAAAATCCTGTCTCCACTGTATCCATCACAGGCTCTTCACAGTAAGATGCTCTCAGCAACATCCATGTCCAACAGTGATTCTCCCTGTCACCGACATGACCATTTGGCAGCAATCCACATGCCTGCCACCCAGGGCGGCACGAGCTTGAAAGGAGCTGAGACTCCAAGGTGCTTGCAGGAAAGCTGCTTTCCTGTGGCATGGTTGACTCGAAAGCCTCACAGCCAAGGTGTGAGCCCAGAACAAAGAGGGGCACTGCCTTACAGAACTTCAGTGTTTGTCGCCGCATGCAGTGACACTGCACTTGGTGCCCATTACAGCGTCGCTGTGCAGTTGTGCATATGGCCATGAACCAGCTCCCTCCATATACGGTTAAGCCACACACCGGTCAGCGGACCACGGGCTAGCGAGAAGTTGTGGCAAGCACCGCGTCCACTTGCCCCCAAGAGGCTCTTCTCTGCTGAGGGAGGGCCCTCCTAAAGCAGGCAGGACCCCCCAGGGGCCCAGTACCCCCTTGGGGTCTCTGCTCCTCCCACACCCAGGTGCCCGGTACAGTCCCTGGCATTCTGAGCCCCTGTGGGCTGCAGCAGCTCCCCCCGAGTTGGAGCTGCACCCTGAACTGTTGGAGCACTGCGGCCAAGGTTTACAGATCCCAGGCACCCCGACTCAGCAGCCGGCTCTGCCGCCGAGGCCCTGCTCAGCCCCCGCTTTGAGTCCCTCCCACTAAGGTCCCCCGCCCCAAGCCCCAGACACACAACTCAGGTTTGCTGTCCAGTCTTTACTGGAAGTCACAGGCGACAAGAGAACCCCTCCCCCTGCCCACCAGCAGCCTCTGTCTTCACGCCCAGCCCAGGCCGGGGGCCCCGGCGTCCCCCAGGACTGCAGTCACGGCCACTGTCTGTAGTCATTCCTGCCGGGCCTCCAGCTGGTCCAGCACCTGTGCCGCCTGAGTCCTGGCCTCCTGCAGGAGGCTGGACACACGCTGGCGGGCCTGGCAGACACGGTGGAGAATCGCAGTCCAGTGTCCACCCACTGCCCCTCCCTCAGCCTCTCCCCGGCCAGCCCACCGCAGTGTCCCAAGATCCCTGTGGCCCTGACCTGAGACACCTCTGCTCTGGCCTCAGTGCAGATGGAGGCTGGGACACAGCAGCCCACCAACCCCCTGAAAACCCCTCTCCCCATCCCCGCATGGCAGCCCTGGGCCTGCAGGAAACACCTCAGTACTGACCACAGTCCCAAGTGGGAGCCAGGCTGCATAGGGCTAAGGCACCCCACACCCCTACTCACCTGGTCCTTGAATGCAGGGTCAGTGATGTCCTTCAGGTTGGTGAGCACGTTGAAGTATGCCCCAAACACGCCCGTCTCCAGGGCCTTGGCTGCCACCTTCCAAGAGCCCAGGGCCGGTCACCCTCGGGCCTCTCCAGCCCAAGCCGAGGGCTGCACACTGCCCTGACTCCCTTTGTGCTTTCTGAGCTGCCCCAGCAGTGTTTGGGAGGAGGGGCAGAGCCTGAGCGTGCACCCTGAGACTCAGCCGGGGTGCAGAGCGTCCCTGGGCAGCATCTTGGGGTGGAAGGGTAGGCGGACGCCGCAGAGCTGCCTGCCCACCCGCCACTGCCCGGAGCCCCGGGTACCTGCAGGTCTGACCGGCAGGCCAGGTTCCCGCACAGGGCCAGCTCCTGTAGCGCCGGCCACAGCGAGGCCACCGTCTCTGCCAGCGCCAGCGGGACCCCAACAGCACGCCTCAGCCCCTCCTGCAGGGCCACTGCCCGCCTGGAAAGGAGGGGACGCTGCTGGTGGGGTAATGGGGGGGCTTGTAACATTGGCTCCTCCCACCGAGGTGGACACAGGGGCAGGGCTGGAGCTGGCCCCGCCCTCCAGATGCTCAGCCTGCAAGCCTAGTAAAAGAAGCCCCCACCTGCCCTCACCTGTCCCTCTCTTCAGCTGTGCTCTTGGGCAGTTTCATCGCTTCCTGCAGGAAAAAAAAAAAAGGAGATAAGACACCAAAAAGATGCTGGTGGCTTGCGACACCTTCCTGGGAGGCGTGTGAGGGCGTTAACATGTGCTGTGTCCTCTGGTCATCTGGGCATTTCCCAGCTGGGCCGCTCAGCCGTGGGGCCATGGGGGCCGGACCCCCTTCGGGCCCCCTTCTTTGGGAATGCACTGCTCTCTCGTGAGGTCACCCCAGCGGGAGGAGGAGCCAGCTCCACCACACCCAGCCAAGCCTCCCCAGCCTGAGCCCCAGGTACAGTGGACTGAGGAGAAGGACAACGGTGACGCGCCCAGGGAGAAGGGCAGGAGCCTGGGGCCCTTCTCACGGTCATGGCATGGAGGCTGCACTGTGACAGAAGCCCTGGGCGAGGTCATGTCAGGAGCCAGGGAGTGTGCTGCTGGCCCAGCCCACCACACCCTCTGCCATCTAGGGTCCCCGGCAGTGTCCAGAGCCAGGCTCGCGGGTGGATGGAGAGCGCTGCCCGGCCTCGGCCAAGCTAGGGGCTGCACTGGAGGCACCAGTGCCCCTGCCCACGCTGAGAGCTGCACAGCCCCCACACCAGGCCGCTCCTCAGACTTCCGAACCCCCAAAGGTTTCCCAAATTCTAACAGCAAATAAATGAACTGGAGTTGTGGACCCGGACTGAGCAATAGACTGAATCCCCTCCAAACAGGCCCCTCCCTCCTCCCCGCGCCCACCTGCCTGGCGCCCTGCACCCACCAGGCAGGCTGCAAAGGCCTTGGCATCTGCGTCCACCAGGGCGGTCAGCTGCCCCATGGCAGCGTGGAAGGGCGGGATCAGGCGCCGCATGGCCGCATCCAGGTGCTCGAACTGGCGGCGCCCGTAGGTCATCTGCCCCACCATGCAGGCTAGGGCCGCGCCCTGGGCGAGACCGAGGGAGGGCTGGGGCAGGGGAAGGTCTCCGGGACGGTGCGGGGCTTCGGAGACCAGGGGGTCCGGGTGGGCAGTGGTGGGAGTGGGAGGATGGTGAAGGTCCCGCGTAGGAATCCCGGGCAGAGGGGGCCTGGGGTGTGCGGGACGAGGGGGCGGTGAGGACAGAGGACGGTGGGAGTCAGGGGGACTGTGAGGGTCCCGGTTGGCAGGCCCCCTCAATCCCCGCTCCCCTCCGGGGCCTGAGCTCACCATGGCGGCAGCGGCGGCAGCCACTGAGCCTCCCCCGGGGGCCGCAGAGCGAGCACCCACATCGCGGATGAAGGCTCGCAGGGGCCGGTCCAGCAGGCTGTGCTGGGCCTGGGCATCCGGGACCAGATACCTGGGACAGGATTGGGCTGCAAATGAGCACGGTGTGGCTTCACAAGCCCACAAGCCCACAGACTCCACTGGGCATGCGACCCCCTGAATGAGCAGGTGGGGGGCGCGTAGAAAGAGGGCAAGGGGCAGGACGGGGTGGGGGGACAGGAGAGGTGGGGCCAGATGTGGGCGGGACGGGCCTCTCACTCGATGACACGCTCCTTGGGGTGGAAGGGGGTCAGAGAGTCCAGCCCCAGCCGGCTCACCACCTGCAGAGCACACCACAGCCAGAGCCTCAACAGCGCTGGAGGGGCCGAGGCCACTGGGGTCTCTAGCTCAGAACCCTTACGCCCTGGCTCCCCATTAGACCTGACTCCCACTAGTGCCCCATACACTTTCATGTCCTCTTGTGGAATGTAGGCCTGGGGAGCCCCCCATCCCTGCCTGACAGGGACTGACTTTAACCCCAGGGTCAGGAGGCAGCCCGGACCCTTGCCCCTCAAGGTGAGAGCTGGCAAGGCTGCTGCCTGCATGGGTGTAGGGACACTGATTCTGGGGGCAGAACAATTCCTAAAGGTCTCAGCAGTCAGGAAACCCAGCAAGTGGCTGATAGGGGCCCTGCCCACATGCCAGGCTCCTGTGCCAGGACATGAACAGGAAACAGACATAGCTTAGAAGAAACTGGGGTGAAGGGCTCCTCTCCAAGCAGAAATCAGCAAACAGCTGGGTGCAGCCCAGCCAGGACCAGGAGGCCTGCACGTGCCCCTGACCTGCCTTGGCCCCTGCCACCCACTCAGAGAGCTGCCCCCGCCCCACCCCCAGCCTACACCCCTGACCTGCCTCTGCCCATCCCACCTATCTGGAGCCTACCCATTCCCCCACCCAGACCCCTGACCTGCCTCTGCCCCAGCTGCCCACTGGGGATGCTGCCCACAGGCCCTCTACCCATGCCCGAACCTGCTCTGCCTTCAGTCACCCACCTGGGGAGCCTCCCCCATTCCCCCACCCGTGCCCCTGCCCTGCCTCTGTCCCTCCCACCCACCCAGAGCTGCCCGCATTCGCCCTCACCAGCCTTAGACGCTGCTCCTCCTCTAGCACAAAGAGGTTCTCCCGACCACAGTAAAAAGCAGCTGCATCCAACAATGCCCTCAGTGGCACCAAGCCCACCAGCTGCGAGCCAACCACGGGGAGGCTCAGCGCCTGCCAACAAAGGACAGGACAGTCAGTGGGTCAGCGCAGGGTAGGGGGCCCTACCTGCTCACCTGTGGTGGGCAGTGGGGCGTCTCTGCTCCCTAGTTGGGGTCTTACCTGCTCACCTGGCGTGGGCAGTGTGGGTCTCTGCTCCCTGGCTGGGGTCCCACCTGCTCACTTGGGGTGGGCAGTGGGGGTCTCTGCTCCCTGGCTGGGGTCCCACCTGCTCACCTGGGGTGGGCAATGGGGGTGGGGTCTCTGCTCCCTGGCTGGGGTCCCACCTGCTCACCTGGGCCTCTCTGCAGGTTTCCTCATATACTGTGTGCAGTCCGGTGGCCTCGAAGTCCAGTAGGTTGGTGGACACCTGAGCCAGGTTCTTCTCTTCCAGGTACCAGCCAATTCCCTGCACCTTTTTCAGGCGTCCTGGCTACAGAGGAAGAGGAGTTTCCACCTGCCCTTGGCAAGAGGCTGGGTGGGCTCTGTGGCTCGCAGCCTCCCTCTCACCTGAGCTAGCCAGGAGTGGCCCTGGCCAACCGTTGGTCAGGCCTGTTGACTGGCCCTGCTCCTGGCCCAATCCTGCCTGCTCTCCAACCTCCCAAGTGTACCCCAACCCTGTCCACGCCTCAGCAGGGCCCCATGGGCCACCCACCTGTCCAGGGCCACGGCCCTGCTCCCTTAGGTTGAGTGCAATGCGATGTGCCTGCTCCTTGGTGCTCAGCAGGTTGATGTTGAAGGCGATGAGGAACTTTCGGGCACCCGTGGCAGTGGCCCCCCAACGGGGGACAAAGGAGCTGGGGCCAAAGTCCGGGGCCCACTCAGTCTGCATGAGCTATGGAATCACCCACCTTGACTGAGAGATGCAGGCAGGGGGACAGGCGCCAGTGTGGGGTCCACCATCAAGGACATGTGCAGGGTCCACCCCTTACCCCCACAAGAGCAGGCATGGGATCCACCAGCCCCACTGCACAGGTATGGGATCCACTCCCAATCCACCCCACCACAGTTAGGGGCAGGCAGAGGGTCCACCAGCCCCCTAACAGGAGCAGGTACCAGCTCCACACTCTGCTTCCGCACAGCCTGACACACCTTCTCAGGCAGAGCCTCATACTCCCCAGCACGGATGGCTGGCAGGGTGCGACGGCTGTCCACCCGTGCTGCATCGCCATACAGGTACACTACGAGGGAGCAGGCCTGTCAGGCCCATGGCCAAGCAGGGCCTCTCTGGGGTCAGAGACAGGGTCAGGGGGCCTCACCCGGCACAGCCAGTTCCTCTGCCAGCCGCTGGCCAAAGGCCTCAGCGCACAATACACACTCGGCCAAGCTGACGCCACGCACAGGGACAAAGGGACAGACATCAAGTGCACCCATACGGGGGTGCTCCCCTGTAAAGACATGGGGCAGGTAACTGGATGGAACCTCAGGACCCTGTGCTTGCCTACCACATCCTGACCAGAGCTAGATGCATGCTCAGCTATCCGGGCCGCCCTGGGCGGCAGCGAGTGCCCAGACCACTGGGCCACAAGGGGTAGGGCACGCACCTTCTCCCACAGTTCACAGAGATACTCCCCAAGTCCTGTGATGGGCCAAGAGGACCAAGGGCACCTCCTGGCCAGGGCCTCCCAGGGCCAGCAGCACTGCCCACCCCCCAGCTCAAGTCCACCCCTTCCCTCTTGGATAAGCTCTTATCTGTTCCGGATCTCACCCCCTCCAGGCAGCCAGGACTTGGCAGAGTCCCATGTGACCACTGAACCTTGACCGTGCCCAACAAAGCCATCGTGTTTGGGTTCTGGGGCTGTGGCAGGTCCTGATCCACAGCAGCTGTGACTTCTCCCAGCTGCATCCAGAGAGTACCCCAAGCTCCACAGGCACAGCTGCCCCCTCCCAGGGGTCACCCCATAGCCTTACCCCAGGCAGTGGTATCCTTGACTCCCAGCCAGCCCCACCCCACAGCCAGGACCTGCCCCTGTGTTCCCTCCACTCCACTCCCCTGACCCCCTTACCTCGGTGCCTGCTCATGTCGATGAGGCGCCAGGCGGCCCGGGCAGCACTGAGGGCACCCTCCACAATGCTCTCGGGAGTCCCCACAAAGGTATAGACGGTGCGGTTGGTGGAGGGGCCAGCGTCCACATCCAGCAGCACACAGCCCGGGGTCTGTGCAATGGCCCTGGAGATGGTGTCGATCACCTTGGGGAGAGGGCAGCCCTCGCCAGGGTCCTCATCAAGACGCCTGCACCCGCTCCCTCAGGCCTGAGGCAACTGCACTGGGGGCCACAGTGCCAGGGAGACAAGGGTGGGTCCACAAGCAGGGTTCAGGGACCCCACCCCTACCACAACAGCCCAACCAGGAAGGGTGGCCGGGAACCAACATGGCCCTCAGGGCAAAGGTATCAAGAACAAAAGCCCTTGTACCCCTAAGCCACCTCTTAGCCCCTTATAGGGATCCTCTTTGAGCACACAGCCCCCACACCCTACTCCCCTTCCTTCAACAAGCCCCCTGGGGCCTCACCTCCTGGTCATTCCCCTCTGAGAAATTGGGGACACATTCCACCAGCTGGGACATGGCCACACAGCACTCGGACACAGTCTCGTGGAGTAGAGGACACAGGGTGGTGGACAGGCCAGGCCGTGGTAGGGACCTTTATCCACTGGACAGTGCCCTCCCCATAGGTGAGCTGCTGATTAACCAGCAAGCACAGGGGCAGGGCTGCAATGCAGGGCTGGGTGCAAATGCAGGCAGGTGGCCTGGAACAGGTGGGGCAGGGATTCCTCCCTAGAAACAACCACAAAGCTGGGAAGGCAAGTTTGGGTGTCAAGCCAGCCTTTGTGTGACTGTCCAGACAACATCCAGGTGACACCAGTATAATGTCCAGAGGACCCAAATGACTTTTGCTGGTGAGCCCTAGGTGGCCCCTGGGGACCTCACAGTGACTCCTGCACCTCTGTTCCTCCATGTCAGGGCCCGACCTTGGGACTGTGAGACGGGGAGTGGGCTGAGGGAAACAGAGATGAAATGGGAAAGGCAGGAGAGTCCATGGGCAGAGGGAGGCAGAGATGAAACGGGAAAGGCAGAAGAGTCCGTGGGGGTGGGCTGAGGGTGTGACTGACAGCTTGTGAGTAAATGTGTGCATGGGGCCGGAACAGACACCAGTGGGCACAGCAATCTGAAAGTCCACAGTGTGCCACATGTCTGTTCATGAGGCAGGAGTGTATATGACAGGATACATGTGTAGGTGTCAGTACATGTGGATGTCAGCGTCTGTGTGTGTGAGTGTGTGGATGTCAGGGTCTGTGTGTGAGTGTGTGTGTGTGTGTGTGTGTGCATGTCAGGGTCTGTGTGTGAGTGTGTGCATCTCAGGATCTGTGTGTGAGTGTGTGGATGTCAGGGTCTGTGTGTGTGAGTGTGTGCATGTCAGGGTCTGTGTGTGTGTGGATATCAGGGTCTACGTGTGTGAGTGTGTGCATGTCAGGGTCTGTGTGAGTGTGTGCATGTCAGGATCTGTGTGTGAGTGTGTGCATGTCAGGGTCTACGTGTGTGAGTGTGTGGATGTCAGCGTCTACGTGTGTGAGCGTGTGCATGTCAGGCTCTGTGTGTGAGTGTGTGCATGTCAGGATCTGTGTGTGAGTGTGTGGATGTCAGGATCTGTGTGTGTGTGTGTGCATGTCACGGTCTGTGTGTGACTGTGTGCATCTCAGGATCTGTGTGTGTGAGTGTGTGGATGTCAGGAACTGTGTGTGTGGGTGTGTGCATGTCAGGGTCTGTGTGTGAGTGTGTGGATGTCAGGATCTGTGTGTGTGTGTGTGTGCATGTCAGGGTCTGTGTATGTCAGTGTGTGCATGTCAGGGTCTCTGTGTGTGTGTGTGCATGTCAGGATCTGTGTGTGTGAGTGTGTGCATGTCAGGGTCTGTGTGTGTGTGTGTGCATGTCAGGATCTGTGTGTGAGTGTGTGGATGTCAGGATCTGTGTGTGTGAGTGTGTGCATGTCAGGGTCTGTGTGTGTGTGTGTGTGCATGTCAGGATCTGTGTGTGAGTGTGTGGATGTCAGGATCTGTGTGTGTGTGTGAGTGTGTGCATGTCAGGGTCTGTGTGTGTGAGTGTGCATGTCAGGGTCTGTGTGTGAGTGTGTGCATGTCAGGATCTGTGTGTGTGAGTGTGTGGATGTCAGGGTCTGTGTGTGTGTGTGTGCATGTCAGGATCTGTGTGTGAGTGTGTGGATGTCAGGATCTGTGTGTGTGTGTGTGTGCATGTCAGGGTCTGTTTGTGTGAGTGTGCATGTCAGGGTCTGTGTGTGAGTGTGTGCATGTCAGGGTCTGTGTGTGTGAGTGTGCATGTCAGGGTCTGTGTGTGAGTGTGTGCATGTCAGGGTCTGTGTGTGAGTGTGTGCATCTCAGGATCTGTGTGTGAGTGTGTGGATGTCAGCGTCTGTGTGTGTGAGTGTGTGGATGTCAGGGTCTGTGTGTGAGTGTGTGCATGTCAGGATCTGTGTGTGAGTGTGTGCATGTCAGGATCTGTGTGTGTGAGTGTGTGCATCTCAGGATCTGTGTGTGAGTGTGTGCATGTCAGGATCTGTGTGTGAGTGTGTGGATGTCAGCGTCTGTGTGTGAGTGTGTGTGTGTGTGTGCATGTCAGGGTCTGTGTATGTCAGTGTGTGCATGTCAGGATCTGTGTGTGTGTGTGTGTGTGCATGTCAGGGTCTGTGTGTGTGAGTGTGGATGTCAGGATCTGTGTGTGAGTGTGTGCATGTCAAGGTCTGTGTGTGTGAGTGTGCATGTCAGGGTCTGTGTGTGAGTGTGTGCATGTCAGGGTCTGTGTGTGTGAGTGTGCATGTCAGGGTCTGTGTGTGTGAGTGTGTGCATGTCAGGATCTGTGTGTGAGTGTGTGCATGTCTGGGTCTGTGTGTGTGTGTGTGTGCATGTCAGGGCCTGTGTGTGAGTGTGTGCATGTCAGGATCTGTGTGTGTGAGTGTGCATGTCAGGGTCTGTGTGTGTGTGGATATCAGGGTCTACGTGTGTGTGAGTGTGCATGTCAGGATCTGTGTGTGTGTGTGTGTGTGTGTGCATGTCAGGGTCTACGTGTGTGAGTGTGTGCATGTCAGGGTCTGTGTGTGTGTGTGTGCATGTCAGGATCTGTGTGTGAGTGTGCATGTCAGGATCTGTGTGTGTGAGTGTGTGCATGTCAGGGTCTGTGTATGTCAGTGTGTGCATGTCAGGGTCTACGTGTGTGAGTGTGTGGATGTCAGCGTCTGTGTGTGTGAGCGTGTGCATGTCAGGCTCTGTGTGTGAGTGTGTGCATGTCAGGATCTGTGTGTGAGTGTGTGGATGTCAGGATCTGTGTGTGTGTGTGTGCATGTCAGGGTCTGTGTGTGACTGTGTGCATCTCAGGATCTGTGTGTGTGAGTGTGTGGATGTCAGGATCTGTGTGTGTGAGTGTGTGCATGTCAGGGTCTGTGTGTGTGTGTGTGCATGTCAGGATCTGTGTGTGAGTGTGTGGATGTCAGGATCTGTGTGTGTGTGTGTTTGCATGTCAGGGTCTGTGTATGTCAGTGTGTGCATGTCAGGGTCTGTGTGTGTGTGTGTGCATGTCAGGATCTGTGTGTGTGAGTGTGTGGATGTCAGGATCTGTGTGTGTGAGTGTGTGCATGTCAGGGTCTGTGTGTGTGTGTGTGCATGTCAGGATCTGTGTGTGAGTGTGTGCATGTCAGGATCTGTGTGTGTGTGTGTGTGTGTGCATGTCAGGGTCTGTGTGTGTGAGTGTGCATGTCAGGGTCTGTGTGTGAGTGTGTGCATGTCAGGATCTGTGTGTGTGAGTGTGTGGATGTCAGGGTCTGTGTGTGTGTGTGTGCATGTCAGGATCTGTGTGTGAGTGTGTGGATGTCAGGATCTGTGTGTGTGTGTGTGTGTGCATGTCAGGGTCTGTGTGTGTGAGTGTGCATGTCAGGGTCTGTGTGTGAGTGTGTGCATGTCAGGGTCTGTGTGTGTGAGTGTGCATGTCAGGGTCTGTGTGTGAGTGTGTGCATGTCAGGGTCTGTGTGTGAGTGTGTGCATCTCAGGATCTGTGTGTGTGAGTGTGTGGATGTCAGCGTCTGTGTGTGTGAGTGTGTGGATGTCAGGGTCTGTGTGTGAGTGTGTGCATGTCAGGATCTGTGTGTGAGTGTGTGCATGTCAGGATCTGTGTGTGTGAGTGTGTGCATCTCAGGATCTGTGTGTGAGTGTGTGCATGTCAGGGTCTGTGTGTGAGTGTGTGGATGTCAGCGTCTGTGTGTGTGAGTGTGTGGATGTCAGGGTCTGTGTGTGAGTGTGTGTGTGTGTGTGTGTGCATGTCAGGGTCTGTGTATGTCAGTGTGTGCATGTCAGGGTCTGTGTGTGCGAGTGTGTGCATGTCAGGATCTGTGTGTGAGTGTGTGGATGTCAGCGTCTGTGTGTGTGAGTGTGTGGATGTCAGGGTCTGTGTGTGTGAGTGTGTGCATGTCAGGGTCTGTGTGTGAGTGTGTGCATGTCAGGATCTGTGTGTGAGTGTGTGCATGTCAGGATCTGTGTGTGTGAGTGTGTGCATCTCAGGATCTGTGTGTGAGTGTGTGCATGTCAGGATCTGTGTGTGTGTGTGTGCATGTCAGGATCTGTGTGTGTGAGTGTGTGCATCTCAGGATCTGTGTGTGAGTGTGTGCATGTCAGGATCTGTGTGTGAGTGTGTGGATGTCAGCGTCTGTGTGTGTGAGTGTGTGCATGTCAGCGTCTGTGTATGTCAGTGTGTGCATGTCAGGGTCTGTGTGTGAGTGTGTGCATGTCAGGGTCTGTGTGTGAGTGTGTGCATGTCAGGGTCTGTGTGTGTCAGTGTGTGCATGTCAGGGTCTGTGTGTGTGAGTGTGTGCATGTCAGCTTCTGTGTGTGTGTCAGTGTGTGGATGTCAGGGTCTGTGTGTGGGTTGGGTTTGTGTGGATGTCAGGTGTGTCGGGGAGTTGTCCTGAAATTCTGCCAGTGCCGATGGAGCAGGTTCCCCTGACCTTAGAGCTATGTGACCGTATCGAACTCTGTCTGGGGCACTGGGAGGGGCGGCTGGAAGAAGTGAGGCCCTGGCAAGTTGACACCCCCCGGGCAAAGAGTGAGGGCTGCTGTGGGCTACTCATGTCCCCCCAACCCTATTTGCTGAGCTCCTCAGAACAGAACCACCGTTTACAAGGTGGTGTGTGTCACGCCACCTCCAGTGGAGCCTGTGTGAGAAATCACTGGGCCGAGGCGGAAGCTTCAAGGAAGGATGCCTCCTGGATTCAGCTGCATCTCTAGTGGTCTCGGCGTTCCTACCTGTACTCTCTTTGCTCTTATCTTTGTGACTGGAATAATACTATTTATGTGCAGCAAAGGCTCAATGTTCCTTTATAGTTCTATGAAGCCTTCTGACAGGAGATTGGACAAGGATAGCAAGCAGTCTGAGATAAAAACTATCAAGTTACTAGCTTTAATGAACCTACTTAGGACTATTTTTGAGAATTCCTAAAAAGAAGATTATAGTAGAAATCTATAGCTTAAAAAGCCATACAGGAAGAAAAACTAGAAATATAGGCAAGTTAATATTAAAACCAATATAAGGCACAAAACACAATGAGAGCTAACTGCTTAATGATTAAAAATCAAATGGTGCTAAACTGCGTCCACAAGGAATAGCAACTACAGGCTGTCACCAGGCTATTAGAGAACAATCTTTGCTCAACACACCTGCTTACCTCCCTGGAATAATTGCTTGTAGATATGTAACCACATGTATAAACAAGGAAAATGTCCCTTTGCAATCATCTATTGTATATAAGCTGATGCCTTGCTTTTGCAAAATGCACTCAGATACAACTTCCTTGAGTTGTCGTGTCTGTTTGTCACTCGCCGAATCCTTGCCCACCGTTCCCGGGGTCCTGTTCCCATCAGACTGACTGCTCCCGGCCGAGCCGGTCCATCGCAAATGTGTATGAAAAAGCAATGGAATAAAACAAGACCCTTTTTTCTGGGTCCAGCAATCGTCACAGAAGACACAGGGGCGGGCTCGGGGACAACTGGCCTGGGGCACAACCAGTCATGGTGTTGGTCATGGCCACCCCACCAACTCATCCAGGGTCCTGAGGAGCTGTGAGAAAGGGGCCCAGGGTGGGGATGCCTCCTGGGGGCTATCAACAGGAAGGTATGCTCAAGAGGCCCCTCCAGCATGGCAGTGCCACTTCACTCCAGCTCCACTCCAGACCTGGCTCCTGCTGCTCAGACTGAGGCAGCCAGTAGTAACTGGGTCCTTCCTGCCCCACATGGGAGCCCTGGGTGGAGTTCCAGGCTGCCTCAGCATGTGGGGAGTGAACGGGGAGTGAACAGGGAGGGACAATCTCGCTCTCCGATGAATGACTGGCAGGTGGTAGGACCCATCAGCAGCTGCGGGGTGCCGGAACCTACCTACCAACAGGGTGCTACAGTCGGAACACTTGCTGGACCCCACTGACGGGGTGCCACAGCCGGAACGCCTGCTGGACCCCACTGATGGGGTGCCACAGCCGGAACGCCTGCCAGACCCTACCAGTGGGGTGCCACAGCCGGAACACCTTGAGCAGCAGAGGAAAGGATCTAACTGGATCCTTTACAGTCCTGACCAACAGAGAACCGTCAAGACCCCTGGCCCTAGCCCTGTAACACAGCACCCCAACCCACAGGCCTGGCTGTACCTGCACCCTCCCCACTGCAGCCCGTGTCTGCAGAGGAGACAGCCACAGCAGCGCGCCATCAGGGTCCAGCAGGGCCGCCCCCCTCCTCTCCGCCAGAGGGCAGGAATGGCTTGTCCCCTTTCCGGGCCTGATAGGTGCAAATTCTGTGCTGTGAGGTAATCAGCGTCCAGGAACCAGCCTGCGCGGGACACACACAGTCCCCATGTGCGCATGGACCTGCGGACCTCAGCTACCTCCAGGCCTTTGAGGTTGGGGGTCTTCCGCAGTGCCATCCCCCCCGCCCCTCACACACACACACTCGGCACTGTGCGTCTCGTGGCTGAGCCGGGTCCCCGGACACGCAGAGGCGGAGGAGCTCAGGTAAACAGAGGCTTTTAATAAAGTGCGACAGGTGCCGCGGCCCCGTGGGCGAGTGGCTCCCCGCGGCAGGGCGCGGGGACAGGAGCGCGGGCGCGCAGCAGGGGCATGGTGGCCCCCGGGGAGCGGGCGGAGCGGGTGGCACGGGCTCACCAGGCGAAGAGCGGCTTGCTGTCAGCCTTGGAGAGCTCGCACAGGCAGTTGAGCAGCAGCAGCGAGTCGCCCAGGAACTTGGGCGGCACCACGTCGATAAGCAGCTTGCGGAGTGCGGCGGGGCTGCTGTGCAGCGGGTTGGCGCGCAGGTCGGGGCGCTGCTTGAGGATGCCGTAAGTGTTGATGAGGAACTCGCTGAACACCGGGTGCACCTCGCGGTTGTAGCCCAGCCGCTCTAGCCGCGCCGTCAGCGTCAGGTAGCGCTGTGTCAGCTCGCGCAGCTTCTTCTGGTCTACCGAGCCATCCAGCGACTTGACAGACGTCTACAAGGCACGCGGCATGGGGAGGAGGGGAGGGCACGCAGCGTGAGCAGGGCGCGGGGCCCAGAACGCGGGCCATGGGAGGGTGCAGGATGGGGCATCAGGCACACCTGCTTTATCTTCTCTGGGATGTTGGACACCGTGAAGCCGTAGAGCCGTGTCACTCCCGGGAAGACATAGGCCAGGATGCGGCGATCCAGCTGGAAGGCAATCTCCCCGACGATGCGGCCATCCTTTTCAGCGCCTGCGAAGCTCTGGATCTCTGCGGGCCAGCACGGGCCTCAGTGGCCACGGCCTTCCCTCTCCCCTCCCCTACTCCCTCCCTACAGCCTGGCATTCCGGTTTAGGGGATCAGCCCATCCCCACCGCTCCCACTCCTGAGCCGGAAGGGGTGAGGGTTGTGCCACCGAGGTTCACCCATTCCACAGCAGTCCAGACACCCCACAGCCCAGAGGCCCCACCATCTGCAGCCCCGCGTGCCCACCCTGGGGCTGGATGCCAGCATTGGGCGCATAGCCCCACCCAGAGCGGCCACAAACGGCCGGAGGGGCCAGACCACAGAACCCACTTATCGCTGCCTTGTCCCCACTGCACTCATCCCCCTCCCCTCACACACACACACTGGTGCCAGGCTCAGCTCATGGACATCACAAGGAACAGCTGTGGGTGCAAGCAGGCAAGGGCTCTCCCAAGGCACGAAAAAGTAGCTGGGGCTAGGGCCCAAGGGGTGCATCTCCTGAGGATATCGGCCCCCATAACAGGCCCCTGTCCAACCAGCACAGAGTGCCTGCTGCCCCACACAGTGCCCTGCAGGAGCCCTTTCTGGAAGCAGTGGCACATGGCTGCAAGCATGGCCACACAGGTGGGGTGACCTCTGCACCACCAGGACCACCCGCATGGCAGAGACTGGGCAGCACCACAGTGGTTACTCAGAGTGGAACAAGATCCACTCTCACAGTGACCCCGAGAGAAGCCCTGGGCCCTCCTGCAGTTGTGGGCACATGGCTCCCTATCACTGCAAACCTCTCTCTTGCCAGAACTAAGGCCACTGCCCCCATCCCCGCCCCATGCGGTCTGCATCTCCAAAGGCTCTTACTCTACCCCTAATTCTAGACTATTCCATCACCGAAGCCACACAACTCTACTTCCCCTACAATTCTCGTCCCCCATGATGCCCCTCTGTAGGAGTGGCCATTCTGGATGCTAGTCAACACAGGGTCTCCAGTGGATACCCATCAACAGCCTGTCTGTAGTGCGGGTCCAGGCAAGTGGACTGTGGCTGGCCCTGTCCCACAGCCCACCTCAGAGCAGGCAGTATGACCCCTGGAGTGGATGGGGATCACACAGCACTGCCCTGACACTCCAGGGCCTCTTGCCCTGTATCTGCCCTGGTATACCACGCCTCTACCTACTCCTGGCAGCCTGCCTATCACAGCCCACCCAGCTATGCTGCCCAGACCCTGCCCATGCCCTTACCTGGCCTCATCCACACCCTACCTTTCCATGTCCATGCCTAGACCACACCCTGTCCACACCCACATACTGCCCATGCCCAGGCCACACCCTGCCTATTCACACCCACACCCTCCCTGTCCATGCCCAGGCCACACCCTGCTTGTCCATACCCCAGTCCTGCCCATGCCCAGGCCACACCCTGCCTGTCCACACTCACATACTGCCCATGCTCAGGCCACACCCACACCCTGCCCATGCCCAGGCCACACCCTGCTTGTCCACACCCATGTCCTGCCCACGCCCAGGCCATACCCTGCCTGTCCACACACATGTCCTACCCATGCCTAGACCATACCCTGCCTGTCCATATCCACACACCCTGCCCATGCCCAGGCCACACCCTGTGTGCCTATGCCCGTGTCCTGCCCTACCATTCAGGTAGAAGCTCCGCCGGGAGCGATCTCCCGTGGGCAGGTTGCTCTCCGAGAAGCACACCTTCTTGGGCCGTGCCATGTCCCGGGACTCTAGCAGGGTCTTGTCCACCAGCGGGTCCTGCGAGGGGCTCAATAGTGGGGACAGCTTGCGATCAGCGGCTGGATGCGTGCGCAGATCCGGGGGACTTAGGAAGGCCTTAAAGGGCGTCTGGGAGGTGGCAACACAGCCCGGGGAGGCGTCGTCCTCACTGGAGAGAGGTGCATGTGAGCATAGTAGGTCCTCGAGAGATGCCGTCTGCAGCTGGGCCGGTGCCTCAGGCATGCCAGAGAATCTGCCAAACTCAGGTACTGTAGGGGGTGGAGAGGGTCGTCAGCACAGGGTGGGGGAAGCTTGGCCAGAGCACGGCCCCTGCCAACACCCCCTTCGCGATCCCCCGCAGCCTCCCCATTAACAGCTTTGACACGAAGGGGCCCCTTCCCCAGTGCTCATGGTTCTGCCCAGATGAATGGTGGGTGCGTGTACCTTGCATGTGCCACACAGGGCACCTCCAGCCACTTACTCACACTCAATTAGATTCCATCCAGCACCCTGGTGCTACAATGGAGCTGCCATAGGCCCGGTTAGAAAGCAATGCTTCAACCCCCCCCCCACCCACACACACACCAGATGCGCCCCCCAGCCCAGAATGAACTGTGATACCTCCTGAGATGCATCTGCCTGTCCCCACACCTGGAGTGTCACCTGCCACTTTCTATCCCCAGGTTCATCCACTCCCGAGATCTCCGTGTGAGAATGCATGCTCTGAGCAGCAAAGCTATCACGTTTGGAACCTGCTTCCTTCCAGCCACACCAAGTGCACACACTGAGGCCCAGCACACAGGGGCGGGCTAAGCCCCCTGGCCACCTCCCAGCACACAGGGGCCGGCTAACCTTCTCTGGCTGCCCCCGACACACAGTGGCCAGCTAAGGCCCCTGGACACCTCCTAGGACACAGGAGCCATCTAACCTTCTCTGGCCACCTCCCAGCACACAGAGACCAGCTAAGGTCCCTGACTGACCCCAGCACAGACAGGCCAGCTAAGCCCCCACCAGCTTTCCCCAACACACAGGGGCCAGAGTTAACCCCTCTGGCCGTCCCCACCCCCAGACACTCTTGACACTTAGCAGCCATCACAATTTGCAATAAAGATCTGACAGCTCTTTCTCAGTGATGCCATGACGGCAAAACCTCAGAAGACAGCACTGTGCGTCCATGGGGCACAGTCAATTCCTGGCTCTGTTCACAACCCCAGCTCCCTGGCAACCAGCTCAAGTGCTCGGGCCCTTGACACCTGAACATGAGACCTGGGGATGGAGATCCCAGCTCCTGGGATGCTGCCAGCTCAGAACCAGGCAGAGCGGGACCCTGGGCCTAGACATAAGCATCTCCATTGGGGCAGACACAGAGGTAGAAAGAGCCCCAGCTTTCTGCACTGGAGTTTTTTTTTTTTTTTTTAACAAGAACTGTTTACTTTGTTTTATTTGTAAGGTAGAGAGACACAAGTCTTCCCCCATGGGTTTGCTTCTCGAATGCCCACAAAAACAGGGCCGGGCCAGGCCAAGCTAGAAGGCAGCAGTGAGGTCTGGGGCTCCCACATGGGTGGCAGGTGCCTGAGCAGGGAACAGGGGGGAAGCAGAGGACCTGGGACTCTAGGCTGAGGGGTGAAGCTGACCTATGTGCTCAGTGCCTGCCCCTGGAAAGACCCAGCCTGGGCAGCCATCCCCCCTCAGGACAGGTGGCCCACCAGCCGCAGCCACACCCTCCAAGTCTCTGCCACCTGCTATGCCCCAGATGCCCCTCAGGAGCTGAGGCCAGAGCCAGGGGCTGAGTGACAGGCCAGATAGAGTGCACCTGCTGACAACCCATCAAGGGGTCATTTGCATTGTCATCACAGACTATTAATTAATAGACACAAGAATTAATTGGAGGCCATGATATGGCAGCATCAGCATCCCATATGGGCAGTGGTTCAAGTCCCAGCTGCTCCACTTCCCATCCTGCCCCCAGTTTAGAAAAGCTTGGAAAAGCAGTGAGGGATGGACCAAATACTCAGGCCCCTGTTCCCATATAGGAAACCAGGATGAGGCTCCTGGCTCCTGGTTTGAGCCCAGTCCTGGCCATTGTGGCCATCTGAAGAATAACCCAGCATGTGAAAGATGTCTCTCTCTCTGCCTTTTATTAAGTAAAATCTTAATAAAATAAGCAAATGAACCAGGAAACTCAGAATTAGCTTCGAGATGGGCAAAAGTCACAGGTGAAGCCCAGTGCTCCCCATCTGTGGCTCTGGCCCCTGAAGCACTGTGGACAAGAGACCCCATCGACACTGTGCAAATGGTGACTGTGCCCAGCACATGGTCTCTAGCCTGACGGGCTCATGGTCACACCAGGGACACAGGACTTAGAGCTGAGGAGGACGAAGGCCAGGGCGATGAGCCTGTGCTGACACTGAGGCACCTGGAAATGGGCAGAACCTCAGCCGGGCCTTAGACTCCACTCAGCCAGGAAACCTTCCAGAATATTGAGACATGACCAGCCAAGCGGCACTCCCAATGCGAGGTGATCATCGGTGAACGGGGTACCACGGGACACTGGGCTGTTTGTTGTTGGGGAGTGAACAGGACAGTGCCTTCCAGCTGTTCTGAGAAGCAAAGGAGCTTTGACCTCTGCCAACCAGAAGGCATGTCTGCTTTGCACCCCAGCTTTAACCAGCGCCTCTGGTCTGCACCCAGGCTCTGTGTACCCACGCTCTGTGCATGCATGGACTCTGTCCACCCAGAGCACACAGAGACAAAGCCATGGAGCCAAGGTCCAGCACAGCAGCCCTTTGGTTGCACCATGGGAAGCTCTTGCCAAGGTTCTCCTCACGGAGCTGAAGAACCAGCCATTGTCACCCCTGTCCTCAAGGCACAGGAAGACCCCAGATCTGTAACCCCCTGCCCCACAGGCCCCAGCTCAGCGATAGCAGACCTCTACCTTCTGGCACATGTGAGGCCACATGTGGTTGTCTGCTCAGAGCATGTGACTGACCATGCTCAGAGGGTCATGAGCCTGACTTGCTCCAAATGGGAATGTGGGCTCAGAGTCCTCGGCCACCCATGAAGCCTGCTGGACACCCAGAGACCAGCAACAGCCTGGTCGGCAGGTCACTTCTGCAGCCAGCAAGGCTCACAGCCACCTGCTCTGTGGCTGAGGGCTGGGCAGGCCCTGATGCTCCTGTTCCCTCTGCCCCTGTCCCCATCCTGGCTAAGGAGTGTCCAATACTCCTGAGCTCGTGGGACAAGTGGTTCCATCCTGACCATAGCCCAAGGTCACACCGACTAGTTGCATTCCATCTTGTTCATGAAAAAATCCAGAACAGAAGCAATGACACCTGCAGAAGGTGACCAATCACTGCATGCTCCGCAGAAAACTCCAGAAGCCTGAGTCCTATGTGATGGGTGACTGCGACCATGGCCCATTTCTCTACACGGACAGCAGCAAGACCCTCCCCTGGTGGGAATCTCCCCACCACCTATCACAAGGGAGAGGCCAGCACCCAGCATAGTGACAGGACTAGTGGTGCACACGCCTGCAGCTGTGAGCCAGGTGCCTAGGCCAGGCATCCCCGGGCATACTCCTGTTGAGGGCCAGCCCTGCTGAGCTGACAGAACTGGGGGCATGCATACTGCCCATTCCAGACCACAGCACCGCCCCTGTATGATGGCCCCTGGCCCAGATACACACCCAGTGGCACACAGGCAGGGAGATGGCCACTGCTCCCTGTGCCCGCCTGCCTCACCTCCGCTCCCGGGCGAGCAGGCTTCAGGGTACATGTTGGTTTTGGGGAAGAGGAGGTCACGGCCGCCGTGGCCACAGGTGTCCTGGCAGCTCTCGCTCAGCAGCCTCTTGAGCATCTGGTTCTCCTTCAGCAGCCGCACCTGCTTCTTGAGGTCCGCGTTCTCGCTCATGAGCCTGCTCATCAGCTCACTGCCTTCTGCCATGGTGGTCGCCCTAGGTGCTCATGCATGTGCGGGCCTGCGGCCCCATGGAGATGGAAATCCAGGGCTCCCAGACCCTCCAGAAACAGCCTGAGACCCCAGAATTCCACAGCCTTGTGATGTCACCACCTTAAAGAGATGCGCCACTCCAGCCCAGCCCACTGACTGTAGATCAGCTGGGTACATGGGCCCGGCTGTGCCCTGGCCTGCCTGAAGGCTGAAGCCTACAGCGCACATGGGCTGGCACCCAGAACGCCACCAGACACATGGGGGTGCCATGGCGATGGGAGCAGGGGTGTGGCTTTGGGTTATGAGGGGCTGAAGCAGACATGGGCACAGCTGTCACCAGGGGCCCCAGACCAGCTGGGTGGGAGCAGCAGGGGTGGGTGACACTGGCCAGCCACACTGCAGTCCTCAGCCCTCTCCCTTCTCAGGGCTCCTGCCCACCAGATGGCCAGCAGCTCTGCAAGAGGGTTCTAGGAGAGCATCCACGTCAGACTGGTAGCCCCTGAGGTCCCAGCGAGCTCCCAAGGAATATGGCAGGAGGCACAGCCTCTTCCCCCCTCACGAAGAGACTTCATGCAGCCCTGGGTCCACCATGCTGCCCACAGGTGCTTGGGCCAACTACAGATGCCCCCTGTCAATGGATGGGGGCTCCCCAGGGCCTGTAGCTGGGGCTGCACCCCAAACCCTGTCCTGGTTCTCCAGCCACACCAAGGCTAACCCCATCCCCACATCCTGGCAGCCACAGCCTAAATGGGCTCCCCCTAATACCAAAGCGCATCCCACACACCTAGGCCCCTGGTCCCTGGCAACGGCAGAGAGGTGGCTCCTGTAGAACGCAAGCCTGGCCAGGCCGGCTTGCAAAGGCAATGCAGCTTCTGGGGAAACCAGGAAAGGCAGGAGTCTGCTCAATCAGATGTGCTGTCCACTCCTCCCTGCCCGGCTCTCGCCTGACACCTTTGAGGCGGCGGGCCAGCAGCTCCTGCACAAAGGGCAAGGCTGGGAGGGAGAAGTCAACACCTCCTCAGCCACACCCCGCAGCCTTCCCCCGCAGCCCTCTCCCTGCAGTTCCTGCTGGAACAGCTGTAAGCTTCTAATTCAAGTCCAAAATTGGATGTCAGGCTGTTTTGTCTTTTCATGTTCATCTTGACCATAACAAGTCCTTCAGGGGGGTCAGCTAATCTCAGGCGGGCCGAGCAGTATCTCACGGAGTGGCTCTGGGAGTGCCCAGGAGTCAGCTCATGTCTGTGGATGGAGCAGTAAAGGAGACACTAAAAACGAGGAGAGTCCCGCCTCTGACGAAGCCGAGGAGAAGGAAGCCAAGTCCGATTAACGCCACACACCACGTCTTATCAGTGCTCCCTGTCTCCCTTCTTGTACAATCCAGAGGAATATTTTTATCAACTATTTTGTAAATACAAGTTTTTTAGTAGCTCTAGAAACATTTTTAAGAAGGAGGGAAGCCCACCTCATCCCATTTTTAAGTGTAAATGATTTTTTTTAAGAGGTGAAATCATTGCTGGTTGTTTATTTTTTGGTACAACCAGAAAGTAGTGGGGTATTGGATTAGGGGAGGCTCTGCCTGTCGGTGTCCGCTTCACATTCCGTAGGTGGGTGGCTTTTGTATGCTATAACACACTGCACACCAAATGGCAATTCCCAGTCATAACTGTGCATTGCATCTGTCTTGGAAATTTTCAGTTGCTTCTCCCGTGTTGGTCAGTAGAGCTGTTTCCTACAGTGAACCACTCCTTGTTGCTGTGTCAGAACCGTGCACGCCCTGTTACACCTTTGGCTGTGGGGGTCCAGGGTTCCTAATCGTTAACGTGCTGTGAAAGACTGAAAACTTGCGTGTCGTGTATGTGATGTTCAGTCGTGAGTGGGTGGGATTTAGTGACAGCAACTGCAGACACTGGTACTTGGTAGCCTCTTGCAGAAGAGCTGCCTTCAAATTCAAAGCTGGAAAGTCACTGGAATAACTTCAAAAATGACAATTCATGGCTTGTTACTCTTGGTACGTATGTTAAGCTTTGTATACAAATTGAAATGTCCGTGTACTGATTCTCGACACCAATAAAATCTCAGTTGTGAAAAAAATAAATAAATAAAAATAAGTGCCTATCTGCTATCTGTGTATCTTTTGGTGAGGTGTCTATTAAGGTCTTTGGGCCATTTTCATGCTTGTTTTCTTATTGTGAAGTCTTAAGTCTTTTCAGACACTAAGACTTTTTCATATTTATCTTTTTAAAGTTATCTGCTTACTTGAAAGACAACCAGGTTGAAGGAAAGACAATGATCTCCCCAAACAGCCACAGCCACCAGGGTTGGGCCAGGCCACAGCCAAGTACTAGGAACTCCATTTGTGTTTCCCAGTTGGTGGCAGAGGTCCAAGTCTTTGGGCATCTTCCACTGCCTTCCCAGGTGCACGGGCAAAAAGCTGGGCTGGAAGCTGAGTCAGAGCAACCACTGGCATGCGAGGGAGCTATGGCTGGGAAAATACCTGGTTGGGGAGCAAAGGGGACAACCCTAGCTGGGCTGAGGTTCCCACAAAGAGGCGCGTGGCCTGGAAGGGGGGCTGCGTTCTGATCTGGATACAGTTGTAGTCTCCCTTGGCACAAGTGTGGACTGGGATTGGATGCACCGAACCAGGCTGGACCCCGACTCCCCCTGGTGTTCTGGAGGACCAGGGCAGATGTGTGATAGACTAGGCAAGGTCTCAAACCCCTACTGAGCCATGTGTGAGCCATACGTAGGTTTGGACAAACCATGGCTGGGCTGGAACATCCAACAGCAAGAACCAGATTGGGTGGAAGGCCAGTCAGGAAAAGCCACAGTTCCTGCTATGACAGGAGGTGGACTGAGTAGGGTTGGCTCATGGACCCACTGGTAAGCGTGTAACCTGGCATTGGGAGAGGTTCTGATGGAGGAGCCTGGGCAACTCCTCTGGCAGGACACAGACCCGGCAGGTCAGCGCAAGAAACATGATAGGAAACAGCCCAGAAAAGGCCATGGAAAGCTACCCACTGGCATACAATTGGCAGACGTGGGGGCAAGACCAGGCTGAATCTGTCCACGTCATCCACTGGCAAATCCAGGCACCAGTGTGGGTCGACCCAGGTTCGGTCGCAACAAAGACTAGTGCACAATGCCGAGGTGAGGTTGCCTGTACCGGAGGGGACCGCAGCGTCCAACCAGCCTGAGAACAAGAAAGGAAGTAGGCAGAGCCAGCAGGTGAATAAGGGAGGGTTCCTTTGCAGGATAGCTACTTCCGCAGGAGAGCATGGGCTGGGATGGGGGCAGACCAGACTAGGCAGAGCTACCACACCTGTGCGCCTCATGTGGACTAGATCAGGGAAAAGCCGGGCTGGGCGGATTATTCCTACTGGTGCAAACAGAATTAAAGTAGGCGAGGTTTGTTTGGGCAGCATCAACCGGAATCTGGGAGTGGGAGAGGCCTGGGAGGGTAACAGTGGGCTCATCCCTCTTGGGTTACCACTTCCACGGGAGGACATAAAACTAAACAGTGGCTGGGGTGGAATGGGGTGTGGGACAGACTGGATTACTGCTACACTTACTGGCAAACCAGGGTAGGGGCGGTCCTGGTGGGGGTTATTGTGGGTCGCTCCAACTAGGCTGCAGCTCCCACTGGTTTAGGTGAGGGCCAAGTATGTGTGGGGCAGAACCAGGCTGGACTGCAACACCCATTGGTTCCAGTGGAAGTCGGGAGTGAAAACAGAACCAACCCAGCAATTACAACCACCAGCTGATTGGAGCGATGGACGGTGCCAGGCCCTGTACTTGTTAGCACATACAAGAAGTTTCTTTGGAGATCTTCCTAATCTAAATGCTGGACTCAGAACCCTACCGAAGAAAAGAGAGAGGACAGAACGGGTCAACCAACCATCTCAGCTATGATGGACTATGTCAATCAGTGGATTTTTCAAAGACCTCATAGTGCTTGGAGTGGCAAGATTGACAGCGATTCATAACTGTTGCAATATCAAAACCACTTGAGCAAGAACCTCAGAGCATGCCCTACACCCGGGACTTGGGGAGGGTGGGAAATTGGGTGGGCCTTCTCCCTTAATACCCCCCTTTTAAACATGAAGGTAACAATATGGAAAACATACTAGTATTATCCACTTTCCTGTAGCCCTTGAACCTTCTTACTCTAACTAAGTATGTAAAGAATGTCAAAATAAATTTTATTAATAATAATAAAAAAAAATAGAAAAAAAAAAAAAAAGCTGGGCTGGCACAGAGCAGCAGGACTTGAACCAGCACTCAAACATGACATTTCACTGCAGGTGAGTAATAACTTCCAAGTACCAGGGATTTTTCACAGTTCCTTTTAGCCACTGAACCCTAATTTGTTTTGTGGCCAGGGATCATTTCCAATTTCTTGAGCTTTACAGCCGACTGTGTTCTTAGGAGATAGTTAACAGCAGGAGCGAAGAATGTCCCAGGCATACTGACCCAGCCTGTGCTGGCAATGATGACCTACATGTGAACCTCACAGGTCTATGCGATGGCTGTGGTCCCAGTCTCTCCCCTGTCCTGCTGACTGCTGCCTTTTTGAATCTTCTGAGAGATACCATCCACTCATTGGTTCACTCGGCCACCACCATGGACCAGGCTGAAACAAGCTACAGTTGAGGCAGGCCTCCCATGGTCTCAGCCATCGCACACAGCTTTCCAGGGTACATGCTGGAACTGAGTAGAGCCAGGTCCTGGATCACAAACACTCTGGTGTAGCTATCCTGAGCAGCAGCAGGTCCTGCACTGTTCCGAGTGGGTTCACGAGTGTGTCCACAGCACTGTTCCAAGTGGGTTCACGAGTGTATGTATATGTGTGTAAGGCCCTGCAATGTTTTTTTTTTAAGATTTATTTTATTTTTTTTTTTATTGGAAAGGCGGATATACAGAGAGGAGAGACAGAGAGGAAGATCTTTCGTTCCCAGGCCACAGGCAGGGAGCTGGAAGGGAAGCGGGGCCACCGGGATTAGAACTGGCACCCATATGGGATCCCGGGCATGCAAGGCGAGGACCTTAATCACTGCGCCATCACGCCGGGCCCAAGGCCCTGCACTGTTGAGCTGGCTCATGAGTATTTGTATAAGACCCTGCACTGTTCTGAGCGGATTCACATATATGTGTAAGACCCTGGACTGTTGTGAGTGGGTTCATGAGTATGAGTCTCTCGTTTGCTTAGAAGATGTTCATCCACCACTGGTTGTTGGTGACGTGCATCTGTGTGAAGTCAGCTGTGCGAGTTAACACATTTCTCCAAACTTTAAAAATACTCAAACAAATATTCATTTAATCACAATTACTTCAAACAGGCTTTTGCTTCCCTCCCTCTTCCCTGGGACTTCCATGGCATTTCAAAACAAAAACTCATGAAGAAAATTAAGATGTTTAATTATTTTAAATATTTTTAAACTCATACATACATGGGGTCTTCATGAAGCTCACAGAAAATGTGTATCGGACACAATGCTACAGGGCCAAGCCTGCAGTAATGCCGGGTCCTGGCTACCTCACTTCCCATCAGCTCCCTACTAAAGCTACAGGGCCACAGCCTGCAGCACCGGCACCCAACACAGGCACAAACACTTCTCATTCAGGACCTGAGAAAGGATGGTACAAGTGCGTAGGCCCCCTGTACCCACATGGGACAAGCTCCTGCCTCCTGGCTTCAGACCAGTCCAACTCTGCCTGTTGTGGCCATTTGAGGAGTGACCAGTGGATGAAAATCTGCAGATCTGATTTCCAAATAAATAAATTTTTTTGCTCACCCCAGCAGCACATATACCAAATAAATAAAATTTTAAAACAAAAATAAATTATAATTTCAAATATTTTTGCACCAAAGTAAAACTCCTCCGTTTTGACTTTTAAAGTTTATTTTATAAACAAAGAGGCAGACAAACCTCACCTATCCCCTGGTTCACTCCCAATCTGGCCACCAACAGCCAAGGCTGAGCAAGAACTGCGTGTAGGTCTTCCTGATGGATAGCAGTGAGGCAGGGCATGAGCCAGGGGCTCTGACCTTATAGCATGCCCACCAGGACACCACACGCCGGCCTGGCACTTCATCCAGCTCCACAGCTCCTTGACCTGGGCCACTCCATCTCACCCAGCAGGTCATCCTCAGGGCCCACTCCACACTACTGAGAGCCAGAGGCCATCGGTTTGGCTGTGACGGGCACAGAGCTGTTTAGGCAGCAAGGAACTCACTGCAGGGTGTCCCTGTCCCAGGGAGCCAGGTCACTATGTCACCCATCTGCAGGTGGGTCTTCACTAAATAGTGACTGGCCAGATGCTCTGGTGCCCTCTACTACCTGTCCTGCCCCCTCCGGCACTCTTTTCCACAAACTGTTGTGGATGGAGAGGTGAAATAAGCAAAACGGCCAACGCACCCTGTCACAGTGTACACACATAAATGAAACTTCATCCCACACGGCAGTGACAGGCAAGGAAATGGCATTTCCCAGAGCTAAGCCGACAGGTTCCCTCACAAGATCCCCAAGTTCCCAAGACAAATGGGATCTCGGAAGAAATTTACAGAATGTTCAACCTTGGCTCCTGACAACCAGAAATAAAACAACCCACTGCCATGGCATGGAGTCACATTTAATCACATTAGGGAAATCACTTTCCTTAGGACAGAGGTGATTTACTTGTGCCTGCGGGCTGCCCACACATCCAGTGTGGATGGGTCTCCATATCAGCAGGTGTGTGTGCACAGTGGTCTGGTCGGGGGTGGGGTGGGGTGGGGTGAGGTGGCTGAGCCAGTGGCACTGCAGGCTTAGGGCTGCCCTAGGGGGAGACACTGTGTGGCTAAATCCAAGGGTTTTAAAGGAGTGATTATTAAATGCTGGTTGTAAAGTGTCAGGCAGGGCTGACACTCCACAGTCACCTGCTGTATGGGCTGAAGCAGAGGGGTGAGGGCTGGACAGGGACAAGGCGAGGCCAGCAAGGGAACAGCTCAGGCTACAGGCCCTGGTGGGGCAGCCACTAGAATCCCAGTAGGACAGCCAGGCTGCCGAGGGCCCTGGACCCTGCACGGGAACTGCGGCAAGTCCTGGAGGATTCTGGACAAGAATGACTGGTCATTCTGGCTTGGCTCCCCAGGGGAATGTGGGAGGACAGTGGCGAGCTGCCAGCCCAGGAGGTGGGGGATAGCTGGTGACCTGGGGTGATGACAGGACAGGGCAGCAAGGGCACTGCTGTTTGGGAACCCCAGCTTAACGTACCTATCCCAACTTGATGTCTAGGTGACAGCCAGTGAGCTGCTTGGGCAGACAAAGGGCTGGGACCTGACTCTGTCCTCTGCATGTGACCCATGGGCCACACCCATAGGGCAGAAGCCACAAAGGACACAGGGACTCTCCCAAGAAGCTGTCCATTACGTGCCCATGTCTCACTCAGGTAGGAGGACTGGCAGCAGCTGAGCATGCCCTGGGTGCCAGGCCTCTCCAGGTGGCTACAGGCACCTCAGAATAACTGAACCACACACCAGAAACCATCTAACAGAGGTCAGGGCTGCGTCCATGGCCAGACTTGGTCCCCATATCACAGCCTCAGGACACGCAGGAGCCCCAAGCTGCTCGCAGGAGCACACAGCCCCATCCACCTGTCCTAGGACCCTAGGTGTCCATCAGTCTGACAGACAGAAGCCCAGGGGCAGCTGGCCTGAAACCCATAGGCCCTGAGAACGCAGGCCCAATGGTAGCGGAGCGTGCAGCGCCCTCTTCCATATCCCAGCCCCACCAGTAGCCGAGCTGTGCTCAGAGGCCAGCTGGGCTGAGGAGAAACCACTTGTGTAAAACCGCCACACCTGGCTTCATCCTGCCCCGGCCCAGGGCCCAGGCTCTCACCTGCACAGGTGAGAATACGGGCTGGGGCTGAGTCAGAGTTACAGGGGTCCCCACCACCCAGAGTACACACTGGCCTCGCACGGAGCTTGTCTGATCCACCACCTCTCTAAGTGCTCCCAGCAAGTGTTCTCTTGGGGTACAAGCGGGAGAAGCGACCGAGGGCCCAGATGGGGAAGACGTTCCTGTAGCTGGTGTAGCTGATGGCACAGGACTTGTTGAAGACCCCAGAGATGTTCTCCTGAAGGGGCAGGACAGGAACAGAAGTCTCAGTGGGGGGTCAGAAGCCACGTCTGTACCCACAGCTCAGGCAGCAAGGTGTAGGAGGCTGCCAGCAAGTGAACCCCTTGGCTCCAGCCAAATTCAGAGTCCTCACCTATGACAGACTACCACCCTGGGAAACAGTACCTCCTGGGACAGACCCTCACCTGGACACAGCCCCTCCTGGGACAGACCCTCACCTGGACACAGCCCTTCTTGGGGTAGACCCTCACCTAGATACAGCCTCTCCAAGTGTAGACCCGCACGTGCCTCAGCCCCTCCGAGTGTAGACCTGCCCCTGCCTCAGCCCCTCCTGGGGCAGACCCTCACCTGGACACAGCCTCTCCAAGTGTAGACCCGCACCTGGACACAGCCCTTCCCGGTGTAGATCCTCACCTGCCCCAGCCCCTTCCAGCCACATCAACGACTGCTACCTGGGACCCAAGGGAGGGAACCCCACTCACGAGCACATCAGAGGCCACATTAGGAGGGTCCTTTAAGGACCACTGAGCTGAGCATAGTCCATTGTCCCAGACCCAGCATCCACACACGCCAACAATGGCAGGTTACACAGTCGCAGAGTAACAGAGGACAAGGAAGGAAATGCCTGTGCAGGACTGAAGTCAGCACTGGGGCCTGTGTCCCTCCAGCATACCTGGGGCCAGTCACCATTGGGAAGCTGCTTGGAAAGCAGACACCGAATTCCTCTCTCCTGGGCAGCCACATCAGGATGCCTGGGAAAGAGGAGACAGACGCACAGCCAGCTGTAAGTACGCATATACACACAGGCCGTGAGCCTGCACATGGTTTTTGAGGACATACACACACATGGGCTGTGAGCACACACACACACACAAGCTATGAGCACAAACACAGGTTGTGAGCACACATACACACATATCCACTCTCAGGGCAAGAGGAGACAGATATGCACAAGGGGCCCAGGAATCAGGTTCCTGCTGTTGCCTGTGCCACCAGGCTAGCAGGTGACCAGAGGCAGAACCTGAGCCCTGGCCTGTGTAGCTCTTCCCTTTTGCCCACAGACCCTCCTGTGCTGTCACTCCTCCCTGCAGCCCAAGGTTGCAGGTAGGGTCCTGCTGCCCTACCTGGCAGCCATCAGCCCCATGAGGGCCCAGCATGTGTTGTGGATCTGTGACTGGGCGCTCTGAACGTAACGACGCTGTTCACAGGACTCAAAGTCCTCCCCCCAGCCTCCATCAGCCATCTGCCGGGACAGCAGGAAATCACAGGCCAGGGAGACCTCTGGGCAGGCAGATCTGCAGGCATGAAGACATACGGTGATGTCACTCAGAGATGGTCCTGGACCAGACCACTCCCTCACAGTCTCTCCGGGGCCTGGGAGGTCCTAGATCACATTATACTTGTCACACTAGGGGCCTGGCAATCCAGGGTCTCAGGTATCACGTCTCTGGAAAACCGTGCACCCACACACACCCATTTCTCATGTAAAGCTTAGGCAGTTGGACACATGCTCAGTTCCAAGGCCTCTTCCCTGTGTCCTGGCCCCCTGGGTGTCTTAGGACCTTACCCCTCCTACTCAAAGAGTGGTAGGAGCAATGCAGCTCCACAGAAAAATCCCAGGACTCTGACACTTCCTGATATTTCTTCACTGTTCCCCACTATTCATTAAGACCACCCAAGAACCCCAAGCTGGAATGGGCAGGCCAACTCACACTTCCTGGTAACCCCCTCATACTCCTGCTGGGACAGGCAAGTGCACTCACCCCTCCTGGTACCTCTGCCCCATGCAGGCAAAAGCTTCCAGGCCAAACCAGGTGCCGTAGGTAAAACAGACGCCCCAGGAACTGTGAGACAGAAGACAGTCTAAGCCTGGCTACTGCCAAGCAGAGCACAGCCAGACAATGGAGTGGCCGGGCTCCCAGACACCGTCCAGCACACACCAGGCTTGACTGAAAGCATTCAGAGCATTTCAACATGGTGTTTACACTGCGAGCAACCCACTGCCATGCTATCAAGGTCACCCACAAACAGCACTGCCAGACCCTTTACGGCGGACTGGACTTAGCCATTACGCACACCCACCCCAGGATCCCTGTGAACAGTGTGTGAGGACATACCCACCCCAGGATCCCTGTGGACAGTGTGCGAGGACACACCCACCCCAGGATCCCTGTGGACAGTGTGTGAGGACACACCCACCCCTGCGCTTGCACCTGTGCCATGCCAGTTGCACTCACCCCTCCCAGGAGCCATCAGGCCTCTGCGTCTTCCGGCAGTACTCCAGGCCCTGCTGCAGAGTCTCCCTGGAACAGATAGATGATGGTTGGGCCCTGTGAACCTGCCCTGGCCACCTGCACCCACTCTGTGGTCTCGAGAGAATAGACAGAGCAACTAGGGTCAGAACAGAGAAGGGAGGGTCTACATTGTGGCCCCTACAATTCCCACGAGCAGTGAGCCTCACTGGGGCCCAGAAGCTGCCTGTAGAGCAGAGGGCATCGACACATGGAAGAGGAGCCAAGCTGTGCCATGGGGTAGCCCAGCAGGATCAACCTCACATATTGAGATGCACACCTCAAAATCAACTGAAACAACAGACCAAAGTGTGAAGCAAAACTATAAAATGAAAGTTCCTCAAGCGCGGGTGCTGTGGTGTACTAAGTAAAGCTGCTGCCTGCGGGGCTGGCATCCCATATGGGTGCTGGTTTGAGTCCCGGCTGCTCCACTTCTGCTAATGCTCCTGGGAAAGCAGAGGAGGGTAGCCTGACTGAAGGTTGGACGTGACACTCTCCTGCTGGGGAGGCTGTCTGTGAGTGAACCAGCAGATGGAAGGTGTGTTTCTCCATCCCCATGTAACTCTTTCAAAGTAAGTGCAGAAATCTTACACACAGACGATTGCTGTTAAATACAACCAAATTCCTACGATGTATCCCAAGACAGTCTAGACACAGAAGGTTCGGCAGGAACTGCAAACGCAGTACCAGCAATCGAGATTCAGGACTAATAGGACTTCATTAACATGAAAATCTTTGACAGAAAGAAAAAAAAACAGTCAGCTTAGCTGGAAACCTCTGCAAAAGAGTGGGTGTTAAAGCAGAATTCAACGGGACTGGGGGGAAAAAAAACCAAACTCACTCCTAATTAAAACAGGGACCAGATCTTACCTCAAGCAAAGGTGTTATAAATATAGCAAAGAAGGATGCAATAAGATGCTAACACTACATCCACACGGAGCCACTGCTTGTCTACTGGACAGGCTGGACAACATCAAATGTCATGAACCCACACTCACTGCCAGTGGGCTACAAATGGAGGAGTCTGCCGTCAGCTCACTAAACAGGACTGCTCCCAGCACAAGGCCCAACAGTCACCCCCACGGCCCACACCACAGTGGCTGGGGAGACCCAATTTGACCTCTTAGCCCCTCACACACCTGCCCAGAAGCTCTCCATCTACAAGTGGTACAAGAGTACTACTTCCTGCCAGCATGCAAGAAGACTCAAGAGTAAACAAGTACATAAATGAATGAAGTGGCAGGGGGAGGCAGACACCTTCTCAAATCACTTATCACTCACTGTCAGCCAGCTCCACTTCTGGCTCTTGACTCCAGCCTGCTGCCAGGGGTGGGGGGCCTGGTCATGCAGGTGGAAGTCTTGCCTGGACTTCCTGGCTCCTGGCTTCAGCCTGGCCCAGCCCTTGCCATTGCTTTGCAGAACAGTGAACTGTAAGATTGAATTCTCAGTCTTTAAATAAATACATTCCTCAAAAAACTGGCATGGACCTAAGCCAACACACCACAAGGAAACAGACAGGAAACACACAGTGGGAAAGGCTAAACTACTTCAGCAAAGGCCAAGGAGAGCCCAGGATGGAGTGGCTGCCCACCGTGTCCTCCCTAGTAAGGGTAAGTGGATATGTTTCTGTGGTCAGGCAGGGTCACCACCACCCCAACCCATAGGCAGGGAGGCAACCAGATGGGGCTGGATGACTCAGCTGCTAGCAGGTGGGTCGGCATCCGCAGAGGCAGGCAAACCCAAGCCCACGTGACAGTCAATAAGAGATACTGCCTGTGGGGAGGACTGGGGGCAACAATGACCACCTAGCAAGCACAAAGGTTCCACCCCAAGTACAAGGCGGCCCCTGCAGCCACCACAACCCACGCTGGCAGGAGCCCCAAAGCTGAGAGTCCCCTTGCTGCCCAAGAGCTACACCAACCGGCATATGGAAGCAGTACACGGCACTGTTGGGATATTGCACAGTGACCACAGAGGCGTCTCAGGGTGGCAAAGGGCAGATTAATTTCTGCTTTGCACTTGGCAGAGAACATAGCCTCCCATTATGGTGGCTCTACAACAACTTCTATGAAGAGAAGATAACCATGCAGTTGCATGGCTGGGAATAGCTGCAGGTCAGAGAAGAGCCATAGTACCACAGGGCTGAGTGGCACATGACCTGGGTGACTGGAAGACAACCACGCAGTGTAGCCAGGCTGCAGCCAGAAGCCCATAGGGACAGGAACCTACACACTGGGACCATCACCTGCTGCTTCCCAGATCAGAAATGGGGGCATGTGGTGGGTGCTGCAGCACAGCATGAAAAGCTGACACTTTTAATGCCAGCATCCCAACACTAGCTAGTGTTCCAGCTGCTCCACTTCTGATCTAGCTCCCTGAACACGGCCTGGGAAAGCAGAAGATGACAACTCAGCTCCATGGGCCCCTGGTACCCACATGGGAGACACAGAAAGAAGCTCCTGGCTTCAGTCTGGTCCAGCCCCAGTTACTGTGTCCACCTGCAGGGAAAACAAACCAAATGAAGGCCCCCCTCTCTTTCTTCCTCTCTTTCTGTAACTCTGACTTCCAAATAAATAAATGAATAATTTAAAAAACCCAAACCAAAACAAACCACCACCACCAAGAAAGAAACACTCAGACACAGGATGTAGTAGACCAAGTGTAGGCTTAACCTCTGGGATCATGACACACATCCCCTAAAACCATTTTTACCTGAGTGACATCTCAAATGCATCTTAAAACATAAGAAATCTGAAAACCATTTGCCTAAATCTCCAAGCTGAGGGTTGAGAATTGGGGAGAGAAAGCAGAAATTGATGAAACAAAAACCAAATAATCATATGGGCAGGGGCTGGAATCAAGCAGGCTGATGATTTGCGAGTCAGAAAAGGCATGGCATGATGGCACCCACAGCTCGCAGCTGTGGGTACTCGACATCAAGCCAGAAGTGGGGCACAATTCCCCCCAAACTGAAACAAAAACAAAAGAACACCTGTACAACCTACACTAACGCAGAAATGAAACCCAAATGCAAACACTCATGAAGGCAGGGGCTGGTGCAGCTGTTGGTGGCTGGTGGCCCCAGCATGCTGTAACAGAGACCTGGCTCCTCGGCCGCAGAGACAGACACTGCCACTAGTAACTGTGGGCGACAGACACACTTAGAGAAGTAGGGGACATTGATGGATGGCACAGAGAGGAGAGGTAGGACTTCATGCTGGGGAGGCACCCAGGTACAGTGGTCACCCCATGCGTCCCACCTCAGTGGCCTGAACCCCTGTGCTGCTGAGTCGTGGCGTTCTTCCACACAAGAGATGGACACCACAGGTACCTGTGGACAGGTGCTTGAGTCCAGTGTGCATCCGTCTCCCACAGCGAGAGGCTATGACTGGGACCTTATGGCCTCCATCCACCCTGTGGTCATTCCAGGGCACAGGTGTGGCCTCAGGAGATGAACCCTCCTATCTGGAGTGGTCCTGTCCCTCGGTCCTCATCCTGGCATCAACCTTGAGGTCTGCCTGAGGGTGCCGCCACACAGTGCCTGGCTGAGCCCCTCACCTCATCTCTGAGGGCCTGTGGTCCGGGAACTGACTGTGGAAGTGCTGCAGCGCCTGCATCACTGCCGAAGTGCACTCAACATAGGTGTAGTCGATCATGATGTCTCCTGGGCAGGAATGGGAGGGTGGCAGCATGTGAGCCTGAGCCAGCTTCCCAGACACTGTCCCCCAGCACTGCATACAGCCTGCACCTTGACACACGCTCAGGCCACACAGCAAAGGGGCATCTAGTAGCCATGCCGCACCCATCTCAGAAGGTGGAGGCTCAAGACAGCGGGGAAGCAGTGGCAAGAGCCGGCCTTGCCCAGCAGAATCACAGCAGCCACACTCAAACTTTACCTGCAGCTGTGGTCCCACCAATGCCTCCCTGAAGGTACTTAGGATGCCAGGGGCCAAGAACCAAGCTCCCTGGCCAGCTAGGACCACACAGCAGCTGCCAACTCCACATGACCTTACTGTCCCAAAGCCACCTGCCTCGCCCCTGCGAGCCACCCCCAGGGACTGAGGGAGTGCCCCAGGTCACAGCCCCTTGGGGAGGGAACATGAGTCAGGTGTGTGCCCACATCGCAGCTGACCACTCACCAAAGACCTCTGAGGGGTTCAGCAGCTCCAGCAGATGCCCCCCACGCTTGGTCTCATAGGTGGCAAACCCTCCGTCTGAGTTCCTCATCTTCAGCAGCTAAAATTAGAAGGGCACCCTGAGAACAGCATCCCCAGAGCCCACTGACCCAGACAGCTTAGGAGTCACGGCCAGACCTAAGGCCCAGGGAACCACCTGATGCCAAGCCCTGTGTGCCCGCACGTGTCCAGGACACAGCATTGTGAGGCAACAAGACTATATCCTCACCACAGCCACAGCATCATAGAGCCGCTCCTGCGGGATGTGTTCAGTGACAAAGGGACACTGCTCCTGCAGCAGCAGCACAGACTTCAAGGCCTCGGCAGTGCAGTCGGCAACGATCCAGCCACAGTCGAGGGTGCTGAAGCAGAAGCCGCCCTGCAGGGCACAAGCTGTGACCAAGGACAGGAGGGAGCCCAGCCCTGTGCACCCACGCCAGGGCCGCCCATGACCGGGACCACCCATGACCAGGGCGGTCCACAAATGAGACCACCCATGGCCAGGGCCACCCACGACCAGGGCCATCCACAACTGGGACCACCCATGACTGGGGATCACCCCTAACAGACCCATGTGACACCTTCAGTCCTGCAGGCCACGGCACAGGCCCATCCATCCACCAGGGAGCCCATCGATCTTCCACGCCAGCCTCACCTCCCCATCCCAGCATCCGTGGACTGTGACTGCTCCACTGCCCCAGCAGGGCCCCTGTGTGCACAGACTGTGCAGCCAGGGAGGACCCCTGCAGACCTATGTCAGGGCAGCTAGGACCTCAGCTGGGCGAGGCAGCTGCCAGTACCTTGTTCATCTGGCGGTAGTACTTCTGGTAGTCGGGAGGGTTGTCTAGGACCTGGGTGGCACAGGAGCACGTGCAGAGGCAGAGAGAGGGGTCATTAGCAGTGCTGCCATGTGGCACCCAGACCCGCAAGAGTGACACAGCAGCCAGAACACTCCACTGACGAAGCCCACAGGCCACCACAGGCAGGAAACAAGTTGTCTCGGCAAGGACTGAACCCAGTCCAGATGCTCCCCACAGGTATGGAGCACCCAGCCATACCAGCTTCCCTACCCTGTACAACTTCACCCTACCCCATGTTTCCACAAACCCTCAGGTGGGCTCTGTGTGTCCCAACCGCTAAGACAGGAAGTGAGTCAGTGTGAAGCAGGCAGAGGCAGGGCCTCTTCCACCCAGCCCTTGCTCTCACACTGACACCCTGCCCAGCCCCTGTCTGCTCCTCAGAGCGCCCCAGGTCTCACCTGGGAGAGCCACAGGGAGGTCCCCCGGACTGTGAGAGCCTTGTTCCAATGCTGATCCCCTATCCACCCATCAGAGAGCCCTCACCCAGGTCTCACCTGGGAGAGCCGCAGGAATTCATGCGCCTTCTGCAGGCAGGATGAAAACTCAGGCCTGTGGTGTGCACCTGCCTGGGGACAGAGTAGGCAGCACAACTGAGCCAGTCCTGCCCCTGACGGAGTCAGAAGCCAAGTCACAATCATCTGGATCATTCTACTACTTCATGTTGCACTCATCTTTTAGAGACAAGCAAAAGTCAGTGAGAAGCAACTGACCATGGGGCACCCACTCCACTGTGTTCATTCCCACAGCACAGAAATCCGCTCACAGCTTGCTGAAGGTTTGTTCCAGGACACAGCATCAATGGACCATGTAGGTAGGTCCAAGTCTGCCCAGCCCCAAGATCCCTCCCCGCCAGGCAAGGCCAGCCACTTAGCAGATCAAGGTCTCACAGCCTAGGCTGGCCAGAGTTCCAGGGTAGATGCCATATCTGTACATGGGCAATGAAGTCTTGGGCAGACAATGGATGACACACAGGGGCAGTTAGAAAAGGGTGGACACTCGATGACACACAGGGGCAGTTAGCACAGGGGTGGACACTCGATGACACACAGGGTAGCGAGCACAGGGGTGGACACTCATTGACACACAGGGACAGTGAGCACAGGACAGAGCCATATACCTCCAGCAGAGCCTGGATGGCGAACGCGGTATCCCAGATCTGCGAGCCGTTGGTACCCTGTGTGTCAAGGTGGGGCTGTTAACTGCAGCACTGCCATAGAAGCCTGGACCCCCATCCCCCTGGCAGCACACAGGGCCTGGGGTCCTGATCCATCTGAGTCCTAAGCAACTCTCACAGTTGACAAGAACCCACAGGGAGCTGCACTAGACGTGAGGAAGCAGGTTAGGAAGCCCCTGCCAGGACCACAATGTTTGGGGCATCTCCAGGGCAGAGCAGCCCTGACCACTAAGCCCCTAACCCCCAAGACAGCAGAGTTCCCACTCCCAGGCCTGTCTGCAGATTCTGGCTAGGACTGCCCACTTGCAGCGCCATCCCAGCCTAGCTCACAGGCTAATACTTAGCTCAGACAACAGGTGACCACTCTAGGGAGAAAAGGGCCTGGAGGGCCGAGAAAACACCCTTACCAAACGCCAACAGATGACACTCAGGGCCTAGCCACCAGTCCACAGGGTCCATGGCCAGCCACGTGGGGAGCTTGGGACCCAGTGAAGAGGAGAGAGGCTGCTATGGCCAGCTCAGCCCCTGTGAGGACCACGCAGGAGTCCTGACACATACCTGAGCAGCACGCTCAGGAGGCAGCTCCAGTTTGGGCACAGCCTTCTCCTCCTCTTCCTGGGAGGCTGTGTGTGTTCCCACCTCGGGACTCGATCTCACACTGGTCCTGGGTTGCCCACACCCCTGCCACTGTCTTTGCTGTGGCTGCAGAAGGCAAGCCTGATGTTGGAGCTTGCTGGGACAGTCACCATATGACCTCTCAGAGGCCTCGGTAGTCACAATAGCAGGAAAGTGGGAGCCAGGCTCTGGGGCTGCTGTGAGAACGGGCCCAGTCCTGAGAGCGAACAGGAGGCCACAGACAGACTTCAGCAGCCCATCACCCTGCCAGAGACCTCACAGCGTATGAAGGACCAGCTCAGAGCCTCGCAGCCTGTTGTCCTGGCAGAGACCTCACAGCGTACGAAGGAACAGCTCAGAGCCTCATATGTACACAAGAGGTTGCAACAGGGTGCTGAGCTCACAGCAAGAGCTGTCAACTATGTCTGAGCCAAGCAAAGAGGGTTGCAGTCCCACAGGGGGAATAGCTTGGCCCATGGCCCTCACCTGCATCTTCATGCCATCGAGGCCCAGCCTGTGGGGACAAGAAGGCTTGCGTCAGGGACAAGGAGGAGCCCCAGACCCAGAGGCCTGGGCTCGCAGCATGGGTACCCCCTGGAGCACAGGCACTCAGAGGTGTTCCTGCTGATGTATGTCCAGCAGCTGGGGAGGGACCTCACGTGCTGCGAGCTGTGAGCCCCTCAGCGGTGCTCCAAGGCAGACAAGCTCTACTGGCCACAAGCCCAACTCCCACCAACCTGAAGCTGCCCTCCTTCTCCCAAATGGACCCAAAATCCTGCCAGGTGGCCAGTCTCCAACAGTCGTTTCCTAACCCCTAACATTCTTCCTGGCTCCTGATGTCACACCCTGGAACACTTGCGCAGTGTCAGGCCTGTGTCTGCAGTCAGCACCCAGCTTCGCTCACCAGAGATAGTCTGGGATCCGGGACACGTGTTCCTGGAAGGCCGGGGAGGTGGGCCCATCCACAAACCAGCGTACCAGCATGTTGATGGTTTTTGAAATCTGCACAAAAGGGAGTGAGTACACACAATCAGGAGAGTGTGCAGGTGTGGGGATGGGAGCACACACAATCAGGTGAATGTGCAGGTGTGGGGATGGGAGCACACACAATCAGGTTAAGTGCTCCACCAGGCCCACCCATGGTTTCCTCTATTCCCTTGGGGCTGTGGAAGATGACCTAGTGGGGTTCAGGAGTAGCCTCATGCCCAGTGCATAGCAACAGACAGGACCCAGCACCGAGCAAGCTGTGGAGGTCAGAGCATAGGGACAGGATGGGGTAGTATAGGTCAGGTCAAGCCCCTGGCGAGGGAGTCAGTTTGGGGCTTGTGCCTTAGTTCAACTGACCAGGGGCTGCCCAAGGTAGGACACTGACCGGGCCAATGCTGATGCACTTGGTGAAGCGGTCATCAGCAACGATGTGGTCGTACAGCTCGCGGATGGCACGCTGTCGCAGGCTGCTGCTGTGGTAGCTCTCGTACAGGTTGAGGACCACTGCAAGGGGCAGGGGCTATTGAGGCTGTGACACCGAGATCCTGGCCTCAGCCTGGAACCCTGACACAGTACAGTGCCTGGGTCCCTGCTCCTCTCCTCCCATTGCCCACACTGTACCTGCCATGTTTCCCTCCACTGATCCCCCCGCCACCTATCCTGTCATCTGCTGGGGTGCTCTCTGAGAGGTAACTCTGTCTACTAACCTGCTCACTACCAACTGCAGAGAGAGCATGTGAGAGTGACTAGGGCATGGCCATGCTGCACAGACCCAGGACAACCCCCTCAGGAGCACCCACCGTACGCCACATGGAGCAGCCAGCTGTGCGGCGTGTATAGTTCATCTGGGGCCACGTTGTTCCTCTGTGCTGGCCAGTTGATGCTGGCATAGTCCTCCACATACAGCTCCTGGGGGTTGGGGAGCACCTGAGCCACAGGTAGGGCCAAGAGGGGAAGCCCAGGGGATGGCAGGAAAGACAGGCCACCCTGGCCACACCAGAGCCGAGAGCTTCCAGCATCGCCTTACAGGCAGAGCACTGCTGTCAGGCTCACTGCCAAGGGCACCATGGCCAGAGTGGGGCAGACCGTGCTGGAGTTGGAGCACCTGGCACACTTGGCCCTGGGCATTGCTACACCTGACCCCCTCCGGGCATCTGTTAACAGGGGAGCAGCGAGGCAGGGCACAGGCTCCCCAGCCCTGAGACTGTGTGTCACCTCCCCAGGCCAGGTCCCACGGCTGGGGCTTACCTGACGCAGGCTCAAGATCAGTGGGTCCTCAGAGGCGCTTAGTCGGGTGGCATAGCAGTAACTCATGGGCAGGTAGACTTGCCGGCAGTGGCACCACAGCGTGGAGGGGTGTGCGGGCATCCAGGTGGGAAACAGCCTGCAGGACAGCACGGGTCAGCAGGACACCTCAGACTCTAGCTTGCCTCCCCAGCCAGCATCAAGGTCTAGGGCCTTTTATTTGGAAGGCAGAGTCACATAGAGAGAAGGAGACAAAGATTTTCCATCTGCTGATTCACTCCCCAGGTGACCACAATGGTAAAGACTGGGCCAGACAGGAGCCAGGAGCTTCCTCCAAGTCTCCCACATGGGTCAGGGACCCAAGCACCGGGGTCATCCTCTGTTTCTCCAGGTACATTACCAAGGAGCTGGGGTCTGTGCAGTGGGTGGAGATGACAAAAGGTATGAAGAGAACAGCTCCCTTGTTGCCAAGACCTAGAGGAACTTCCAGCTGTATGGCAAGGCCTGGTGGATGTCTCTCCAACCACTTCAATGCAGTCTCACCCCCTTTTTGCATGCACACTGTACCACCCTAGTAAGAATTCTGTAATCCATTGAAGCACTGTTGTTTGCCCCTGTGAGATGGCTTTTGCAACCGATGTGAGCTTGGGAGTTAATGGTATTGATAATGTCTTGGTGAGTGGGCGTTTAACTACACACAGGAGTACAATTAAGCCCATGCCATTTCTGGACACCTTACTGTGTTCCTACTCATTGCCCTGGAATCTGGCCCAGACATGTAGCATGCCTTCTGGGAAATGGCTTGATAAGTATCCTACAAACTAATGAAAGTGATGGGAGTATGAGCTGAGACTGCTATGGCAAAAAATATAGTTGCTGGGACCCTAAAGGTTAGCCTGTCTTTGCAACTCTTTAGAGCACAGGAAATATAGCCGTTTTAATCGCTTTTATAATTTCTTAATTAGAGGAATTATAGGGTGATCTGATTAATATCATAGAGACATGCTTTTAATAATTGCTTGACTGTTTATGGGGCTGTAGAGCCTGCAGTTGTAGGGGATTTAATATTTGAAACTTTTTGTCTTGGATCTTTGTTTTTTTCCCTTTTGATGTGTTGCTCCCAACAAGTGACACATAAGTTGTGAAAATAAAATGTAGTGGAACGGATTACTTAATTAGTAGGTAACTGCTTGTGCCTTGGAGTCCTGGCTGTCGCCTAGCGGCTGCGGCTACTACTAAAGAATGAATCGTGGCTTGCTTTAAAGAAACTGATTACAGTAACTTACAGAATTATATCTAAGAGCACCTGGTTGACCATGAAGTAAAAACTAATTAATCAAACATCTGTGCATGCTGGCTTAGTTCTGAAGTAAAAGAGTAAAATTAAATGTTTGTGCAGGGGTTTGTGATGTATTTAAGTAAATAAAAGGGGCAGCTTCTTCTTGAGCTGTTAAGACAGGGCACCAAGTGACAGTGTCTGTGTCTTTCTTTATCGCCAATTCCACACACCCCTCTCGATCTCCGAACTCAGCTGGAGCTGGCCTCTGGCACCAGGGAGCTAGATCAGAAGCGGAGCAGCTAGGACACAAATCAGCGCCCATATGGGATGCCAACATCACAAATAATCTTTAAAAAAAGACAAAATCTCCTGGGCCCTGCATGGTAGCCTAGTGGCTAAAGTCCTTGCCTTGCACACCCCAGGATCCCTTATGGGTGCCGGTTCCCATCCAGCTCCTTGTTTGTGGCTTGGGGAAATAGTCTAGGATGCCCCAAAGCCTTGGGACCCCATACCTGCATGGGAGACCTGGAAGAGGTTCCTGGCTCCTGGCTTTGGGTTGGCTCAGCTCCAGGTGTCCAGGTGTTGTAGCAACTTGGGGAGTGAATCAGTGGATGGAAGATATCTCTGTCTCTCCTCTCTGTAAAATCTGCCTTTCCAAAAAAAAAAAAAAAACCTTTCCCTGTGAGCTTTAGCAATGTTGGAATGTTAGAGCTGGTCAGGCCTGGTCCGGGGGAGCCATGCACACGGGCTTGCTCCCACGCTGCCCTTTCAGCATCATTCAGTGGGAAGTACAGGACGCCAAGCTGAGCTGGGCACAGCTTCTCGGCTTCCAAAATGTTAGGAGATGCTGAGAACAGATATCAGAGAACAAAGAATTATAGTTAATTTTGCAGAAATTTAAACAGTAGGATTCTGCTTTAAAAAACAAAATGTCTCCTTTCTCACTCCAATCAGTGGTCCACATCACTATACACCCTTCTCAACTTTGTAAACATCACCAAAAATAAAATAAATTTATAAAGTTAAAAAAAAAAAACTGTCCAGGCTAATGTATTCATGGGCCAACTGACATCTGGCTCGCCTCATGGCTACAGAGGCCAGCTCTGTGACGTCATAGGCCTGGGCGCCAGTTCAAGTCCTGGCTGTTTCACTTCTGATCCAGTTCCCTGCTTGTGGCCTGGGAAGGCATGAGCATGGCTTGGGTCCCTGTGCCCATATGGGAGACCCAGGTGAGGCTCCTTGCTTCTTTGGAATGAACCAGAGGATGAAAGATATTTCTCCCTTCTGTCTAACTCTGCCTTTCAAATAAGCAATCAAAAAAAGAAAAAGAAGAAAAACAAACAAAAAATCCCAAAGCAACAGAGGGAGTCCTGCCTGCCAAGGCTTCACATATCACTCACCTCCACACGAAGCCTCAGTTCCCGCGAGACCATGCCAGGGGTCTGCGACATCAATACAGGCCCCATCCTGCGGGGTTCCCCCGACCCCTCTTCCCTCCTGTCCAGCTATTAAGACCCTTTCCATGTCTACAGGACAACAGCTCAAGCAGGGTCTCTGTCAGGAAGCTAACCTGCACACTTGCCCCTCCTGGAAACAGCCAACAGAGACCGTGAGGCCCTGGCCAATGGGCAGGCTTACCACATCTCCGGGAACAGGGTGTTGAGGCCTTCCCAGCTGTAGACATTCAGGACAGCCAGCCAGAACTTGCCCCAGGAGGGGATGGCTGCAGCACCCCCTGGGGAGAGAAGTGGCCTCTGTCATCAGCCTATGCAGTGCAGTAAGTAGAGCTGCTCGGGACAGCCTGCAGCCCCGTGCCCAGGAGGAACACAGGAAGGCGGCCGCAGGGGGACAGGAACATTTCAGAGCTTGCGAGAGGGAGGCAGCCAGTGTAGCCTGCACCCAGAAATAGTACCAGGGAGAAGGGTACCTCCCTTGCCCAGCTTGGATCCAGCTTAAGCTGCGCCATGTGACCCCCTCTTGGTGGTCAGCCCAGTCCAGGCTCAAGAGGGACCCAGTCTGCAGCCACAGCCCTCACCCTCACAGGCAGCTCTGCCCCATCCCCATGTGTGTGCAAGTCAGCAAACCCCCAGGAACTCCCAGGCACAAAGCACAGCTTGGGTACCTCCCCCCGCAAAGCAGCGGCAGGGTATGAAGGGCCGTCAGGGACCCAGAAGGTGGACACACAGTGTCGGAGGAGAGAGCACAGGGTCTCGTGAGAAGCTGTGACAAGCATGTCACCTGGCCTGGCAGTCCAGAGACTTCTGAAGAAATGACATTTAAGGAACAAATAGAGACCACCAGGCACAGAGAAGCAGGACAGGGAAGGTGCAGCTGACAGGTCACTCCATAAAGGAAGGGCGGTGAGGGCAGAGCTAGGCGCAGCCTGACACGCCCCTCAGAGCACAGGAGCACAGGCCTTCCGGGCTAACGGCCAGGGCAGGAGCTGTGTGAGGGCAGGTCCTGCTGCCTAAGGCTGTGTCTGGGTGGCTTTCTGTGGCCTCAGCAAGCAAGGCCCAAGTGTGCCTGCCATCTTTAATTTGCTTCCCGGGACAGGTTCGTGGCCCAGTGAGTTAAGCTGCCACCTGGCGTGCCCACAGCCTGCATCAGTGGCTGCATGAATCCTGGCTACTCTGATTCTGACCCAGTGGCGGCAGATGACGACTTAGGTGCCTGCTATCTACATGGGAAACCATTCAGACTTCCTGGCTTGACTGCAGCCTGGCCTGGACAAGCGCTGTCTCCCTGTCACTCTCCCTTACACACAAGCTATACAAATCCTTAAATGGAAGCAGTAAAAGACTTGTTTAGTACATTTCATTTGTGTGATGATTTCTGAGAGGCACAGAGATAAAGAGTAAACAAACAGCGAGAGCTCCCACTTGCTAGTTTACTCCCAAAGCCCCTACGAAGACTAGCAGGAGACCAGGAGCTGGGACCCCAGCCCAGGAACCCAACCACCCGAGACCCCACTATCCCCCGTGGTCAGCATTAGCAGGGGCTAGAGGGAGGACCAGGTAAAGGGAGCAGACCCTGGCACTCTGGTGTGGGACGTGCAGGGACGTACCTTTCTTGTGAAGAATGTTCCGGGCTCGTACGAGGTCAGGATCATCGGGCCCGACGCCCAGGATTCTGAGGGACACGTAGTTGAGTGCAGTCCCAAACACTGTGGACTTGTCTTCGATGTGCCTATGGGGCAGACCAAGGGAAAGCCACAGCCGTCACAATCTAGAGGCAGAGCAACACCTGCAGCCTGTTCCTTCCGGAAGGAAGACACTGGCAGAGGGGCAGCAGGTGGCCGTTGTGAGGGGCGGTCAGTCACTCCCCGATGCCACCGGGCAGTGCACATCACCCTTCCCTGGGGCCCACAGCCTCCCCTGGACAGCTCCTGTGGAGGACACACACGTGACCCAGGGCAGGTCACTCACAGGCCCCAGCCGCCATCAGGGAGCTGCACCGACCGCAGGTACCGCACAATCTCTTCTCTGTAGCCGGCTGGCAGAGGGATGCGTGCCGTGTAGCATGTGATCAGCAGGCCTGTGTGGCAGGAAAGATGGTCCAGGCCCCTGGCAGAGCTAAGCCCAGGGAGGGCCCCACCCAGGCTTGTACACAGAGGTCTTCTTCCCAAGGCCTCAAGCCCAGGAAGGTCATTCCTCTTCGCAAAGGGAGCCCACCGGCCACGGCGAGTTCCAAACACTGCCTGGCAACTTGGGGAGGTCTCCCCAGGGTGCCCTGAAGTCAAAGTGGAGCCTGTATTTAGGATCAGTGGGGTTGGTGCTGACAAGATGGCTCAACTGGCTAGTCCTCCACTTGCCAGCATCAGCATCCTATACAGCTGCCAGTTCGAGTCCTAGACATTCCACTTTCCTTTTTTTTTTTTTTAAAGATTTATTTTATTTTTACTGCAAAGTTAGATATATATAGAGAGGAGAGACAGAGATCTTCCATCCAGTGATTCACTCCCTAAGTGACCACAACAGTCGGAGCTGCACTGATCCAAAGCCAGGAGCTCTTCCAGGTCTCCCATTCAGGTGCAGGGTCCCAAGGCTTTGGACCGTCCTCGACTGCTTTCCCAGGCCACAAGCAGGGAGCTGCATGGGAAGTGGGGCCACTGGGATTAGAAACAGCGCCCACATGGGATCCCGGTGTGTACAAAGCAAGGACTTTAGTCACTAGGCCGCTGCAATGAGCCCGATGCTCCACTTTCAATCCAGCTCCCTGCCTTGTGGCCTGGGAAAGCAGTAGAAGACGGCCCAAAGCCTTGGGTTCCTGCACGAATGGGGGAGACCCCAGAAGAAGCTCCTGCCTCCTAGCTTTGGAGTGGCTCATCTCTGGTCATTGTAGCCATCTTTGTCTCTCCTTCTCTCTGTAAATCTGCCTTTCCAATAAAATAAATAAAGAAAATCTTTTAAAAAAACAAGAAAGAGTGACTATGAATATGCTGTTACAAAAAGAATTCTTTTGGCTCAATATAAAAATTATTTTAGAGTGCACTGTATTGGTTTTACAATATTATATTCTGGAAGTGACTTTATTAAAACCACCTACAGTTTGTTATTTAAAAATAGAAAGAAAGAAAGAAAAGACTGGCAGGGAGACTATTAGGGATGCTTCACCAACAGCTGGGAGAGAAACACTCCAAGAATCTCCACTGGCTAGGACCCGAGTCACCTGCAAACACGTGATGAAACACAACTGGAAATACAACCGACAAATATCCTTTCAATTTGGGCCCTCCCAGGTCTGGTGCCCTCAGGCCATCTGCCACTTCGAGCCTCTCCAGCCAGTGCCCCCAACCCTGTACCCACATGTCTGGTACAAGACAGGTCCTGGGAAGAGCTTTCACACAATTACTCAAGACTTCAAGGAAGTCATTTGTGATGCCACACCCCACAACAGAGGGCCAGCTCAGAGTCCCCACTGCTCCACTTGCCATCCAACTCCATGCTCACACACCTGGGAGGGGGCAGGTGGCAGTTCAGCTATGGGAGACCTAGACACAGTTTGTGATCCTGGATTCCCCCAGGCCCAGCTCTGGCTGTGGAAGACATTAGGGAGTGACCCAGAGGATACACAATCTCACTCTGCCTGCTTTCAAATACACATGAGAACACACTGTGTGCTCAGCAGCCTTGCCTAGGCCAGGCCCTGCACTAGAGTTCCCGTCCATTCTGTGCTCAGTGTCCAGCCCTGAGTTCCCATACTTACACCCCAGGGAAATCCTAGGTCCCCTGAACTGGGAAGAGCCAGCTGTGCCCTCACGCTGGTTCATTCCCCAGCCTTGCTCCCAATCCCCAGGGAAACCCTGAGCTCCCTGAACTGGGCAGGGCCAGCTGTGCCCTTCCCCAGCCCTTTGAACCTTCACTTGTTTCATCAGGGGCCCAGGCTGGACCAGGACAGCCATGCCCTGACGTCAAGAAGTAGGTGCCTACCTGGCAGGAGGAATAGTGGGCCTCCATAATCCCCTGCCCAGTGTCCATCCTCAGCCTGCAGTCCCATGTAGAATGTTATTCCGTTCAGAGCTCCCTGGAGGGCTGTGTGGGCTTTGGGCAAGTCCTTGAAATAACTCTTCTGCAAAGGAAACAAGATCAGGTTAGATGTCTGATATCCCTCAAGAGGGGCCCTTATCATTCGCATTGATGCCAAAAGGCAAACACATCTTCCTAGCTCCCAGCTTCTGACTGGTCCAGCCCTGGCTGAGGGGACATCTGGGGAGCGACCAGTGGATCAAAGATCTCTCCCCATCTTTCTGCCTTAAAATTAAAATAATTTTCAATTTATACTATGACAAAGGCAGGAAACCCAGGATCGTATTGCCAAGGTATTGGGAGGAGAGATGCATACTGCAGTGCACCTGCACTTCCCCGTGGTCAACTACGAGAACGTATGTTTATACTTGCTCACTTACATACTAGAATGTTGAACTTGTCACTATTACTAAGGGACTATATGACTGGAATAATACGGGGAAAATGGTGGGAACAGAAACAGGGAAGGGAGAAGGGGAGGGAAAAGGGGGAACTCCTATCCCTGCAAAACTATATCATGGAAAAATAACAGTAACAAGGAAAGCTGCTTTAAACATGTATAGTGTCAAGACGAAAGCTTCAACTACTTTGATCAGAATCTTCTGAGTGGGGCTTGTGGTGTGTGGACACAGCTGACATCCAGGAGGCCAGCAGCCCTCATGGGTGCTACATTTCTGATCCCCCGTTCCAGTGGCCTGGGAGTCAGCACAAGATGGCCCAGGCCTTGGCCCCGTGCCACACCAGAGCAGAGCTGGACAAAGCACCAGGTTTTGGCCCCTATGCCATCTGCTGCAGCTGCTTGCAGAGTGAACCTGTGGATGCAAGGTCACCATGTCTCCGTCTCCTAACTCTTTCTTTCCCTTTTTTTTTTTTAAAGATTTATTTATTTTTACTGCAAAGTCTGACATACAGAGAAGATCTTCCGTCCAATGATTCACTCCCCAAGTGACCGCACAACCGGTGCTGTGCCAACCTGAAGCCAGGAGTCAGGAGCTTCTTCTAGGTCTCCAACGTGGGTGCAGGGTCCCAAGGCTTTGGGCCATCGTTGACTGCTTTCCCAGGCTTTGGGCAGGGAGCTGGGCCACTGCGTCGGGCCCTCCTACGTCTTTCAAATAATCTTTAACCTTTTTCAGTCCATGGTAAAGATAGTTCCAGAGTTTAGGTGTTGGTTAACATGTCTGCCAACTTGCCCATTTTTCCCACAGCACACAGCAATGGGGGGGCCTGCCCAGACACCAGGAGCAGCTTGGGCGGCCTGCGTCCCAGGCAGCAGTGGCTGCCACAAATCCCATATTTCCTTCCTCTCAAGGTGCACCCTGGGATGCACCAAAGGCTCCAGTGGCCAGTCCCTGTTACCACATGGGGAACACAGGGATGGAACACCAGCTGGCATGGCCTGGCTGGGCATCAGGGGAGTGACCAGGTGGAGGGCGGGCAAGGGATCTCTACATGCGGCTAGAAAAAGTGAAAATAAAAGCAGAGGGCCTGGTGTGATAACGTAGTGGCTAAAATCCTCCCCTTGAATGTGCCGAGATCCCATATGGGTGCCAGTTTGTATCCCAGCAGCCCCACTTCCCATCCAGCTCCCTGCCTGTGGCCTGGGAAAGCAGCTGAGGGCAGCCTAAAGCCTTGGGACCCTGCACCCGCATGGAAGACCCAGGGGAGACTCCTAGCTCCTGGCTTTGGATTGGCTCAGCTCCAGCCATTGCAGCTGCTTGGGGAGTGAACCATCAGACGGAAGATCTTCCTCTCTGTCTCTCCTCCTCTCTGTATTTCCCCCTTTCCAATAAAAATAAATAAATATTTAAAAATAAAATAAAATCAGAACATGGGGTACAGTGCTGATGACTCCAAGGAGATGCTGCCCACACTGCGCCATGAGCTTATCACACCACCTCAGAAATTTCCTTTTGTCAAAAGAGTGACAATGGCCCGCACCCCTGCTCAGGAGCTGTACTCACAGAGGGAAGCCCAGGCCGCCACTCATACTGTTCGTCCGGCTAGCTCACGGCGTCTGACCCTCGGAGTGCTCCCCTCCTGCTCGCTCACCACATCTGACCCTCGGAGTGCTCCCTCCCGGTCACTCACCATGTCCAGCCCACGGACCTCGTCCCTCCGGGTCACTCACCGTGTCCAGCCCACGGACCTCGTCCCTCCCGGTCACTCACCGTGTCCAGCCCCAGGGAGTGCGCCTCCAGGGCGGTCTGCGCGCGGTCCGGGGTCTCCTCGTCCGTAAAGAACTTCCACGTCTGCCGGCCGAGCTCGTTGGTGAGGCGCCAGCGGCTCAGGTCCGTGGCGGGCTCCGTCTTGTAAGGACCCCCTCGACGACGCAGACACCTGGCGGACACAGCCCCGGTGAGCGCGTCCCGAGCCGCCCGGCCCGACCCCGCGCCCGGCAGCCCGGACTCACGTGCCCTCCGTCATGACCGCGGCCTCGCCGGCGACCTCGCACTCCGCCGTCCACCGGCGACTCGGAGCAGACAAGACCCCGGCCCAGGCCGCCACTGCGCAGGCGCGCGCCTCGGCCGACGGGCGGAGCCGGGTGAGCCGATGTCCGCGGAGCCAATCACGACACCAATCAAATGGGCCGGCAGCTCGCAGTGGCTGAGCCTGCGGCGCTCCATGGGGAGGTGGGCGGGGCCCACGGCGTGGAGGCGGGGCCGCAAGAAGCCTGCGGATGAATGGGGTCCCTGAGGAGCCGGGCTGTGGGTGGGGCCTGTGTGGAGTGTGGTGCCGTGGGCGGGGTCTGTGTGGCATGTGGGGCTGTGAGCGGGGTCTGTGTGGGTGGTGAGGGTGTGGGCGGGGCCTTGTGGGGGCGGAGCTATGGGCCGAGTCTGTGGGGATGTGGGCGGGGCCTCAGTGGAGCGCCAGAGGCACCTGCTGAGCTCTCTGAAGCACCTGGCTCCACTTCCGCCTCAGACCTCCGCCACTGTTGAGTCTGGGCGGCAGCAATGATGGGGAGAGCAGAACACAGGGCAGAACAGGTTGGCTTCCCACGCCGGGCTCTACGCAGGTATCTGGAGTTGAGCCAGTGAGCAACTGTGCCTCTCTGCCTCCAGTCAACTTAATTTTTTTCTTGGGGCATGGAGGCCTGCCACGATGGTTGAATTGACTAATCCTCCCCCTGCAAGCATCGACATCCCATACAGGCACCAGTTAATGTCCCAGCTGCTCAACTTTCCATCCAGGTCTCTTGTGGCCTGGGAAACCAGAGGATGGTCCAAACCCTGGTTTCCGGCTTCAGATTGCTCAGCTCCAGCCATTGCAGCCACCTGGGGAGTGAACCAGAGCATGGAAATCTCTGTCTCTGCTCTCTTCATACATCTGTCTTCCCAATAAAAATAATTTTTGAATTTTTAAAGATGTTAACAGTGGAAGAAAATTGTTCCAGCCCACATGGAATGTCAGACTCTGAGTCTAGCAAAACCAGGGGAGAGAAGAGGTTTGATAGAAAGTTTGAATTTTGCTATTACAAGGTATTACAAGAATGCATTTCCCAGTTTTTATTCCAGCCGCTTGCCCTGGGTTAAGAATTTAAAACAGAAGCATCAGTAAAGCACAGCAATGAAAACACATTTGTTGAAAGGGAGAGTGAATATATGTTGAGATGGAAATGCAGGCTAACCCCGAGAGAAGCTCCCGTGAGCACAGGGCTGCCCACAAGGAGAAAGTGCAACAGAAGGCCCCCCAAAGGCATGTGTGCGGCTCTTCAAACAGTCCCCTGTGCGCACTAGGGCAAGGTACTCTAACTGAATATGCAGAGTGGAGTTAAACCTATGGGACATCTCCCGGGAGGGCTTCATGTACCCTAGGAAAGTGGGTATACCGACTGGCATGTAAGGAAAGGGGTGGAGTTACGACGGAGAGCTAGATAGAAGCTAAAATGTTGGGCCCGGCAGTGTGGCCTAGCGGCTAAAGTCCTCGCCTTGAACGTGCCAGGATCCCATGTGAGCACCAGTCCTAATCCCGGAAGCTCCACTTCCCATCCAGCTCCCTGCTTGTGGCCTGGGAAAGCAGTCGAGGATGGCCCAAAGCCTTGGGACCCTGCAGCCTTGTGGGTTACCCGGAAGAAGTTCCTGGCTCCTGGCTCCGGATCGGCATAGCATTGGCCATTGTGCTCACTTGGGGAGTGAATCATCGGACGGAAGATCTTCCTCTCTGTCTCTCCTCCTCTCTGTATATCTGACTTTCCAATAAATAAATAAATCTTTAAAAGAAAAAAAAAAAAGCTAAAATGTTGCCCCATTTGTAGTATTTTTTAAAAGTCCACTTTGCTCAGAAAATGCCAAGGTTTTGGCCTTGACAACTGGGTACAGATCATTTCTCAAACAGGGAAGTTGTGATTGGAAAGTTCACCTTTCCAGTGGGGTCCCATTGTAAAGGATGTTTATGGAAGAAATGGCAAAGCTGAGCAGGTTGGTGTCTGGGAGAAGAATGAACCAAGAAGATCTAGATGTCAGCTGCTCTCTGGTGGTGTCTGAGCCCATGACTGACGCTGCCACGCCATGGCAGCAGGCAGGGCTCCCTGGTGCCACCTTCCAGAACAAGTGCAACAAGCAGGTCCCCGATGAGGGTCGCTGTGAAAGGAAGCCCTGAACAGAGAGCAGCTGCAGCCAGAGTTATGACAGGAGCACAGGAAACAAGTACAGCTTCAACCAGAATCAGATTATACCAAAAATGTATGCATACTATTCATCAAATATGTAATTTATTTTGCCTTGCAGAATCATAAATCAACAAAGGGCTCAACAACAAACAGTAAATATAGTCCTACTTGACGCTATATGCAACTTCAGCCAACACTGTATAAAACTGGATTGGACAACAGAGCTAGGACAAGAACCCGGGCCTTGGGAATACGTTACACCTGGTGGATAGCAAGCACGCTCTCAGCCTACTCTGAGGACAGCTGTGTCCCATGCTGTGGTGGCCGGTTCAGCTCTCAACGACAGCCTTCTGCCACTGCAGTAATGGCTCAAGTGATCTCGTCCCTGCCATAGAGCGGTACACAGGCTGAGCTGCAGGCCCCAGCCTGGCCATGGGGACACAGAGCATCTGCTCTAGGCTATATGAAGGAAATGGTTTCTACAGGAACCAAGTGCAGACACATGCAACAACATATGCACATTGCCAACGTACTTGGAAGAAGTAAACAGACCAGAGGATGAGGGTGCTACGGGGGAAGCAGGTTTTTGTTCTAAAGCCTGGGGGAAAGCTCATTAGGCATGTAAATTATTTGCTGCATGATTAGTCACCACATTTCCAAGAGTGCATCAAGCATCTGAGAACATCATCAAGTCCACGGAGACATCTTCTGGGGAGACCCCTACCCATCCCGTCAGGATGTTCAAATGTCCACCATGTCCAAGAGTGCTAACAATCGCAGTTGGGAGGCCGCCTCCTCTTCCTTGGTGCTCCGGATCAACCGTTTCAGGTGCCTCAGCCGCTCGCTCAGTGAAGTGCCTGTCACCTCTGACAGCTGCGGTTGCTCCCCAGGCCTTTCATTCTGCTTGAATAAACAAAGAAACCAAAGGAATTTTTGAGATATTAATGAACCAAGACTTACTTTATGGCTCATGTCAGAAGCCTCCTGTGGGGCCTATTGGGTGCACCTTCCTTCACGCGTCCTTCCAGCCTCTTCTAGCACATTCCCACAGCTGGCATCATATCATTTTCATGAACAAATTCGACTAACAATCATTTTCATCGAATGTTGTTGGACTGAGCTGCTGCTCGCAGTGGGTACCAGATCACATCCCAGCTGCTCCATTTCCCATCCAGCTCCCTGCTAATGTGCCTGGGAAGCACCCATCTGGAAGACCTTGAGAAGTTCCAGGCTCCTGGATGGTCTAAGCCGGCCCCAGCTATTAAGAGGCCATTTATGGAGGAAATGGATTTATAGATGGATGGTCTCTATCCCTGCCCCTTTATCCATAACTCTTTCAAATACATATTTTTACAAACACATATTGTCAATGGCTGTGAGCTTTTCCATTATATGAATATGTTATTGTGTAACCAGACTTGGGAACTATGTGGTAATTCATTTAGAACTGACATGTTGACTCAGAGGATTTGTCAAATGGAAACAGTATGTCACCTTGGCTTTCTCTGTTCCCTGTTAAAGGCTTCCCAAATCAGCCCAGGACCGCTCTTCCCAACTGCCCAATAGCATGTATGCGGTTAACTCTACCTGCTTTACATCCACTGGGCGGAAAGCAACAGAGGGAAGAGCTCTGTCCTTCTCTAACCCTTCCTTTCAAAAAGAAAGAAAAATACATTCCAATAAACAAATAAAAAGTCTAATTCAAGCTAACAATTTACTGGTCAGCTTAACATCATGAGAGTTGAGACATTACAATGGCCAGAAGACCAGAGCTGAGCCAATCTGAATCCAGCATCCAAGAGCTTCCTCCCGGTCTCCCATGCAGGTGCCGAGTCCCAAGCTTTGGGCCATCCTCCACTGCTTTCCCAGGCCACAAGCAGGGAGCTGGATGGGAAGTGGAGCAGCTGGGACATGAACCGGCGCCCACACAGGCTGCTGGTGCTTGCAAGGGAGGATTAGCTAGTTGAGATGTTCTCTTTTTCCTGCAGCCATCTTCTGTTGTTGATGCTAACGTAGACACTAAACAGACGTCTTTCTTCTCACCTGTAGGCTGGCGGTTACCGACACTGTCCCCACGGGTCTGACTGACTGAGGAAGGCAGAGAGGAAGTGAGGTTGAGTCTCTAAATGCTTCGGAGTCATCAGACAGCCACTGCTGAAGCTGATCCTGAAATCTGAAATGAGTGCAACTTCAGGAACAATGGAGCCTTGAGAAGCAAAAATGTAATATTCATTTTTATTCTATAGTTACTTAATTAAAGCTTTTGCTTTATACCATTAGAACTTACGACATCAACAGAGAAACAGAAATGTACTTCTGAAAATATCTTCTGATTAATACATAAACCCAATGTACATTTAATAATAATAATAACCTTAACACTTTTATGTGCTACTTAAAACATTTGGCATATCATCTCTATTTGACTTACCTTGGATTTGTGCACATGTAGTTTTTATCTGCATGGACTACCCAAATGAATGATCTGTTCAGTTTTAAAAAACTGAAAATAATGTCCCTGTGTCACCAATCAGCCCAGAACTGTCTACCTCCACATACTTGTCTTCAAGTCAAAGAAAAATATATCCCATTCAGACTCACTTCAATTTCACCTTTCCAACACCTGTGATCATGCCCCCACCAAAGGCCAGGCTACAGCCCTGGAGACCACAGCTACAGCCCTGCAACACCGCTGCTCCTGACTAGCCACCAGACACAGGCTCTGGCTTTACGGAACACATAGACCTCCAATCACAATCCCACAGGGCCTTCAAGTCTGCAGTTCAGAGGGCTCAGGGCTTGAGGGATAAGTTTGGAATAGTCAAAATACTGATGTTATTTAAAAATTTGGGAAGTTACTAGAGAGTGAGTGCCAAAGACTCGGGAAATCCAGAACGGGCGCTGGAAAAGGACAAGGACCCCACAGGAGGTCCTGGGAGGACAGCAGGATAGCCCCCGGTAGGGCCTAGGGTACCTGGGCAAGTCTAACCAGACGGAGGCTGCAGCAAACGGCAAACAGGGATGAGCTATTATTACATTTTTGGAGGGGTTTTACTGTTACAGAAACAAAAAGCGGGGACACTGGAAGAAACCAGCAAGTATCCGTTCGTAAACTGATGGGCACAATCTAGTATGGGTGGCAGGGATGCTCACTGGAAGAGCACCTCTGAGGGGGCGAGAGATGTGTGCCCAGCACCTGAGGGGATGGTGAGAGGGTGGGGTAGAAGCAGGGCAGGGGCAGGAGGAGGATCCGGACAAATCCCCGCCTGCTTCTATTTCATTAAACTGTAACAAGCCTGTTGAGGAGGGCAGAGAGGGAGGAATGAGCAATGCAGGGAGGGCCCCAGCCACCCAAGCTGGAGCTTCACGGGAATCCCACTTTCTGTAGAACAATGAGTGCACATTACATAGGGCACTAGCTCTTCAACAGCTAACACTTCACAACTCATCACTGTGACCCCTGCCAATTCACTGCTCTTTCGCCCCCAAACCACCCTGCCTCAGTCAGTGCCCTGGGTGGGGTGGGGTGTCACCTCTGGTTCTCCTCCTTCTCCAGCATCAGGCTGCTCGAGAGACACTGCACCAGCAGCTCCTCAGCAGAAGCTCCACGCAGCAGCTCCTCCGCGCTGGCGCCCCTACCCTCTCGGCCGCGCTCTGCGCTCCTCTTCCTTGGATGAACGTGAAACAACGGGGCAGGAAAGTTGTTGGGAGAGGGATGAAAAGATTTCATCCCCAAACTACAAGGAAACATGAAATGCTTACAATCAACAGCAAGACAAAGTATGTGGGCAGAGCCAGAGACACGTGTTCAAGTGTAAAAGCACACACTTCCCATCCCTTTGCCCTTGAGAAGGCTGGTGCTTGTGACTGTCCCTGCGGGCTTCTGGCTCCCCACAACTCAAGAACGAATGGTGCACTACCGGGGACCAGCACAGCTGCCTCCAGACTCCACCTGGGGGGCAGCCGGGCTCCATGTCTGCTTCCCATCTGGGGTTCAAACAGATGCTCCAATACTGGCAAAGTCTTATACTGGATATCCTACACCTCCAGCTGTCTACGGGGGGCGAGGGGGGGGAGGGAGGGAAGGAGGGACTGACGTTTTCCTAAACGTGCCATGTCAGCACTTCCTGATCACTGGCACGTGGGTGCTGTTTCTGGACATTCCATTCTGCTCTGACACTCACTCCTGAATCATCTCACACGTCAGCAGCAGGGCGTTTACCCACACACACCCTCCTTACTACTGTCACTCAGAACTTTTTCAGCAACTGATACATATTTTCTTATCCTGATGCTTTTTAAAAAGATTCCTTTACTTATTTGAAAGGCCGAGGGACAGGTGAGGCAGTGAGAACTTGTTCACTCCTCCTAACTCCTCAAACGTCCACAAGCCCGACAGCCAGGGGACACGAGCTGGCAGGACCTCAGGCAGATGGCTCTGAGGTCCATCAGCAAGAAGCAGAACAACCATGATCAGACCTGTGCTCCAGTAAGGAACGAGGGTACTGTACCCCAAGATGCAGCCCAACTTACCATAGCACAACCCCCATCCCTTGTCCTGATCAATGTTAGATTTCTCCAGAGGGTTCATTCTACCAATCAGGCCCAAGTTTCAGGGTTGAGAGCTAACAATCTTTGCAGCATTGCATCCGCGGTGACGATGCTAGCCTAGACTGAGCTCACTCGAGTTTCCTCTGGGCCACCAAAGCCCATGTACCCACTGCCTGAATGGAAACAGGCCCGCCTGGAGTGCCTCTCCTCCCTCCATCCCCGTCTCTGCTCTGACTGACACGGAAGGCTAAGCAGAGGCTAATGGCACATCAGAAACATGCTTTCTTTTTTAGAAGTGTAATGGCAAGTAACCTTATTTATGGCACCCAAACTTAATTTTATCGGGAATAGCCATAAATCTTACCAAATCCATAACAATGCCCACTAGCATGAACACGTATTTTTGGCCCAGCAGCAAGTAACAGTAGCTTGGGGGGGGTGCCCACATGGGGGTACTGTTCTTCTGGGAGAAAGCTTAGGGGTCCTCCCAGTTCACGCGTCACTTTGAAAGCAGCTGGGTCAGATGTCTGCACTACCTTGCCTGACAAATAAAGTAAGACACTCCTCACTGTGCTCTGGGACAGACCCTGTGCCACAATGGCATGGCAGGACGCTCCTCACCACCCACTATCCAGGACACACACACACGCAGCTCTCACCTGCCTTGACTCAGCTGTAGCTCCTTCTGTGTCTGCAATCTGGCTTGTTCCCATGAAAGAGGAACATCATATTTATTCAAATGGTTTTTAAAAAAGTATACACATATCTGACCATCTTCACTCACAGCTCCTGTGAGAATAATACAAAACAGATGAAAACACATCAAGGGACTACCCAATGTTTGGGAAGAAGCCTCTTGACTAAAGCCATCCTACCACATAACTTCACACCTGAGTCCCACAGGCTTGCAAGGACTGTAGCAGAGCCCCCGAGGACCTGCACGGCCACAGAGCCAGCCGGGGGGGGGGGGTCACCAGAAGGTCAGTGGCCACAGGGTCAAGTCACAGGAAAGGAAGGTGACCCCAAGGGAGAAGCAGAAACCACAAGGAAGTATTTTCCTTCTTTTTATTTTTTTTTACTACAACTAGACAAGAGTCTCCTGAGGAGTTGGGTCCCACTACCTGCTGTGACGGGGAGCCTGGGCGGCGTCCAGTCCCTCAGCTTGTGGTTGATACACAGGGCGAGGACATCGTCCCACGGGATCTCGGCAACTGAGGGCCCTGCACCCCGGGCGGGGACTGGGCTCCTGCTCCTCCACCTGCTGTAGGTCCTGCGCAGCAGGCTCTCCACCTGAGAATGGAGCACAGGCTGCGTGTGGCGTGAGCTGGAGGTCTGGGAGGCATACTGGATAACCATGGTGCACACAGGAAGCCAGGGCGCTGGAGGACAAATGCCTCGTTAGTTCCACATATCATCAATCCCCTCCTAAAAGAGCTTCTAGTGAGAAACCTGCTTCCAGATGTGAGCACTGCCACAACTATGCAGAGAAGGGTCTGGTGTCCAGCAGGGACTAAGGGTGACAGGCCAGTGGGGGCACTGAGTCTGTGCTAACAGGCATGGAGGGCCTAATGTAGGTGCTCATGGCTCCTGTGGTAGCCCCATCTTGATGGTGCACACAAGGGCTTGTTTCTGTTTGGGCTCCATCAGGTGGCAGCATTGGTTAAGCCAATGATAACCGTGCTCACCGCTTACAAGCTGCATTGCTCTATGCCATGGCCAAGACCTGTGCCAGACAGGAGCAGGATCTGTTGCAACCGGGATGAGCCAGCCAGGTCACCTGCAGAGAATGCTTTAAACTGTGCAAACGCATCATTCACCTAGCACATGGTGGTGGGCACAAGAAGGGTGCTACAATGGCACCAAGTGCCCTGGCCCCATACACAACACCACAGGCCTGGGGCTGGTGCTCCCGCTTCCTCCTGCTCTCCCTGTGCTAAGCTCCACTGCTGGTACTGACCACGCACTCACAGGCAGCCCAGGAAGAGGTAGGTATACTGTGGAGGTGGCCACAGCCCTCACACTGGTACCCAAACCCTGCCAGGCAAGCCTGTAGTACAAGACAACAAGGGATGGTTGTGGGACGCCCTGCTCCCTCAGCACACTCATGCACACGCACCCCCAGGAGGCGGAAGGTCAATGTGGGGAAGCTGGAACCCGAGCACAGCCTGCTTCAGCCAAGCCAGATGTTCTGGGTTGTTCCAGTGCAGGTGAGGAAGCAGCCGGCTGCCTCCTGACTCGGTAAACTCTGTGACTGGCCAGGACAGGTCACACAGCTGCTCCGAGGACACCACAGATGCCAGGAACTGCAGCACACTGTTGAACAGCTCGATGATGGGGCCCGGCTCCTGTGAGGCCAGGCCACCCAAACGTCTCTCTCTTCTGTCATGAAAAAACCGGCCACTGAACTCACGGCTGAGCCCATCCTCGACGTACTGAATGAGCGTCTGGCAGCAGAGGTCAACGGCATGGGGGCAGCGGTGGACTAGCCACTGTACGGCCTGCGACACCTGAGAAGCAAAGACTCAGTCACAGCATCCAGGCTGGGTTTCCAGAACAGCCTTGTGACACACCTCGCAGAAGCACCAAGGTCAGCCCAGTGTCCTCTTGGCCCCAGCTAAGCCAGGACACCTTAATTCCAACACCTCTTTCCCTAACTTCCTTTATAAAGGAAATCCAGATAACATCTCTTCATATATTCCAAGTATAACCTCTCCAAATTAGGATCTGCATATCTGACACTCAGAGACAAGACTGTCAATTCACAAACATAAAGAAACAAATACATTTGTAACAGTAGGATTGTGGCAACTTATATCTTGTTTTAAAGACACAGAACTTGAGAAAGCTATCTTCCATCTACTGGTTTACCTCCCAAATGGCCGTGATGGCCAGGGCTGGGCCAGGCAGAAACCCAGAGCTCCATCTGGGTCTTGCATATGGAAGGAGAAGCTCAAACACCTGGGCCATCCTCCACTGCTTCCCCAAGCCATTAGCGAGGAGCCAGACCAGAAAGTGAAGCAGCTGGGACTAGAACTAGTGCCTATATGGGTTGCCAGCACAGCATGTAGTAGCTTAATCTACACTAAAACAATGCTGGTCCCTGCAATTTTATCTTTTGCTATCTACTTGTATTTTTAGAAGGTTATAGACAAACTTAAAATTATAAACATTAATATATGCTAAATTCATGATACCGCAAAAGGATATAAGCCAACATATCTTGATGATCACTGACCTTTGCCGTGCCTTGTAAATCACAGATACAGCCAGGGATTTCCACAATAGTGTAATCAGAGACCAGCTTAGCTGAAATCAAATCCTGCAGCATGAGACCTTCGAGAGAAACACACATGCCTGCTCTCAGGGATACCGCACCACATTCCCAATTCCACCCTGACAGGCAGCGTGGGGCTGCACTTCTGACACCATAAGGCAGCCCACCCCTGGGCCCAGGGTTCCACCCACTTCCTAAGTAGCCTCCGGTTAACAAACCTTCCTCCACTTCCTTCTCCATGGTCTCCCCTCCTGGGCTGGGCACCAGAACCACCAGTGGAAGTGCAGGCTCTAAGGGCTTGGCCTGCAGGAGCTGCCGGAGCTGCAACACTGCCGACAGCCAGTACACGTCTTCCTCGGCCACGTCCTCACTTCTCACTTTGTGGGGGAGCAGCAGCAGGAGCCCGCTGGCTCCCAGGAGGTCCTTCTGCATCTCCACTGTGTTGAGGGCCTGGTCACTGAGGGTGCCGTGGGCTACCTGCAATAGCACCCAGACATTCAGCATGGGATCTGCAATGGAACAAAAAGGCACCAGACACAGACCTGCTCCAGGCAGGCCCTGAAATCATTACAACAAATGTTCCATTTGTTATGCGGCAGTGATAACTAATACACCTGTTTTAAGGAGAATTCAGCTCAGCTCTCTCCCATGCCCTCCTACAGACACAGAAGGAAAAAAAAAAACCAAATCGGAAACATTTTTGTCACCCACCTTCCTCCACACCTTGACACTCCCCACCTTAATCAGAGACCCATGTGGGCACGGATTCTTCTAGACTATGTAAACAATCTTAGAAATAAACTTTAACTTTTTTTTTCCTTAGAGGCCAGCAGAACACATCTACACGAGGTAACTAAGACATGGCAAAAAGGAAGCAAGAGATTGGAAATCACACAGACAGTGACTGCTGAGGAAGGGGCTGGGGAATGAGGCAGGAATCCCACAGAGCCATCTGACTTCACTACACGCCAGTGTGACTTCCATTAAAGACAGAGATGAGCAACCAGCTAACTTCCAGGAGGCGAAGTCTGACTTTGCAACCCTGGGAAAAGAGAGGAAATAACCTACGGGCTCTGAGGGCAGCCACACATATTCTTTCTTTATACTCACAGCTCACATCTCTTTGCACATGTATTCACTTTCCATTTAGGAAACAAACAGCATTAGAGTAGAAAAGTTAAATAAGCAAATCTCATAACCAAAGTACAATTTGAAAGTACCCTAGGGCCCGGCAGTGTGGCCTAGCAGCTAAAGTCCTCGCCTTGAACGTGCCAGGATCCCATATGGGTGCAGGTTCTAATCACGGCAGCCCCGCTTCCCATCCAGCTCCCTGCCTGTGGCCTGGGAAAGCAGTCAAGGATGGCCCAAAGCTTTGGGACCCTGCACCCGTGTGGGATGCCCGGAAGAAGTTTCTGGATCCTGGCTTCGGACTGGCATAGCATCAGCCGTTGTGTTCACTTGGGGAGTGAATCATTGGACGGAAGAATTTTCTGTCTCTCCTCCTCTCTGTATATCTGACTTTACAATAAATAAATAAATCTTAAAAAAAAAAAAAGAAAATACCCTAACAGGAGAGAGAGAACAGAGACTCCAGCATCCCACACATCTGAACAGGACACACTACGAGAGGTGGCCCCAGAAGCGAACTGCTTTACTGAACCTCTGGCCAGTCCTCCAGAGATGGTGCTGAGTGATCAGAGTCAAGTCAGGTACCATGTCCAGCGCAAGGAGCCAGCCGGAGCAAGACACGGACACCTATGCCCTCTGTCCTACAAGGACACGTGTGTTTCCTTTCTGACCATGGATGCTGAAACCTAAAACGCATCTTTATGCAGGTTTGAGTTTCAGGAGGAAACAGGCTCTCATTATACAAGGGGTTCCCAGAGAGGAGTACAACCTCGGATTCTGCAGGGTGCTTGTGGGCTCGCCACTACAGCACTTGCAGGTTTAAGCAGAAAGCTGGAAACAGTTGTGGGCAGAGCCAGGCTGGACAACAGAACTCACCTGACAAGAACCCACCTGACATTCGTGGGAGCCGTGGCTGGGAGGAGGCTGGGCAGGGCCACGCTGCAGCACTGCTGGTATATCAAGTGCCAAGCAGAGAGACTGCCCCTGCCAGTTTGCGTAAGACCAACTACTAGGCCACAGCTCTCAGTGAGGAGCATAAGAACTGGGGCTGGGGAGGATCAGGTCTGGAGACAGACAGGTCAGGCAGGGCCAGGCCTCAGCACCCGCTGGCTACATGAGAGCCAGGACAGGGTGTGGGCCATGACTGGCTGTGCTGAACCACCTACCAGCATGCACAAGACCCAGGGATGGGAATGGGCCTGACAGGGGAACTCTGAGGATTCCCTTACTGGGCTGCAGTTCCCACTGGCCACAGGGAAAATCACAGGCTATGCAGTCCAACCTTGGAGTGCGTGAATCGCAACTGGGCGTCCTCAGTTGCTGACAGTACTTGTGTTGTGTTGTGGCTCATCTAGGCCAGAAGCGGCCGTTTACTGCTTGTCAGAGGATGGGAAACAGAACAGGTAGGAACCACTCTCCTGGCCAGGTTCTGCAGCACATTCCTGGGTCTGTGGACGCACTAAGGTGGACTTTCTCAACCAACAGACCTTGGAAAGATTTCCTCAGCCCTGGAGCAACAAAACCAACAACTTCTCAGAACTATCACAACCACTCAAGTCACACCCTTGAAGCACTCTTCCCTACACCAGGGTCTCAAAGGATCAACAAAGGACCACCCCCATTCCTGAGGACTGGTGCAGTTTGACAGAAAGGAGTGGCCACTCCCCTTCCCTCCCTGTGGACAGAGCAGGAAAAAAATGAAAGACATGTCCCCCCACCTTCTTGCCTCCCCACCCCAACCAGAGGATCACATAGACACGCATCCCTCTCAACTGTGTAAACAATATTAAAAAGCAAATTGAAATGCAGAACAATAGCAAAAGACACTTTTGAGAACAAAATGCATTTCTGTGCCTCTGATGACATCTAGGCACGAATGAAAGCATCAAATCATGAAGCAGTTGTCACTCACCTTTATACACACACGCACAGAAACTGTCTGATACCCCCTGTTGCTGAATGCATTCAACAGGGCCAGCGTGTGAATCCCATCATCATTAGTGCACATGTCGCCCACCAAGCCATCCTCGCCCACGAACTTGGCTTTTAACCAATTTGCCAGATTTCTGCAGATAAGAGAAAACAACCTTGAAGAATATAACGAGGCCCAGCTCCGTGGCCTAGAAGCTAAATCCTTGCCTTGCATGTGCCAGGATCCCATATGAGTGCTGGTTCGTGTCCTTGGTGCCCCACTTCCCTTCCAGCTCCCAGCTTGTGCCTGGGAAAGCAGTGGAGGACGGCCGAAAGCCTTGGGACCCTGCATCCGCGTGGGAGACCCGGAAGAGGCTCCTGGCTCCGGATGACCTCACCTCTGGCCACTGCTTACAGAAGATGTTCCCCTTGGTACTGCCTTCTCTCTGCCTTTTCAATAAAACAAATTAAAAAAAAATCTAATTCCAAATTTGAATTATTTTGTGACACTGATCTGAACAAAGAAAAAAGAAGCCTGTTATTTTTAAATGGAGCTTGAAATTCCATGGAGTTATGTATTTGGGGAGAAAGCAGGAAGGAGCTAGTTCATTCTAACATGCTCTAGATTCTAAAGGAGTAAAACAAAGCAGCCCTGGAGCTTGAAATACACATTTTACAGCACCAAGCTCCTCATGTGACACCTCAGAAATTCCCAAGTTACAAGTATTTCGCACATCAGAAGATAATGGTTTAAGAGAGAAGGCATCGTTTAAATACTTTTAAAATGCCACTTTCTCCACCTTACTCAGGTGTCCTAGGAGATTAATCATGATTTCATTGTTCCTTTCTCCTCAGTCCACATCTTGCTGCAGAAATGACTGCTATGAAAGTAAGCGGGGAAGTAAGGAGGTCAGGAAGTGAAACAGTGCAGCCACTGTGGGAACACTGGCAATTCTTCAAAGACAAACACAGAGCTTCTGTAAAACCCAACAGTTACACTCCTGGGAATATAACCTAGATAAATGCGAGCAAATGTTCATACAAATACTTATCTGTGGATGTCCACAGCAGCCACATTCATGCTAGCCCCAAAACAGAAACAACCCAATGTTCACATGAACAAATCTGGCAAGGAAAAAGAATGCTGATACGGGCCTGGCTTAGCCTTGAAAACATGCTAACTGTGTGGGGGACTCTGGAGAAACTCCCAGCTTTGGATCAGCTCAGCTCCAGCCACTGCGGCCTTTTCGGGAGTGAGCCAGTGGATGGAGGGTTGCTTCCTTCTTTCTCTGTAAGTCTGCCTTCCAATGAAAATAAAGAAATCTTGGGGAAAAAAAAGCAAACATCAATGGCTCCGGTCAAGGATGTTTATCTAAGGCATCCAGAGCAGACAATTCCTCAAGCACAGAGCAGCACATGGCAAGGAGGAACAGAGGCGTTCACGCACGTCCACGTCTCACGTCCAAAGTGCTCTCTGCAAGCAGACAGCAGTGGAGATGGCTGTGAAGCCATGGACATGTCTACTTCAAACGGATACAATTTATAGCATATGAATCAAATCTCAAACAAAAGAAAAACAAAATTAGCAAGTCTTGTAGTTTCTGTAAAAGTATGATTTTTGAAAGCTATATCAATTTTTCGAATTTTTTTTTTCAAAATGTCATTAGGTTTTTCTCCTCACCTATATTATCCTCTCCAAGAGTGTAACATCAAGCAGGGCATTTGGGACCACAGGAGGACCCCACAGCCTGCTTTGGGTCACCACACTGATTCTCAGCACCCGGGAGCCCCAGATGGTGACTCAGTGTGTCGGCCCCAGCCTTCGCTGTCTGCAGGCATTTGGGCAACCAGTGAGTAAAAGATCTTCCTCTATGTCTTTCAAATGAAACAAACAGTAAAATTAAGTGGGCTTTAATCAAAACCTAAGGCATACAATATTACTAGCTGTGTTTTTGTGGAGTAAGTCTCCTCCTGTCCACTAACTCAGTCTTCCAACACTCCCCACGGCCGTGGCCGGGGCTGACTGAGGCCTCCCTAACCACAGGCGCCATCACCAGGGCCTCCTCGGATCTGCAGAGAAGCTGGGTATTGAATCCAGGCATTCCTAAAGGGAACACAGGCCTCCTAACACCCATGTAAGCTCTTGCTTTTTTCTTTTATTTTTTAAAGATTTATTTATTTTCATTGCAAAGGCAGATATAGAGTGAAGAGGAAAGACAGAGAGGAAGATCTTCTATCCAACGATTCACTCCCCAAGTGCTACACTGGCCACAACTGTGCCAATCCTAAGCCAGGTTTCCCACATGGGTGCAGGGTCCCAAGACTTTGGGCCATCCTCCATTGCTTTCCCAGGCCACAAGCAGGGAGCTGGATGGGAAGTGGAGAAGCCAGGACACAAACTGGCACTCACACAAGATCCCGACATGTGCCAGGTGAGGACTCTAGCCACTAGGCTTCCACACCAGCCTCCCCAACCTCCACGCTGTGGAGCTTTAAATAGCAAACAACTCTTCAATACTTTTCACCTAATAATTTAAATCACAGGTTGCCTTCAAGTCATGAGCAAAACAGATTTGCAGTCTAAGTACTAAAAGCTCCCAGCCCCCGCCCCACCCATGCCAGCCATTCTCGGAGTGGTCATGCACCTCCCTGCATTCTCCAACCTCCCTACCTGCCAGGACTCTCTGCAGGCTGCTCCCTCCCATCAGGCAGCACCAGCACGAGCTTCCAAAACAGGTTCTCCTGGCTCCCAGGGAAGTGTTCAGCCACAAGGGACGGCAGGTCCAGAGGTGCCCAGGCAGCATCACTACAAGTAACAGAACACCATGGCTAGGTCAGCCTGAGAGCCCACACAGAGCCACGGGCACACACATGCATGTGGACGTGACCACACAGAGCCACGGGCACACACATGCATGCGGACGTGACCACACAGAGCCACGGGCACACGCATGCATGCGGACGTGACCACACAGAGCCACGGGCACACGCATGCATGCGGACGTGACCACACAGAGCCACGGGCACACGCATGCATGCGGACGTGACCACACAGAGCCATGGGCACACACATGCGGACATGACCACACAGTAACAGGCACACACACACACATGCATGCGGACGTGACCACACAGAGCCACGGGCACACACACACATGCATGCGGACATGACCACACAGTAACAGGCACACACACACACATGCATGTGGACTGAAACCAGACAGAACCATGGGCACACACACAATCACACAGGGTGTGACCACGTATAGCCATGAGCACACATGCACATGGGCTGTGACCACACAGAACCATGGGCACACACAGGCTGTGACCGCATAGAACCAAGGGCATTCACGGGCTGACCACACAGAACCATGGGCACACACGTGCACACGGGCTGTAACTGACCTCACCAGCTGCTGGTGGAAATGTTGAACCTTCATCTGGTGAGCTGTCCTACTCCGGAGCTGCCTCAACCTGTGAAGAAAGGCAATGGGCAGTACACCCTGTGAAGCCAGCCTGCATTCACAATTAGCTGTTCCGCCAGTGATCAGGGCTGCCCAGTAGAAAGCTGCTGACTGGAGAGTGTGTCCTGGTGGGGGATAGTCTGCAGACTGAGATAATTTTCTGATAAACAGGATAGTCAAGAGGACTGCCCTCACATCACTAGTAACAGGTATTGGCTGCGTGCTGGTCAGGAGACTCAGCCCTTCTACAACACCTGGTCATTGGGACTGCACACTTGAGCATCAGGGTTGTAGCCAGACACCACAAGGTGGGGCACATGGAAGGGGCTCCTGCAGCAGGATGGGAGCCAAGACCTTAGTATGTGAGGGGAAAGTGACCATCTCAGAGGGATATCAAGAGACAGCACAGGGGATGTGTGCCTGGCATGCTTGGGAAGAGAAGTGGGGCATGGCTGGGGATGGGCTCCACTCTGCAGAGCAAGGAACAGGGAGTAGCTCAGGATGTTGACAAGAGGTCAGGAAATGGAAACTCGGTTAGGCCTTGTGAGGTTCCTTGGGTGGAGCTACAAGTCTGTGACTCCAGCCCAGGACAGGGTGGCTTCCTGTGGGCAAGGGAGACTGCACTGAAGAGCTGGAGGACAGGGAGGGTTAGGTCAGCTGTACGGAGGTGGGAATAGAGACAGAGTGGGCAGGGCATGGCAGGGTAGGGCAGCGCAGAAGTGTCGGGCAAAGACTGAGGATGGGGAGGCCAGCAAGAGCAGGGGAACCTGACCAGGCCAGGCTACTGCGATAAGGTAGCCTAACTGCTGACCTCAAGGCAGGCTCCGTGACAAGCCAGAACTATCCTGCTCTGTCTACAGACACAGAGCCCATGGCCTCAACTAGATAGATGCCTCTCGGGGACAGTGAGACAGGACCTCGACAGGCGCGTTGCAGCAGGCCTTCCCGCTGCTGTCCCAGGCTTGCCTCTGCCCAGGAGGCAACACGGACACTGAGCTCTGTCTGAGCGAAGCCCAAGAGGAAGCAGGAGCTCCACCAGCAGAGAGGACACGGTGTGGAACCCAAAAACAGGTGATGTGAAGCCATCTCTGCCAGCGGCATGGGGAACCTTTCAGATGAGAGCTGCCCCACCCCAACATGCGTAGGTAAGTTCCTGCCTACACCCACCGCCTGGCAATGCCAGCCAGGGGCAGGAAGCAGAAGGCATGTGTGGTGGCCCACACTGACCTGATGCAGGAGATGCCCACTTTCCCTGCATGGCCCAGGTCCAGAAGGCCCTTGGTCAGGTTCCCCTCAGCAATGGGGCACTGAGCACTGGGTGTCAGAGCCCGCAGCTGGTCCGTGGCGTCCACACAGCAGGGGGCTGCTGGGAAGGCTCGCATCTGGCGCCGCAATTTCTTCCGGGCTGCAACGGCTTCCCTCCACCTGGGAGACATGAACATGTCATCACTCAGTGCATTCCAGGTTCATGGAAGGACATGAGCAGATGTGGGGACAGCCTGTGAAGTCTTCTCAAGGCAAGTCTTCAAGCTGAGAAGTAAAACTCCGACAAGAAATCAAATGAGTGCTGAGCGATGAAACCATAGAGCAGTTCTCACAAGTCAGCTTGGCAACAAGGACACACACCCCTGGACAGCAGACACCAATGACAGGATTACATCTTCACGCAGCTTTAGCAGGAGCCAGAATTAGCACCCCAATGGGCAGGCTGCCCACACAAGCAGCAGCACAATGCAGGCCCCACTGCATTTTAAGTTTTACTGAAATGAATCATCATAAACTATGTGCAACACACATGTACTCAATTTAAACAGTAATGATGCATTAAACACCCATATACTTCCACTTAGCTCAGGAGCTAGGGCTGTAGGCATATCACCCCATCCTCTAAGGTCAGGACTGGGCCTGGCATGTCGGGGCAGTGGCTAAATCCTGGCCTTGCACATGGCAGGATCCCATATGGGCGCCAATTCATGTTCTGGCTGCTCCACTTCCCATCCAGCTCGCTGCCTGTGGCCTGGGAGATCCTTGGGACCCTTTATCCATGAGGGAGACCCTGAGGAAACTCCAGGCTTGCAGCTGCAGATTGGCTCAGTTCTGGCCACTGTAGCCACTTGGGGAGTGAACCAGCAAATAGAAAAACTTTCTGTGTCTCCTTCTCTCTGTAAATATCCTTTCTAAAAACACAAGTATTAAAAGAAACAAAAAGGTTAAAGGACTGTGCTGCTTGTTCCTGTTTCCCTTCTTGACCTGGAGTTACACCTCCACATTCAAACACTAAACACCTATTTGGTCTGAATTTACACTGTGTTTATAGGCATCTCTCTACAGGTTACACTTTTCTGTACAAAAGTTCAGCTGTCAGGGCTGCCACATGGTACCAGTTGAGTTGAATTCCAAGCTTGGAACTGGGTTCTTCCAGAGCCCGTGACCCATGGCCACGGGGCAGTAGTGTGATGCAGCTCCCAGGCAGCCCCAGGCTCACAACACACATACCAGGACCTCATCTTTGTGCCGTGCTATTTGGCGAGTCACTAGGTTAACCCATCACTCACCAGGGGGCACCTGTTCAAGCGTTCTAGAACTCATCTGTGTCGCTGCAAACATGGTTGTGCTGGGCAAATGTTCCTGATGCTCAGAGCACCTGCCACCTCCCAACCTGGTGGGTTTCTTGTCCCCTCAGGCTCTCCAGCAATGTTGCACATGTGTGTATCTAACCAAGCTATCCTGTCTTCAGGGAGAGTGCCCCCATGATATTCTCTGATCCCCTTGTCACTAACCAGGTGAGCATGGTCACGCTCCCACTCACCCTTCACATGGGTTGCATCTGACACACTCACCGTTGCAGGTACTTGCTGAAGCACTGCAGCTCCTGCAGCGTCTCTCTGGCCACCTGGAAAGTTTCCTCTGCGAGAAACGCGTCCACCAGATGGGCACAGACATCCTCAGAGCAGCGGGCCACGCGGGCCCTCTGTTCCGCCTCCGCTGCCAGCCTAGGAGACAGACACCCCACGGTCTACAGCAGTGAGGCCTTGCAACACATGGCGCCAGACTCCACATCCTTGCTAGTAAACTAAAGTTAAATCTTCACTACAAGAGAAACGAAGACTTTCAGTCATACTTAAAACACAGAGACGAAGAACAAGAGAGGAACAGAGTGCCAAATCACAAGTTCAAATGAATCCTATAATAAGAACTAAACTTTGGGCAGCAGGCTAACCCTAACTATGGTACCAGGATCCCGTATGGATGTTGGCTTGCATCCGGACGCTTCACTTTCCATCCATCCAGCTCCCCACCTATGTCCTGGGAAAGCAGTGGAGAATAAGAAACTCTAGGCTACTGGCCTTGGATCAGCCTGGCCCAGTCCTGTTCACTATGGCTATCTGGTGAGTGAACCAATAGACGGAGGACCTCTTTGTCTATTTTAGCTTCTTTCTCCGTTAACTCTGACTTTACAATAAATAAAACACACCTTTAGGGGGGAAAAAACAGTGTCTTCATGGCACAATGCCTCTGTGGCTAAATCCTTGCCCTGCCATGCCAGGATCCCATATGAGCACTGCTTCATGTCCCAGCAGCTCCACTTCCCATTCAGCTTCCTACTTGCGGTCTGGGAGACCAGTAGAGGATGGCCCGAAGCCTTAGGACTCTGAACCTGCGTGGGAGACCTGAGGGAAGCTACAGGCTCCTGACTTCGGATTGGCCCAGCTCCAGCCATTGCAGCCATTTGGGGACAGACCTAGGGGATGGAAGAAGTTTCCTACCTTCTCTTCCTTTCCCACAAACCCATCCACCCATTCACCTCCCTTCCTCTCTCTATTTGAAGGACAGCGACAGAGGCAGAGAGGTCCCCATCTGCGGGTTCATCCCCCAAACGCCCACAAGGGCCAAGGCTGGACCAGGCTGAAGGAGGACACTGCAAGTTACCCACGAGTGTCGCAGCAGGCAGAGGCCTTCCACCATGCGCACTGGGGGCGGGAAGCTGGGCTTCAACAGGTACTGAGACACGGGGCCTGGACATGCCGAGTGCTGCGTTCAGCAGGGTGCTAAAGGTCTGCCCTCAAGCCTTGACCAACCGTGACACCTGCAGTGAGTGACATCTCCATGATTTAGGGACACCAGTACACACCAGTCCCAAGTGCACACCAAGGTCACAGTGCTTCCCAAATTCACTTTCAAATGCTGCAGTAGTCTGTACTAATTCCATCTTCATATTTATTGCAGATTATGGAATCATTTATCAAGTTCCCATTAGATTGGGGGAATCTCTCAGAAAGCAAAGTATCAAACCAGTTCCTAAAAGAAAAGGGGCCAAAAAGCAGAAAAGAAAGGGAACTGGTGTTGTGGCACAGTGGGCCAAGTCACCGCTTGCAATGCTGACATTATAATTGAGTACCAGGTCAAGTCCTGGCTGCTTCACTACTGATCCAGCTTCCGGCTGACTGCCCAGGGAAAGCAGTAGCAGATGGCCTGCATGCTTTGGCCCCTGCCCCCATGGTAGAGACCAGGACAGAGTTCTGGTTCCATGCTTCAGCACCCCCTAGAATTGGCTAGAAACAAACCAAGGAATGGGGTCCAGCAGCGCGGCCTACCGGCTGAAGTCCTCGCCCTGAACACAATGGGATCCCATACAGGTGCTGGTTCTAATCCAGGCAGCTCCACTTCCCATCCAGCTCCCTGCTTGTGGCCTGGCCATTAGACGGCCCAAAGCCTTGGAACCCTGCACTTGTGTGGGAGACCCGGAAGAAGTTCCTGGATCCTGCCTGCATAAGGTCTGACCCCGACAGCCTCTCCCTCCCATCCGCCTATTCCTCGGGCACCACAAAGTGCAGTGATTCACTTACTTTAGCTCTTGGGAGCAGGTTTCTTGCACACACTCTCTCACCATCAACTCTGCCAGCTCTGCAGCCAGGCTATGGCTCAGCTGGGTCAACACCAGCTCTCTCTCTTGCTTCAACCTTTAGGACAAAGAAACATGCAAAGGGGTCATATTTGCAAATAAAGCCAGCACTGATCATTCTGCTTCTACACCAGCTGACAGGGATGTGAGTCATGCAGTGGAGCTGGTAGGCTGCCCCATGTCCCCTCTGTCTGGACCTGCCTTATGCCCTAGGTCCAAGCACAGCAGGTGGCCAGAAGGCCAGCATGGGTCTGCTGGCAGCACAGTGGCTACCACTTGGGTATCACGAGCCAGAGCAGGTTCTCTTGCCATGCTGACTGCCACGTAGTAAGGCATGGGCAAGCTCACCTTTCCTCCTCCGCACGCCGCTGCTCTTGCTCCCTCCTCTCCCGCTCCTTGGTCAGCTCCTCAGCGGCCATGTTCCTCAGAAGGCCCACGGTCACAGACATTAGCACATCTTCCATAACAGCATTAGAAACACTGGCAGAGCAAAGTGGACAGCAAGGTCACCAGGAAAGAAGGCTAGCAAACAAGTAACACAGACAAGAAAAAAGGCCAGCTTGGCAGCTGAAGTCCTTGCCTTGCACAGGCCAAGATCCCAGATGGGTACTGGTTCTAATCCAGCTCCCTGCTTGTGGCCTGGGAAAGCAATCAAAGATGGCCAAAAGCCAGTACATCCAAAAAAGGAATTGAGGCTGACACAGTGGTATAGCAAACTGAGTCCCATGGGACACTGGTTCTGATCCAGCTCTCTGTTTATGGACTGGGAAAGCAGCAGAGATTGACTCCTGAAACATGAGATTCAGAAGACATTCCAGGCTCCTGGCTTCGAACCAGCATAGCTCTGGCATTGTAGCCTTTGGGGCGTAAACCAGCAGATGAAAATCCTCTCACTCTGTTTCCCCTAGATTTCTGCCTTTCAAATAAAAATAAATACAACTTTTCTGATAAAGGAGAAAGGACATGTCTAACACTAGGTCATGTTAAAAAAAAAGAATCAGGGGCCAACACAGTGGCATTTAACAAGCTAATCCTCTGTCAGCCTGTGCCAATATCCTATACTGGCATTGGTTCGAGTCCCGGTTGTTCAGTTCTTAATCTAGCTCCGACTTATGGCCTGGGAAAGCAGTAGAGTATGGGTCAGATCCTTGGGCAGCTGCACCCATGCGGGAGACCTGGTTCAAACTCTTGGCTCCTAATTTCAAATGAGCCCAGCTCCAGCCAGTGCAGCCATTTGAAGAGTGAACCAATGGATGGTTCTCTTTCTCTCTGTAACTCCAACTTTCAAAGTTAAATCTTAGCAACAACAAAGAATCAAATGCATGGACAAGGTTTAATCCCTAGGTATAATCTATAGGTAAAATACCTTTTCCTGTCATTGTGTCACTCTATGTGCACTGGATTTCTAAAACAAAATTCCAAAATTCATGGAAGTTACTGGATTTCCATTTGCTTTGCCACAGTTGCCTAAAGCCCAGAGAGGCCCAGGTTGTTACATTTGATACTAGATGACACAGGGCCTGCAATACGGTGTCCCAGGTAAAGCTAACACCTGCAGTGCTGGCATCCCACAGGGCAATGATAATGCCTTGGGAGAACGGCACAAGCCAGACAATCACTCGGCCCTGTGCCAACGTGGAGCCTCACATCAAGCTCCCAGTTCTGGCATCAGCCGGGCTCAGCTCCGGCCATTGTAGCCACGTGGGGAAGGAACCAGCGGACATCAGGTCTTTATCTACTTCCCTCCCTCCATATCCTTCATCTAGATCTCAGCTAGTCAAATAAATAAATAAATAAATCCTTAACATTTATTTTAAAGAGAGCTATTCTCTGTTGGTTTACTCTCAGATGGCTCCAACCACGGGGAATGTGCCAAGCTGAAGCAAGAGCCCAGAGCTCCTTCCAGTTCTCCCCGCTGGGTAGCACGTGTGCCAGTTAACCGCTCACCCAGGCACACTGGTAAGGAGCTGGATCACAAGTGACCAGATGGGATTTGAACCAGTACCCAAACACAACGCTGGCATTGCAGGTGGCAGTTTAACTGTTAAGCCACAACACTGGCCCCAAAAGTGGGTATTAAAAGTTTTAAAAGGCAAACAAACTAATTTCTACCAGTTTTTAAACTGTGTTTAAAGAAAATACTTTTTTTTGTTTGTTTAAGATTTATGTATATGTTTAGTTTGGGAAAGGCAGATATACAGAGAGGAGGAGAGACAGAAAGGAGGATCTCCGTCCAATGATTCACTCCCCAAGCGGCCACAACAGCTGGAGCTGTGTCAACCTGAAACCAGGAGCCAGGAACTTCTTCTGGGTCTCCCATGTGGGTGCAGGGTCCCAAGACTTTGAGCCATCCTCAAATGCTTTTCCAGGCTACAAACAGGAAGCTAGATGGGAAGTGGGGCTGCCAGGATTAGAACTGGTGCCCACATGGGATCTCAGTGCGTGCAAGGTGGGGAATTAGCTGCTAGGCTACTGCGCCATGCCCAGAAAATAGCTTTTTAATGTGTAAAGTTTAATAAAGCAAATGGTGCTCAAAGAGAAGACACAAATGGCAATGAGCTGCCAATGATCAAGGAGACAGGGCCACGGCTGGGCCTGCCCCCAAACCAGAAAGAACGCCCTGGCGCAGCAAGCTAAGCCAACCTGCCTAGACAATCGCACTGCAAGGCCAGCTGCTGAGCTTCTGACCCAGCTCCCAGCACAACTCCTACAAAGCCAGAGGACAATGGCCCACACTCTCATGGAGAACCAGATGGAGGGAGCTCCCAGTTCACTAGTTGAGCCTGGCCTGGCCTTGGAACAAACTAGTAATGGAGGACTTCTCTCAGCTCCCCACTCTGGCTGATGCTTTGCCTTTCAAGCATATCTTAGAACAAACCCGCCTGTAACTGCACCTGTGCTACTGAAGCAGGTGTGCTCTGTGCGGAAGAGTAAGAGAAAACCCAGCGAGCAGGCAGGCAAGATGCTGCCACTCACCCAAGCGCAGCGGCTGCATAAGCCGCCCCAGCCGTGCCGACGTCCTCACAGTCCCTCTGCAGAGCCTCCTGGATGAGCTCATCCACTACCTGAGCCAGGTCCTACAGAGAGACCAGCACATGAGTCTAAAGTTAACAGAACAGAAATCTAGAGGGACACCCAGCCACTGGACTAGACACCGCTTCACCAACTTGGGGGTCTACCTCGCTGCTTCAAAAAGTGTCTTCCACGGAACATAACAGTACCTTCCAAAGGGGCAGGGGCAAGGCTACTGTCAGCTAGACATTCATCCTACTTGGTGCCAGCCTCCTACTGTCCACATCAAACAGCCTCAATATCTGTGGCATTTTTCAGGCGTCCCTTAGATTTCCCCCAACGCCCCACAGCAGGGCAAGCACCCAGTGCCTGTGCAGAGCACCCAATGTACACAGCCATTCAGTGGACAGGCCCGGCTCTGTCTCAAGCCCACCATCTTAGCAGAATACAGCACCATCTCTGTTTCCAGGGCACAGGCTGGGTTCTGCCACTCACTGGCTGCCATGAACAGCAGGCGATAGTTCAACTGGAACACACACACACACACGGAACAGCAGGCGATAGTTCAACTGGAACACACACACACACGGAACAGCAGGCGATAGTTCAACTGGAACACACACACACACACACACACACACACACACACACCCCACCCCACCCCCCACCCCCAGCTGGGCTCAGTGCTACTCTCACCACTGTGCTCAAGAATGTGTGTTCTCAGAGCGCTGATCCAAAAGATTCCCTACCATGTCAGAGTACACAGGTGCAGGCTTTGGAGGAAGCAGCTCAGCCTGCAGAGAGGACTGGAAGAGGCCTGGTGCCCCAGATGGGGTCAATGTTGGAACTGCAGCCAGGTGTGAAGAGAGCACAGAGGCAGGGACGGGATGCAGAAGGGCACCAGGCGTGGGTACCACCGCCTCTGGGCCACACTCCTCTTCTCTCCCACCACCTGAAAGGAGACACATAGGAAACACATGACGGCCCAGCACACACATGCACCCACCCACCCACTGTGTAGTCTCCACACAAGAACAGCCCCAGCTATCCAGAACAGCCCATCCCACAAGCACACACATCGAAGAGCAGGCAAACATGACAGCCCATCCCACACACATGCATATACACACACACACACACAGCATGGTCTCCACAAAAGAACAGCCCCAACCCTCCAGGTAACCTTGGAGAGTGGTTGGCCCTGTCCCAGGGGACCCCTCCCCCAGGCTCTGCCCATGGGCATCCCATCTGGAAAACACTGCATTGTCAGAGCGCCAGGAAAAAGGCTGCAGCAGCCACAGGTCACTAAGAGGATGAACCACACTAGTGTCCTCCCTCAGGGCAGTGTCACTCACTTGCTGTGTCCAGGCTGGGCCTCTGAGTGCTGACAGGCAGCTCTGTTGCCAGACTCTCCCCCACATACTTGTTCTGAGAGTTGAAGCTACACACGGGGGTGTGTCGAGGGATAGGGGGCAATGGTCCTCCATTCACAACTTCCCCAACTGACACCATCAGCTTCCTGGTAATAAACACTGACTTCTTGGCCTTGCACAATCCCTCTGGTTCAAGGAATGCAGACCGGCTCAGCTCAACACACCTGCAGACCACAGAGAGGTTCATCAGATGAAGTCAAGGGATGGCACTGCAGCACTGCAAGCCCTAGGGCCCACCCCAAGCACAGGGAAGGGAGGAAGGCAGAGTACCACTGCCCCGTGGCCAACCTCCTCCCTGCCCTGAACCCCTGGTCTCAGGAAGAGCCACGTGTGCAGCTCCTGTCTTGTAAACAGTGTCAACTCATCAAAGCTGCCCCATGTGCTCAAGGACAGGACTGTAGTGAACAGACGAGCAGGGTAGGGGAGCCGAGCACCTAGGCCACTGAGGGGGATTACACCGTTTCCTGGGAGTTTCATCAGAGTCTCAGAAGACTTCAGCTGCAGCAGAGAAAAGCCCTGCCTGGTATCTCCATTTTGACCAGCAGAGGTGGGTAGGGGCCTTCACAGGCCAGGGACCACCATCTTCAAGGGGCATGATCCTGAAGCTCCTGGTGCCTCAATAATTCATGGAAGTATCGAGTTCGGTTCAGAGAACTTGGTCTGAACTCCAATCTGCTAATGACCAAGCTGCAAAGTGGGAACACGCCAGCTGTTCTGAGTCCCAACAAGTTCATCTGCACAGCAGGGAGGCAGCCTGTGGAATGAGCCTTTTCCAGAGAGGCCTGCAGCTCCACGCTCAGGTCTTACCCATCAGAAACCGTGAGGCCATGGTAGCTGAGGAAATCCGTGGCCTCCTCACCATCTCTGAATAGCAGCATGCGCACCACACTGTCCAGGGGGAAAGCCGTGGACCTCTGCGTGCTCACAGTGTAGGCCATGTTGAGTGCCCGGAGAGCATCCTTGCGGATCTGAAAGACGTCCACCAGAGGAACACAATCAGCTGCCCAGTCACCACAGAAATCACCCCAGAATGCAGTCTGGCCCTCTGCTCAGCGGCAAAGAGTCTTAGAAAAGAACGAGCCTGGGCCCAGCTCAGTGGCTCAGCGGCTGAAGAACTCGTAAGCACCGGGATCCCATATGGGCACTGGTTCCAATCCCAGCAGACACAGAGCATAGTCCAGACCACCCTCACTCTGAAAACCAGGGCAACAGCTCAGAGTGTGGTGGAAAAGGAAATGTCCCACAAGGCTGACCATGGTACTGACACAGCGGACACACCAGGCAACATGGGGATTAGAACTACAGTGCCACAGCAATGTCTGCTACAACCTCAGGGCTGGGAATGCTGCACTAGCAACACTATCACGCATGTCAGTGCCAATCAGGCTCCAGCTGGAAGATGCCCTGAGAGCTCAGGCTACTGCAACCCATGTGGGAGATGTGGATAGAGCTTGGGGTTCCTAGCTCCAGCATGGTCCAGACCTGGTCAAGACCTGGATGCTGAGGCCACCTAGGGAGTCAAGCGCAAGACAGAAGTGGGCTCTCTTCCTCTTCCCTCTCACTGCCAACTTCCTCCCCAACAGTACTCTGCCTTTCAAATGCATACATACACACATACATAAATGTTTATGAATAACTTTTATTCGAAAGGCAGATTTACAGAGAAGGAGAGAGACAGAAATACCTTCTGTTCACTGCTTCAATCCCCAAGTGGTCATGATGGCTGAAACTGAGCTGATCTGAAGCCAGGAGCTTCTTCCAGGTCTGCCATGTGGGTGCAGGGTCCCAAGGCTTTGAATTGTCCTCCACTGCTTTCCCAGGCCACAAGCAGAGAGCCGGATGGGAAGTGGAGCAGCCAGGACAGGAACCAGAGCCTATATGGGTTTCTGGCGCTTGCAGGCGGAGGATAAGCCAAAGGACCCAGCTCCCTGAATCAACCTTCTAGACACTGTGAGCCAGGAGTTCACGCAAAGCTCCACGTTAGAGACGTGAACAGCACAGCACATAGCAAAGAGGTGACACTGAAATAGTCAAATGAATGAAGCAGCACCAGGCTCATTCTAACAGTATGGATTAACAGATGTGAAAGAAAATTTAGGGATTTTGAACATACGCTGTGGGATTTCTATTTGGTTTCTTTGTGTTTCTGGAAGGCCATTATGCTAGACTCCAGTCGTATCACTCTCCTGAGATCTCGCTGGTCTAGATCACAGAAGAGGCCTCTGCAGGGCCAGTGCTGTGGGGTGCCAGGTGAAGCTCCACCTGCGCAGCTGTGGCTGCTGTAGCCAGCTGGGGAGTGAGCCAGCGATGAAACAGCTTTCTGTCTCTTCTCTGTAAATCTGCCTTTCCCGCAAAAATAAAAGTTTTGTTTGTTTTTTTAAAGATTTAGTTTTATTGCAAAGTCAGATATACAGAGAAGAGGAGAGATAGAGAGGAAGATCTTCCATCCAATGATTCACTCCCCAAGTGACCACAACGGCCAGTGCTACGCCGATCCGAAGCCAAGAACCCAGAGCCTTGAGCCTCTTCTGGGTCTCCCACATGGGTGCAGGGTCCCAAGTCTTTGAGCCGTCCTCAACTGCTTTCCCAGGCCACAAGCAGAGAGCTGGATGGGAAGTGGGGCTGCCAGGATTAGAACTGGTGCCCATATGGGATCCTGGCACAGTCAAAGCGAGGACTTTAGCTGCTAGGCCACCGCACTGGGCCAATAGTTCGTTTTAAATGAAAGAAAGGACAGGTATTTTGCATTGTACGGTCTTTTCCAACGGCGCCAACCGTGCCACAGCCGGCAATGATGGCAGCCGTCTCTGGGCTACCATGCAGTGCTGGGAAAAGGCCTTGGGAGAGCCATGCTCTGCCGGCACAGCTTTGCTACTGACCTGACTGAAGTAGCAATGCAGAAGACAGGCGTTCAGGTAGGACGCGGACCGGACGAGCTTGAAGAACCTCACAAAGTTATTACTGTTCAAGGCAGCAAATGCCTGCACAGCAAGCGTCACCTCAGCGGAGTTCCTAACAGCAGGATGGAACTGCTGCACCTCTCTGTTGATGACAGCGAGCAACAGGTCAGAATGTCCCTCTAAACCAAAGCTCCCACAAAGACTCTGACAAGCACCCAGACTTCAACCACACCGAGAAGGTGCCTGGGGGAAGTGAACCAGTAACTGCAGTATACTACGGACAAACAAGCAAGCAAGCACCAAATGAGGAGTCAGTGATCCAAGAGTTACTTTAATAACAATGACCTGTTTTCTGTGCTTGACTACGAAGTCTAAAATACAATTTAGCCATTATCAAAATAAATCTGAATGGTTCACAACGAGGGAGAAATGGCTGTCATTTCAAAATGCTGTATTAGCAACTCTCTAAAACCTAATTATCTACAAGGCTTAAACCTGAAAGTCACAATCAGACTCTTCTTCAGCTTCTCAGGGAAGACTTGAAGCTCAGTAAATGTCACATACAATGTAAGAATCCTGGAGCAAAGGAGACAGTAAGCACCTCCAATCCTGTTGGCCAGCAGCAGAGCCTGAAGCCCAGGGCCCAGTCCCACTGCTCACATACATCTCCTCAAACAGGCTGGGGCCTAGCATTCGTTTATCCCTAAGACCCCATCCTGGGTGCTTTCATTACACACGCTTTTCCCGCTTTCAGTACTCAGCTCTTTGACAAAGCTGCCTGAAAATCCCTAGCAACTCCAACGGGCAGCCTGGCTTCCCGCAGCGACCTGCCCTTCTCAGTGGGAAGGATCCCTGCTTGTTCTCTCTGAGCACCCACGGACAAGATTCCACAAGCGAGCAGAGAAGATGCGCTGTGCCAGCAAATCCCGCCACGGCAGCTCTCACTACTGCCCAGCGGTCACAGCAGCTCCTCTCTGATCCCTGGGCCTTCCCACCCTGCCGGGCACTGCCCCTCAGGAGGGCACACTCACCTGAGGATGTCCCCCTTGTTGAGGTTGAGCAGCACATTGTAGCCCTGGAACTCGGCCTCACTGGCACAGGAGATGCCCTTGCTCCTCAGGTCCTGATACATCTCCTTCAGACTCTGCAGGCACTTGGTCATGTTCTCGTTGTTGATCTTGGCGTCGAAGGAAGACATGGACTCCTCACACATGAAGTGAGCACAGTGGATGTGAAACCGGGTACACTTCTCAATCAGGGACACGGTGAGAGGGTCACAGAGGTGCTGCTGCGTGATGTCCTAATCACAGGCAAGGGGAGGTTATGTTCGCACATACGCCTCCACACTCAACACTCTCTTCAGACACACGCACTCCCACGCGGAATTCAACCACAAGACCCCAGCTTATCACGTGTGCCACATTTCCATTCCAACCCAAGCCCACAAAGCACATTTTCACAGGATTCTGTAAAGGTTTTCAAACATATGAAACACAGCAGGTTAAAGGCAAAAGGTGTGCAAGTCTGCTTTGGCGATTTACATGCATTGCCAGTCTCCTGAGCAGAGGTACCTTCCGTATGCCACGTGTGCGGTTCCACACGAAGTCGTACCAGTCCCGAAGGCTGCCCTCCTTCTGGTCCATGATGTGCGTCACCAGGTAGTCCATGGTCCTGCTGAGCACGGCCGAGGGCCGCAGCTCATGTGGCAGGGGCTCCTCCTGGTCGGCGGAGGAGCGGCTGTACTCCTTCACCGCTGCCGCATGGTCCACCTGGAGACGGGGAGCAGGACGCCATGCCTGGGCGGCAGGTGCAAGGCCGGGTTCCCAGCCCAGCACGCCACACAAGAAGGGGAATCCACACACCCTTACGCACTCAACATCAATATCCAAGATCTTGGGCCGGCATTGTGATGCAGTAAGCAAAACTCAGTCTGAATGAGCACCGGTTCAAGACCTAGCTGCTCCCTGTCAATGCACCCGGGAGAGCAGTGCAAGATGGCCCGAGCACAGACCCCTGCTTCCCACATGCAAGCCCAGGTGAAGCTCCTGGCTCCTGCTTCCAACCTGGCCCACCACAGGTTCTTGCTGTTATTTCGGGAGTAAACTAGCAGACGGAACATCTCTTTTTCAAAACAAATAAGTAAACAAATGCCACTTTGCCATAAATAAATATATATATAAATACATCTGTTCAAAGATTACAATAAAAATTCAAAAACCAGGAGCAGGAATTGGGGAAAGTCGACAAGCTGACGTTTAGGGCACTGACATCCCACAATGGGAGTGCCTGGTTCAAGTCCCAGCTACCCCACTGGCAATCCAACCACCTGCTAATTGTGCCCTGGGGGACAGATGGTCCCTGCTACCAGTGAAAGGAACCGGACCCTGACTTCCCCCAGCGCAAGGAAAAGAACGACCTCCCTCCTGCTGATCTGTTTTTCAAACATTTCAAAACATTCCAAAACTATCAAAATTGGGGAACTTGACTTAAGCAAAAATGATAGAGTTAAAACTGGGGTTGTCATACGCCAGAAGTCAAAGTGAAGCAACGCTGCCCTAGCTCCAAAGACAGGTCCGTGTGGACTTTTCAGCCACGTTCAAATGCCAGACAGTCTGCACGCTCCAAGAGATGGCCATGAGACGAGGAAGGGCACAGCAGGGCCCAGGGGACGGGGCCTGAGCTACACAAAGAGGCTGAAGACTCATGGCTGAGAGGAGACCCAGAGATGTTCTCTACTTGTCCTCCAAAGTGATGCCCACTGCCAGGCTGGGGACGCCACACCACGGCGAGGAAAGTATGAGATCACCAGCTGGAGAGAAGGAAGACTCTTCAGCAAGAAGGAAAATGAGTTGAATTGATGCATATTCCAGGGAAACAACTTTCCAGCATAAACTGGTATCAGCCCAGGAAAGGTCACAGCGTCTGATGCAGTGACCAGATCCTGAGGATCTAGCAAAGACGCTAACAATGCTATTACAAAGCTGGAAGATGACAACAGCTCACTACTAATCACAGAAACCAAGATTTACATAATGAATAGCAGGCTATCATTTTCAAAATGCTTATAAAGGGTTTCTCATTACACAGAAAAATGCTCATAATTTTAGGTGGGAAAAATATATAAAATTGCATTTCCAGAATAATCTGGAATATGCCAACAGAAAAGAGTAGAAATAAATTTATAAAATGTAAAAAACATTAAAAAAAAAATTGTTGGTCCCAGTGCAGTAACCTAGTGGCTAAAGTCCTTGCCTTGAATGCACCAGGATCCGATCCCATATGGGCACCGGTTCTAATTCCAGTGGCCCCACTTCCTGTCCAGTTCCCTGCCTGTGTCCTGGGAAAGCAGTGGAGGACGGCCCAAAGCCTTGGGACCCTGCACCTGATGGGAGGCCCAGAAGAAGCTCCTGGCTTCGGATCAGCGTAGCACTGGCCGCTGCAGCCAGCCACTCGGGGAGTGATTAAACGCACAGAAGATCTTCCTGTCTGTCTCTTCTCCTCTCTGAATATCTGACTTTCCAGTAAAAAATAAATTTAGAAAAATTTATATGAAAAAGTAAATAAATAAAAAATAAAAATGAATTGCTCCAGCTACAAATATATTTTTTTTATATTGCAATTTTGCCTGGAGTTCCATCCAGATCTCCCACATAGGGAAGCAAGGACCCACCTGTGCTGCTTTCCTAGGCACCAGGCACAACAGGAGGGAGCTGGATCCAAAGTGGAGCAGCCAGGACTTGAACAGGCACTTCTTGGCATGATGGTGTTACTATGCCAGCCCCAGCAGCTTCAATCTTGAGAAAATCTAAATCCATCCTTGACCAAGTCTGAGCTGCACCTGCTCAGTAAGCGGCTGCAATTCCAAGAAACCACAGAACTCCTCCCCAGCCCCAACATGGGCAGGAACCCAGAGCCCACCTGGTCAGTGCCTGGGATCACTTCAAACACACTCAGCTGGCTCCGGGTCTCCCGCATGTAGCGCTCCTTCTCGGGACACATGTCAGGGCAGGTCCCCACGAACGTCTGCGCTCTGTCCAGGTCAGTTCTTTTCACTCGAGCTAAACAATATCCAACACAAGGTAAGGGCACAGAACACGGTCGACAGGACGCATGTTTTCACCACGATACAAGTGAGAAAAATGTGGAACGCACACACAAATGGTAGAACCAACCCTTGGTCCTAAGGCCTGTGTTGAGGCCTTTATGGGGCTTGCCCTTCCCTGCCCTTGCAGAAAGCAGTTCTTGCAAAGCCAGCAGAGCCAGCATCCCAGATGGGCACCAGTTTGTGTCTCAGCTGATCTTTCCCCTTTGTTACTCCCCTAACCCTAGATACAGGGCAAAATGATTATATTAGTGTGGAAACAATGATATTACCCACTTTCACCCTGTAGCCCGTGACCCTTTGTACCCTAATAAACTAAGATTATTAAAAAAAAAAAAAAAAAAAAAATTTATTTTATTTCTATTGTAAAGTCAGATACACAGAGAGGAGGAGAGACAAAAAGATCTTCCATCCGATGTTTCACTCTCTAAGTGGTACATTGGTGAGAACTGCACCAACCTGAAGCCAGAAGCCTCCTCTATGTCTCCCACGCGGGTGCAGGGTCCCAAGGCTTTGGGCCGTCCTCTGCTGCTTTCCCAGACCACAAGCAGGGAGCTGGATGGGAAGTGGGGCTTCCGGGATTAGAATTGGTGCCCATAAGGGATCCTGGCACATGCAAGGCGAGGATTTTAGCTGTCAGGCCTCTACACCACACACCAGGCCCAGATGATCTACTTCTAATCCAGCTCCCTGCTAAATGTCTGAGAAAAGCAGTGGGAAATAACACAAGTGGGCCCAGCGCAGTGGCCTAGCGGCTTAAGTCCTTGCCTTGAACTGGATCAACGCTAGCCGTTGTGGCCATCTGGGGAGCAAACCAGTAAATGGAACATCTCTCTTTGCATATTACTCTAAATGACCACCTCTACATCTAATGCCCAGCTGCGAGAACTGCTGGGAAGCTTCCCGATCAAGTAAAGCAGCCCCAATCTAACCACAGGCCAGGCAGTGCTGCTCAGAGCCCTAACTCTACAGTCCCCACCCCCACACCTCGGATGCACCTAAACAGATGATCACACTTGCCTAACTATCTCAGGGGTTTTGGTGGTGGAATTTTTTTTTTTTTTTGAAAAAGGAGCACAGGGAAAAAAACACTCCACTCCACCCATGGGTTCACCCTCCAAATGCCAGCCACAGCCAGGGCAGAAACAAGCAGTCTGCAACTCCACCTAGCACCCTGAGATCCAAGTGCTTGAGTGGCTGCCTGCCGTTGCCTGAGCATTACCAGGAAGCTGCGACAGGAGCAGGTTGGGAATGTGAATCCAGGCCTCTGTCAGGAATAGCTGAATAGGTGTCATCCCACCTTCAAGTCATCAAAACATACTTGTTGAAAATTCATTCATTGCGGGGCTGGCATTGTGGTGTACAGGTAAGCCCACTACCCGTGCTGCCGGCATTCCATACGAGCACAGGTTTGTGTCCCAGCTACTCCACTCCCGATCCAGGCACCTGCTACTGCACCTGGGAAAGCCAACAGAAGGCAGCCCAGGTGCTGGCAGCCCTGCCACTCACAAAGCAGACACACATGAAGCTCCTGACCCTAGCCTGGCCCAGTGCTGGCCATTGTAGTCCGTCTCTCCCTCACTCTCTGCAACTCTTTCAACAAAAAATATTTTAAAATAAATAAATGGATGGATGACGTAGGCACGTGCTGCAGTAGTTAAGTCCCCATCCTGGACACTCACATGCCTGGTTTCCAACCCAGCTTCTTGGCAATGCCCCAGGAGGCAGACCACAGTTCAAGTACTTGAGTTTCTATCACTCACACCAGAAACTCAGACCAAACCCCACCTCCTAGGTAAAGACTCAACCAAGCCCCAGCTGTTCTTGGCACTTAGTGATTCAACCAGCAAACGGGAGCTTTTTCCACTTATCTCTCTGGCTTTCAAATAAAATGCATATTCCTGAGAAACAACTTTTGAACATAAACATATCAGGCATTTGGCCTCTGGGTTCGGCTGCTGGTCAAGGCAGCCCTGACTCATATTAGCATGCCAGGTTCACCGCCCAGCCCCGGCTCCTGACTCAGCTCTGCACTAGAGCAGACCCTGGCAGGCAGCCAGAATAGCTCACAACAGTAGGCTGCTGCTGTCACCCAGGAGGCCTGGGCTGAGTTCTGCCCAATCCTGCCCACTGCAGCCATCCAAAAGTCTGTTCAATGCAAACATTCAAAACACTCGGCACCTCCTTCGCCGCCTTAGCAGGAGAATATCAGGAAGGTCCTACCCACCTTCCCCCATACCTCAACTCTCCCCACCCAATTCGGTGGTCCTCATGGGCCTGCAACCTTGGCAACTATGTAAGTAACATCAAGGAATCATAGTCATAGGCACCTGGCCCTCACCTAAGTAAGCAAGCTACCACCATTCAACACTGAATCATAAATGAAACTCAATCTCACAATGTCATGACTCAAAAAAGGGGTTTCATTTTGAAATAATCATTTTACCCAGAGATCACATGTCAGTGATATAACACACAGCAGCTCTGATGAATGCGCTAAGCAAGCACCACAGCTGCTCCAATCGTTCTTCACAGAATTTAAACAACTATGGCCAGCACGATGGCTCCAAGGCTAAACCCTCACCTTGCATGCGCCAGGTTCCCATATGGGTGCTGGTTTGTGTCCCAGCGGCCCCACTTCCCTTACAACTCCCTGTTCGTGGCCTGGAAAAGCAGTCAAGTTCAGCCCAAAGCCTGGGGATCCTGCACCATGTGGGAGACCCGGAAGAGGCTCCTGGCTAGGCTCAGCCCTGGCCACTGTAGTCGTTCGGGGAGTGAACCAGTGGATAAACATTTTTGTCTCTCCTTCTCTCTGTGAATCTGCCTTTCCAATAAATATAAATCTTTAAAAAAGAAAAGAAACAAACAAAACTACTGGGCCTGAACAATGGCTCCACAGGCTAATCCTTCAGCTGTAGTGTCGGCATCCCCTATGGGCTTCCATTTGTGTCGCTGCTATCCCACTTCCCTTCCAGCTCCCTGCCTGTGGCCTGGGAAAGCAGTGGCAGATGTCGTGGGACCCTGTACCCATGTGAGGAACTCAGAAGCTCCTGGCTTCAGATTGGCTTAACTCTGGCTGTTGCAGCCATTTGGGTAGTGAACCAGCAGATGCAAGATTTGTCTGTCTCTCCTTTCTGTAATTTGCCTTTCAATACATACATTTTAAAGAAAAAAAATCCTGCTGCACCTTAAATGTAAGGGCCAAAATTTATATATATATATATATATATATATATATATATATATATAAATACATGGCTTTCCCCCCACTTCCTTTCCTTCTGATACTTCACAAAACTCATGGAAAATGGAATAGTTATGCTATTCCAGTGCAAAAACGACTTGAAATCCAAGGAATTTTTCACTGCATGCACTCTCAGCAGCTGTCTTTCTACGTCATACTTGTCATTCAACCACATCCTGGAAGTAAAAATCGCCCCACTCCAGCTTCAGACTCCCCTCCTCCCTCCAGGTTCCAGACACGTCTCAACTACTTTACGTGTGCACGTGTAAATGCCCACCCCTGCAACCAGGGGAGACCATCGCAGACACAAGTCCAGGAGGAGCAAGCACCTTCCAGGACTCCCGAAGGTGCTACAGGGCCCAGCTCCACAGGACGCACCTTACCTTGGCGCATGATTCGGTCCCTCTGGTCAAGCAGGCGGTACTTCTCCTCTGACGTCTCAGCCACGGTGCCAATGAGGGCACTTAGCGATGACACGCAGGGCCCCAGGCCTTCCGAGCCCTCGGACCCAGAGTCGAAAGGGTCTCCCTCAAATGGGTGGGCTTTCAGGAGACCCTGCTTCTTCACTGGGGAGCTGCAAACGGCAGAGCATGGGCCTCCCATGAGTCAGGCCTTCCTGACATGCCCTTTACTCTTCACTCAAAATGCTCCCATCCTCCAAGGCTGAGTAACTCAACATTCAAACGAGATGATCCCGATAAAGCCGGCACTAAACAACCATGATACATCAGTCACTCATCTTTCTCATTATTTTGAAATATTTCATGCTTTCCAGAATTGGGAGGCCAGCACTGTGGTGTGGAGACTGAAGACACGGGCATCCCAAATGAGCAACGGCCAAGTCCAGGATGCTCCACCTCCCAGCCAATGAGATGGCAGGGCAGTGCAAGATGGCCCAAGTATTGGACCTTTACTACCCACGTGGGAGAACAGAACGCAGTTTCAAGTTCCTGGATCTGGCCCGGCCTGGCCCAGCCCTACCTGTTTGTAGCCAATATGGCAGTGAGCCACCAGACAGAAGATCTCTAACTGCTTTTAAATCAGTTTATGTGGTTTAAAGAAAAACAAAAAAGGATGTAAACTCAAATAAATAGCTGAAAATTTGCAGACATCTATTTTAAAGAAATAAAATTCAGCTGAGGAAAAAAACCTTTAATACCACAAGGAAATATTTCAGTTACTTTTAAGATTTACTTATTGTAAGTCAGTCACAAAAGAAGAGGGAGGGACAGACAGCTGCTAGTTCATTCCCCAGATGGCAGCAATAGCCAGGGCTAGGTCAAGCTGACCAGGAGCTTCGCCTGGGTCTCCCATGTGGCTGGCAGAGGCCCCAGGTACTGGGCCATCTCCCATCACGCTCCCACACACAGCAGCAAGCAGACTGGAAGCAAGCACAGCCGCCAAGATTTGAACTGGCAAGAACTTGACGCCAGCATTGCGGGCAGGGGCTTCTCCAGCACTGTGCAACAATGCTGCTCTTGACAGCATGCTTCAGCATACAACTACTCTGATAAAAAGAACAGATATTCTTATTTCTCTATTTCCATTCTCTAGCTGAGTTTCAACATTCTTTGAACTTGAATGTCAGAGAATATTGGCTTCATGAGGAAGGAAAAAGCCTAAGACAGCCAGCTTCTTTACTACTAATCACAAAACAGCATGGAGAACAGAGAGGTCTTCAAATGTTCATGGAGGCTGCGCAAGCTGCAGCCAGTCACACTGCTGCCTATGACTCGATACTTCCCATGAGCACTGGTTCAAGTCCAGGCTGCTCCACTTCCAACCAAGCTTCTTGCTAACCTGCCTGGGACAGTGCTCAGGGCCCGTCACCCGAGCAGAAGACCTGGATGGAGTTCCAGGATGCAGGCTTTAGCCTGGACCAGGCCCCTGTGGCCATGCCGGGAGTGACCCAGCACAGGAAGACCTCTCCTCCCCACCTCCCTCTGTTCTCATTCAAAACAAATACAAGTAACTTGAAGGTGAGGATCTGTCAGTGTTAAGACACCACTAAACTACCAACATGAGCTGACTGCATGTGACGTCGGGCTCCACTTGGGATTCCAGGTCCCTGCTTACTACACACTGTGGAAGGCAGCAGGCGAGGGCCCCTGACACCAGGTGGAGACTCACATTGAGTCTCAGGTTTCTGACTTTGGCCTGGCCTGGCCCTGGGTCTGTGGGCACTTGAAGCATGAACCAGCACACACTGTATTTCACTCAATAAATCAAAACAATGCACTGAAAATGCATGTTACAGAGCCTGGCGCAGCAGCCTGGTAGCTAACGTCCTCCCTGAATACACGGGGATCCTATATGGGAGTTGCTGGCTGCTCCACTTCCCTTCTGTCTCCCTGCTTGTGCCTGGGAAAGCAGTGGAGGAAGGATGACCCAAAGCCTTGAGACCCTGCACCCATGTGGGTGACTGGAAACTCCTGGCTTCGAATCGGCTCAGCTCCGGCCATGGCGGCCACGTGGGGAGTGAACCAGCAGATGGAGGATCTTTCTCTGTCTCTCCTTCCCTCTGTAAATATGCCTTCCAATAAAAATAAGACTTACTTATTTTTACTGCAAAGTCAGATATACAGAGAGAGAAGGAGAGACAGAGAGGAAGATCTTCCGTACAATGATTCACTCCCCAAGTGACCATAGTGACCGGAGCTGAGCTGATCCAAAACCAGGAGCCAGGAGCCTCCTCTGGGTCTCCCAGCAGGGTGCAGGGTCCCAAGACTTTGAGCCATCCTTGATTGCTTTCCCAGGACAAAAGCAGGGAGTTGGATGGGAAGCAGGGCTGCCGGGATTAGAACTGGTGCCCATATGGAATCACAACGTGTTCAAGGCAAGGACTCTAGCCACTAGGCCACCACACCAGGCCCAAAACTAGACAAATCTTTAAAAAAAAGAAAAAAACGTATGTTACAAACAACCTTAGTGGCACAGCAGCACGTTAAGCCACCACTACAACACCATATGGAACCAGTCCATCAAGTCCCCTGCTCCACTTCCAACCCAGCTCCCTTCTGGTGCCCCTAGGAAAGCAGAGGCTGCCTGAGTCCTTAGGCACCTGAACCCACATGGGAGACCCAGACAAGACCCTGGCTCCTGCTCCTGGCCTGGCCAGCCTGCATCTGCAAACATTCTGGTAGTGAACCAGTGGACGGAAAAGCTTTCCCTCGATGTCACTCTTTCACATAAGTCAATCTGTACCAAACTGAAAAGAACAGAACGAGGCCAGCAGTAACAGCTGCAACCAGCTTCTCCCAGAGAAAACGCCTGCATGGGAAGAAAACGAACCACCTGTGGGGGCTCCTGTATAAGTGGAACAAGATGGGACAGAACCAGAGGCCAGTGGCAGTCACTCTGCTGGTTCCCCAGCCTGGCGGGCACCAGTCTCCTAGTCATCCGGGCTCTGTCATCCATGCTGGCCACACAGGTGCCAAGGACCCGACCTCTGGACCTCAGCTATCCCTGCACAAGCTCAAGCTCCCCCTGCTTCCCACCAGTCACCTTTTACTGAGAAGGCCGCCTCCTGCAGTCCTCACCACAGGCTTGATGAGGGGTGAATGCTGAAAGGGGACTTCCTCCAAGCCCTGGCTGGCTTCACCATCACCTGGCTGCTTCTCCTTCAGAGCAAAAGGCTTCTTGCTGGGACCTGTGGACACAGGGTACAAGAGTCACTCAGAGCCCACCAGCCTCCCTTCCCTGGGGCTGGGAAGGGTCACTCCCACAGGTCAAAGGGCTTTGCATACAAAGCGTCAGACTGTGAAGAATACATGAAAACTCACTTATTTTCTTCTTGTGCCAAAATATACTCATGTCTCCATGCAAACTTTTTCCCTTCTTTTTAGCAAGGGCTGCGGATGCCTGAAAAACAGATGCCATCAGGAATCCAAGGGAAAGAGGACGGAAAACTCAGCCCAACAGACAACAGCGCAGCCTCTCCGCCCAGTGTCTCCCACTGTGGCCAGCTCCTCATCTCCTCTATTTCACAAGCCTGTGTTTGCGCTGCCCTTTTTGAAACATCAACTCTGCTGTGAGAAAACCCATACACTTGGCCTGTCACTCAGTAAAAAGTCTCTCACCAGCTAATTACAAACAGAAACAGAAGGACAGCCAAGTCACACCGAAACAAAGTGGAAACTACGAAACGACACACACAGCACACCGGGCAACTGGGGCTGCTCCTGAGTAACAGGACAATCGGATGAATGGTTCACAGTGGCAACACTTAATAAATCACACACTAAAACAAATGTTACCGGGAAATAGGTACACTGCAAAAAGCAAAATGTAAATGAGTTTTTAGCAAGACTCAGCAAGCCACTAGAAAGGTACCTGATATATCATAGAACACCAATACGTATTCTCTAGGGCCGGTACTGTGTAACACGTAAGGCCACTTCCTGTAGCACCAGCACCCCACATGGGCACCAGCTTGTGGCCCAGCTGCTCCACTTCTTATCCAGCTCCCTGCTAATGTGCCTGGGGAAACACTGTGGGCTCCTACCACCTAGGGAAGACACCTAGCTGAAGCTCCAGGCCCCTAGCTTTAACCAGCCAGCCCTGACTGCTGCAGTCACATGGGGAGTACACGGAAGATTTCTCTCTGTCATTCTTTCTTTGAAGTTGTCTTTTCTGAATAAATCAATCAACCTTTTAGTAACAGCAAAAAGAGATTTAAAAAGAGAGAAAAAAATCCTAAGAGCAGGAGCTTGTATGAGCGCAGCAGCAGCAGCACTATTCCTAGGAGCCCAAGGTCCAGCCGCATTCGAAGGGTTAACAAGATGTGACCCGTCCACGTGTTATTAACCCTTGAAACGGAGCGAGACCTGACACAGGCTGCCCCCGGCTAATGCACCTAGCAAAGAGGGCCCAAGTGTCTGGGCCCCTGCACCCAGAAGCATACGGCTTCTGGATTCAGCCCTTGTGGACATCTGGGGAGTGACCCAGCAGGTGGAGAATCTCTCTCCCCCTTGCTATAACTCCTCCCCCAACTCAAAAAAAGATCATTTTTCAAAAACAAAAATAAAATGGCTTGAAAGTGGGAAGTTTAGAGAACTCACATGATCAAAAAAATGCACCACTGCGAGCTTCTTGCTGCGCCTGGTGTAGATGCGCTGCACCTTGGCGATCTTGCCAAAGTGGTCCTCCAGAACGGTCCTGTCGTTGAGGTAGTCGGGAATGTTCTTGCACTGGATCGCAGTGATCTCTGTGGGAGACAAGCCCCCGAGGCTGTCCACACTTTCACTCCGCTTACTCTGCCTCGCAGGGGTTCCTCGCAGAGAATCTATAGGTGCAGACAATGGACACGTGAGCTCAGCACTTCCAAACAAAAGAAGGCTCAATTCGCAAGGTAGGTTTCCGGGAAATATAAGATCCACTTCCAGGCTTGGATGAGGATTCCTGACGCCCACAGGGGTTTTACAGGACAACCAGACTACCACCTTGGGGACCTGAAGGGGACCCCTCTGCACCACACAGAACGGACCTAAGGGAACCTGGCCGCATGACGTGCTAACAGCTCACCTTCCTTTTTGTCCCTGCCTTCCACTTCTTCCTCCTTATTCGCACCTGCAAGCCGGGAAGGTGCCAATATAGATGGGCCCCCTCCTGGGACGGCCATGTGGTCACTCTCCCCGGATCCCACAAAGCCGGTGTCCTTTCTGGGCTCCTTGTTTCCTAGACGACCTGCTTCTTTATTGCTTTTGAAAACGTCCTGTATTGTGCGACCAAACAACGTGCCCCCTCGGGGTCGTTGCAGGCGGACGGGCCGTTTGTCTGGGGGGTGGTCACCCCGGGACAGAGGATCCCAGTCCTCCAAGGGCTCGTGGCCATGTCTCCTGGGAGAGCGGTCCTGGTCCTCCTTCCTCTTCACGCCTTTCACAGGGCCAGGGAGTGGCTCCCCCTGGGAAGCAGCCTCCTCACAGCCCTGCCTGATGCCCGCCTTACTGCCTGAGAAGGGCTCCCCGACAGACACGGAGGGAAAGGAGAAGGTGCTGCCACAGCTTCCAAACACTGGCTTCGGGCCTCTCTCTTCCTCTGCATGCTGGCCAGACAAGGCAGGAGGGAAGGCAGACGATGAACTGCTACTGTTAAGTGGCTTTGGAAACGTGAAACTGGAATTGGTGGATGAACTGCTGGTCACAGGAGGAAAAGAAAAAAGGCCCACGCTCCCGGGGCCACTGCTGACTGGGTGGGAAAATGTGAAAAACCCAGAGGTGACCTGGCTCTGGGACGTCTCCGGCTCGGACTCCGCTGCCATGATCGGTCTGAAGACCGCATTTTCCAAAGGTTTAAAGCTGAATTCTGTTTTTCCAAAGCCAGGGCCAGGCACTTCCCCGCCTTCTGGTGCAAAAGCAGAGGTATTCAGGAAAGCTTCAGGGTTGGGGGACGATTTAAAACTGAACCCCGTGTTTCCAGGGACAGATGAAGTAGAAGGGCTGGAAGCAGCTGCAAAGACAGGAGCGTGCTCAAGTCCAGAGAACAGTCCTGTATTTGAACTCTGGGGGAACACCAAGGCTGGTGCGGACGAGGACTGGCTGGACTCCTGGGAAAAGCCTGTGCTCTTGCCAGACAACAAGTTGTTCTGTCCAAACAGAGAAGGCTGACCAAACCGGAATGGCGCCTTGGCCTGAAACGGTCCCCCGGAACCACCAGCAGAGGCTGCAAAACCCCCGGGCTGCGGCGCCCCAAAGGGGTTCGGCGGGTTCATCTTCCCCTCCGCTTATGCAGCACCAACGCGAAGCACACCGTCGGGAGTCCTCAGGCAGCTGGCAGTCCCGGACAGCTGAAAGACAGACCGCACAGCTCCGTCCAGTAACAGCTTTCTTAGGAAGGGATGCTAACCATGTCTCCGGCTCAACAATAATTACTGAAAGGGCACGGCACAGGATAAAGAACGGTACAAGTCAATTTCTTTGCCGCCAAAACCGTTTAAGATTTAAACAAAATGTAAAACCATTTCACTGGGTGGGTTAACTCGAGGATAGCCCCAGTTCGCTCACCCGGGAATTACAATGTAACGCCCGAACCACTACACACTACAGCCTTTCAGTCTTCCCCGCCCTCCGCCCCGACGCCCACCCCAGGAAGTGGCCCAACTGCCCAAGAGCTCACCCGGGAGGACCCGAGGAGGCCGCCGAGGCAGCGAGAGCCCGCGCTCAGGTCCGGGCCCATCCGCCTCCCGGCCAGGGCTCCTCCTAAGGGGCGCCCGCCTCCCAGGACGGGGGCTCCCCACCCAGGTCAGGGCCCCCCCCCAGGACGGGGGCTCCCCCACGCGCGCCCCGCGGCAGGGCCTCCCCGCCCCGCCCCCCGAGGTCGGGGACCCCCAGCCCAGGCCCACCTGCCCGCGGACGCCCAAGCCGCAGCGCTCGACAGAGAACAGCTCGCAGGCCCGTCCGCCCGTCCTGGGCCCACGGGACGCGCAAGCGCAGAAGCGCCAGCCCGCGCTTCCCCGAGCGGCGGACAGAAATCGGAGCGGACCGACTTCCGCCGTTTGAGTTCCGCTTCCCCGGCCGGCGCCCCGCGGGCCACGCAGGCCCCGCCCCGGGTCAAACTCCTCCCCGGGCAGCGCCGCCCCGCCGCCCGGCTTCCCGCGCCTGGAGGGGTGGGCTCCGGCGCCCAGGAGCGCTTCCCCGCCAGCTTTACAGGCTCAAGACTTGGGCGTCTTCCTCGTGGCCTGTGGAGGTTCACTGACGCCTCCCAGGTGACAGGACGCGGCCCAGCCCGGCGCTGACGGTCCCCGCCGACGACGCCCCGCAGCTTTGACGTCGGCCCCGCTCTCCGCCCCCTCAGCCCTCCCTCAGGCCCCGCTCCTGTCCCCACAGCCTTCCTGTCCAGTCCCACTGTCCACATGAGTCTGGTGATCCGCAACGTGCAGCGCGCCGTGCCGTTGCGGAGAGCGCCCCTCCGTGGCCGACTGCAGGTGCTCAGGCGCATCCTGGGCGTGCAGGCCTTCGACCTGGGCCTCGTCTGCGTGGACAACGGCCAGATGCGCCGAGTGAACAGGGTCTACCGAGGGAAGGACGTCCCCACCGACGTGCTTTCTTTCCCATTCCACGAGGTGAGAAGGGTGCTTGCAGCCAGCCGCCAGCTTGCCAAGGCCAATCTCCGTGACCATGGCACCAGGGGCAGTTTCCCCTGGTGAGTTTGGAAACTTGAAAGTGTGCCCGAATGTAAAGTGGGGCCTACACACCCCACGAGGAACAATGGTTCCACGGATTCCCCGATGAACAGGGCAGGGAACCAGCCTCCTGGCGGGCTGTCCACAGTAGGTGAGGAGTGGAGCGTAGTGCAGCTTAAAGCATGATGCAACGATGAATATGTTAGATTCAGATTAAAACCACCCTGGAAAAATCAAAGCAGGTATGTTTTAGCGGAAAAATGTGACAGCCAGAGGTTAGTAATTTACACTGTGCATAACTTTGGATTACATGCTTTGCAGCAAAAATTGGAGCAAATTCTGGGAAAGCAATTTGACCATGTAGGGGACTTAAAGAGTTTTTAAAAGATGATGCATTTGACTTTATGCTAGGTATATGCTTGCAATGAAGGAATCTCAACTGAACTTGAACTGTGGTTATGCAGCAAGGTGGAGAAATCCACTATGGGGGGAGGGTTGTGGGAGGGGTGGGGAGAATCCCAGTGCCTATAAAACTGTATCACATAATACAATGTTAATAACAATTAGAACAAATAAATGAAACTTTAAAAAAAAAAAGATGATGCATTTGGAATTACATCCAGGGAAATGAAAGAAGAAGATAAAATGCTAACAACATAGCATAAAAATGTATTAAAAGGTTCATTTGTTTTCCATAAAAGCAAAGAAAAATATAGTCTATGCTGTCTTAGCAATGAGGGTCCTCAATGGAGTGTTTGTGTAGAATGAAAGACTTTAGAATAAGATGCAAATGCAAAGGAGAAAAATATCAACTCCTGTCTATGTGATGATGTGACTGCAGAAGTTCTGGATTTGTGGGATTCAGAATTGCAAGAGATGAGACATGGAGAGGGCCCCATTTGACATGACAGAACCATTTTATGTCACCATGCATAGTGGCCATGCCATCGCTCCCCACAGGCACACCCTGGCCCTTGGCAGAACAGATGGGGAGCCAAGTGCCTGCAGGGTCTTCCCAGTGAAGGCTGTGGTCTGAGGCCATCTTTCCATTTCCATTTCCTCATTTTCAGAATCTGAAAGCGGGTGAAGTTCCCCAGCCACACTCCCGAGATGATTATAACTTGGGGGACATTTTCCTGGGAGTAGAGTATATCCTCCACCAGTGCAATCGCAGCGAAGATTACTACGACACCCTGGCTGTAAGTGGGGATGCTGGAGCCCAGCATCCTAACAATGGACTGCTGGGGGTGCTGCAGCAGAGAGAAGGGGGTGCCCAGGTCAGATGAAGGAGAGGACCCTACTGTGAAAACCCAGAGGCTCCCAAGGTAGTCTTCCTCATCCCCAGAGGACAGTGTGTTGTATGCTGATGTAGCCCTGCTAGATGAACTTCTTGGCCAGGGAGGGAGGAGTTGAGCCCCCAGGACACTCTAGGTTTGTTTCCCCTTGACTTGAGGCAAAAAGGAACAATGCAAAATTGTCCCAAAAGGTGATCTGTAGCCCACAATTCCATTGGAAACAGCCATACCCTGAATTGAAGCCCAGTGAGAGGGTGGTTCTATAACGGGCTCTTCCTGCTGTATCATTCCCTGAGCTGTGCTTAATTTTCTGACAGGTGACTGCCACCCATGGACTATGTCACCTGCTGGGCTTTACCCATGGTACAGAGGCTGAGTGGCAGCAGGTAAGAACTGGGCTCCCACATGGGGAGGAGCTGTCTGCCAGGTTCTGCTCAGATGGAATGGGTGGGTGACCCACTTCTGTATCCACATATGGAGGGGGCTCCTTAGGGGACTGGGCTCCTGCATTCCAACAGTTGAGAAGGTGCCAGCAGTGTGCCTCGTTGGTCTGAAAGCCTCCCATCTGACAAGAGGACCGCTGCAGATAACAGTTTTAAAATGCCAGCAAATCCCCCTCCAGCCCTGGGCACTGACCTTAAGTCCCCTCCCAGCCTCTTCCTTAAGCGCCCCCCCCCGGGCGAGCTTAGGACAGCAGTCAGTGCAGAAGGGCACTAGCACCCCTTCCTAGAGGACAGTGCTCTCTCGCCTCTTGTTTCAGATGTACCGGAAGGAAGAGCAGGTGCTGGAGGATCTGGGCCGACACCTGGGAACCCAGCTCCAGCCACTGAGCAGGGGCCTCTTCTGATGACCCCCACCCTGGACTGCCACTGTCCTGTAGACATGAAGGTGGAGAGTCGGCTCGGTCACGAGGAAGACTTGATCCAGAGCCCAGGAGCAGCTGACATTTCGGTTCTTGTTCTAGAACACTGAAGGTTATTGTAAATGAAGGGTTCTGAGCCCTGGGTGTGAGGGTGTACAATATCCACGCTTCCTGGGAGCTGTAGGTCCTGCGAGATGGCGTTTCCTTGGGAGGGATGGAGTGAGTGAGGCTCCTGGACCTGGCTCTCCATATGACCTTCTGACTGAGGAGCAGGCTGAAGGGGCAGCCCTGGCAGCAGAGTACACTGTGTCTAATCCATGGGCAGTGTCAGATATAAGAACATCCTGCCCATGCATCTCCCGGCATCTCCTGTACCTAGTTTGGCCATGGCCTAGACATGCCCAAGAAGGCCCCATTCCCCAGGAGCAAGGCAGCAGCAAGCAACAAGTCTGTGATGAGCAAACCCTGCTCTGCAGTCATGGCCACTCTGGGGCTACTGCTGTCACCATGGCTTTGCTCTGCTGTCAGGCGTGGGGGCATCAAGCTCTCACTGCTCCATTTTAGTTCCCAGCAGCGTGTCCTGCTGCATCTGTGAACACATATGCATTGCACCTGTCAGTGCCAAACAGCCCGAAGGGGTTTATGCCCATCTGTGCTGCCATCAATGACAATGGTGACAAGACAGCCCCAGTGGACTTTCCTCATCCTGAAACCTATGATGCTAGTCCAGTTTCTCAAATTAAATGGTTTACAAACATGAAAATGCTCCTCCCACTAGAGTTGTGCCCTATCTCAGCCTCGACTTCCTGTCCGGTTCTCAGGAACACGCACGAGCCTGAGACTTTGAGTCACGTTGTCCCTACCTGACTTAATCCCACTGATCATGATTGTCCTCCACCTAATGTCCAGTATGGCAGAGGCTACTGGACATCACCCAAACAGCAGCTCCGGGGTCCACGGTGCCTTGTGAGCAGCTGAAGGGCCCTGAGACCTGCTGGCCTACTTCCTGACACACTCTTGGGCTTCAGAGGGAAATTCCAGGGGCACCTGGGTCTCAGGACCCAAAGGCTTGGTCCCTGTCTCCCAGCAGTCTAGCAAAGCACCACTGGTGTGTCTCAGCCCTCTGCTCCATTGCACCCTTGGGGTGTGCACAGCCACCCTGCCTGCACCTCTGTCCACTCTGCTATGAGTGATTGTGTCTTCTCCCTGCTTTTCTGTTTTCCTTTTTTCCTCTTGATTTGCTATTTCTTTTTTTCTTTTTTTTTTTTTTAACGAGGAGAGACAGAGATGTCTTCCATCCACTGGTTCATTCCCCAAGTAGGCACAATAGCCAGTCTGAAACCAGAAGCCAAGAGCTTCCTCCTGGTCTCCCACGTGGGTGTGGGACCCAAGGACTTGACCTTCTCCATCTGCTGCTTTCCCAGGTCCATTAGCAGGGAGTTGGATGAGAAGTTGAACAACCAGGACATGAACAGTACCCACAGACTTAGGATAAGCGTACTATGCCATGGTGTTGGTCCCTATTTGGTATTTTTACATATTGGAAAATTCCCTATGTGTGGGTGACTTCTGACTCAAGTGTGAGGAGAGGCTGCCCCACTGTCAGGTCATCAGCTGGGTCTTGCACCCCTAGCCTGGTCAGGAACCCCTAGTTCCTTGTCAGCTGCTCTGCTCAGAGAGTGGAGTAGGTTTCCTCTCCTGCTCTAACAGGCAGCGCTCTCCATGTGGTTTCCACAATGAGCTGCTTCAGAGCCACCAGCAGCCAGTCTTGGGGGGCCTCTCATCAGTGCTGCACCACCCGACACATCGTCGGTCTCAGGGGATGTACTGCATCATCAGGTGTGCATAGATGCCCAAGACCTGGCAGAGGAGGCATTCCCATCACCCCAGCCCCCAGCTGCCCTGCCTGGGCAGCTCTGAGACCAGAAGCACCTGCTCAGACTCTTCAACCTGCAGTGGTGGCCAGGGCACTGCATACAGGGTAAGTTCACCCCTCCATCCTCCTCTGGCAAGGCCGCACCCTCACCACAGGCCATCCCCAGAGAGCCATCATCCTGATTCCCACAGAACCCCCACATCGTAAGAACCTGGAACCAAACCCCTCCCCCAGTGAGGCCAGGCCAGCCCAAGACAAGTTCTGCTGAAATGCTTTGCCCCATGTTGACAGATGAGCCAGAGGGAAGCCATGTTAGAGAAGGTCAGCCTGAAACATGAGTTTCCTGTTGATGCAGATCCTGGGAGGCAGCCGGTGATGGCTCAAGTGGTTTGGGAGACTAGACTGCTTCTGGTTCAAACCTGGCCCTGCCCCAGATGTCACAGGCATTTGGGGAGTAAATCAACAGAAGGGGAAAGGTCTACGTTTCTTTTCCTATCTTCTGCCTTTCAAGTAAGTATTAAAAAAAAAAAAAAAAAAAGAACCATGAATAATTGGGCTCAGAGAGGTGGCCTAGCGGTTAAAGTCCTCACCTTGCACATGTCAGGATCTCATATGGGCGCCGATTCTAATCCAGGCAGCCCTGCTTCCCATCCAGCTCCCTGCTTGTGGCCTGGGAAAGCAGTTGAGGATGGCCCAAACCTTTGGGACCCTGCACTCGTGTGGGAGGCGACCCAGAAGAGCTCCTGGCTCCTGGCTTTAGATCAGCGCAGCTTTGCCTGTTGCGGTCACTTGGGGAGTGAAATCATCAAATGAAAGATCTTCCTCTCTGTCTCTCTGCTTTATATATATCTGACTTTGCAATAAGAATCAAATAAATATTTTTTAAAATAACATGAAATAGGTCAAGCTTTTCTTTTAACATTTGTTTATTTTGGAGGTTGGTACCATGGTGTGGTGGGCTGAACTTCCACCTGTGGCACAGGCATCCCATACGGGCACTGGTTTGGAACCCAGCTGCTCTACTTGCTATTCCACCTCCCTGCTTATGACCTGGCTTGGGTCCTTGAGCCACTACACCCACATAGGGACCAGGACGGGTAGGGCTCCGGGTTTGGGTCAGCTGGCTATATGCACTGCAGCTGCTTTGGGGCTCTGTCTATTGTACACACACAGTGGTGTTTCTATAGTTTCTTTTTCTTCTTCTTTTTTTTTTTTTTAAGATTTGTTTATTAGAAAGGTAGATTTACAGAGCAAGAGAGGCAGACCTTCCATCTGCTGGTTCACCCAACGTGGTCACAATGGCCAGAACTGAGCCACCCCAAAGCTAGGAGCCAGAAGGTCTCACATGTGGTACAGGGTCCCAAGGTTCGGGCGATCCTCCTCTACTTTTCCAGGTCACAAGCAAGGAGCTGGATCGGAAGCGGAGCACTGGGACACAAATCAGTGCCCATATAGGGTCCTGGAGCTTTAAGGGGGAAGATAGCCAGTCAAGCTGTCGTACCAGGTTCATGAATGGTTTTCACATCAGTGACAATGTATAGCGCTTGAGGGGCAAACAATACAACAGCCAGGATCTAGGAGCTCAGTGTAGGTGAAAGGCACCCAGCCTCCCAGGAGCCTCATGCACAGCCAAAGCCTGGCAGGAACCATCTGCTGTGGCAGATGGGAGCTGTATTTGCAGGAGGAGGTGGGTTGGTTTGGGGACTTCTATTCAGATCTGTTACATTCTTGTTAAAGATTTATTCATTTGTATTTGTTACTGGAAAGGCAATGCAGGGAGAGGCCAAAGACAGAGAAGTACTCTGTCTGCTGGTTCACACCCTGAAGGTCAGAGGTCAGAGCAGCCCCAGGCTGAAGCCAGGGGCCAGGTGTCCCTCTGCGTCTGGGCAAGAGTCATCCTGCATCTTGACCACTAGGCTGAAGCTCAGTATTATATAATAGTCAAAGCTTTTTTTTTTTTTTAAAGGATTTAAAGATTTATTTATCTGAAAGCCACTGTTACAGAGAGAGAGAGATCTTCCAGCTCTGGATCCCACATGCACACATCTTGGGGCTTTGTACCCATGTGGCCAGTGAGTTTCCACTATGATCCCATGTGACCACTCACAGGGACTCCTGTGGCCATTGGCCTCTCTTGTTAGGCTCCCAGTCCATGAGATCCTGGTGCACGCTTAGTCTGGCTTCCTGAGCACATCCATGGAGGGTGGTAGATGTGGCCGACCCTGCTGTTCGCCACAGCTGGAGCCTGATGCAGCAGGGCACTCGCCAGGCACACCTGGAGGGAAGGTAGGGCTGCCCTGGCCCACAGACACCATGCTGTGGGTGGGGTACTCCCTGACCAGCTAGGACCGGACACTGCCAGGCCGGTTCTGCTGGACTTGATAAGAGCAGGCAGTAGCCCATCCCTGTGAAGTGGCCTGGCAACCTGCTGCTTTGTGGGAGGTACAGGGTCTTTCCAGCCTCCTCTCTGACTGCTGTCTTCAGGTCTGATGCGGGCAGGTGTCTGCCGGCTCCTCAGAGAGGTGAGGGAAGGCCCCCACCCACCCTGGGGTCACTGCCTTGCCTGTCCCAGGAAGTTGGCCTCCCTGACCAGACTTAGCTGCTAAGAGTGGGTAGAGATGTGGCAGCAGGAACAGTCGTGTGCTGTGGGGTGGGTAGGAAGCCAGCAATGGGTGGGAAAGCAGTGGCCATGAGCACGGGCGGCCACGTGGGATAGTTGACGGGCACGGTGTAGTTTGGGCTGGCCTGCGCAGGAGCTGAGGATGAGTAGTGGTGGTGGTGGTGGTGCACCGGGGGCAGCTTGGGTTTCTCAGCCCGAAGGGCAGCTGGATGTGTCCCCTGCAGTCAAGAACAGAGCACACGCCTGGCTTAGCCATGGTTTTTGTCATCAGAGCTCCAAAAATGACCCCACTCCCTGTGCTTCCTGCTGCCTGAGAGTGGTCCCAACATGAGCAGCAGGCTGGAGGTGATGGGCCAGGCCCTCAACAGAGTTCAAGGCCTCAACTGTCTGGGGAGTGCTGGGGGCTTCACAATTGAGCCAAGGAACCAGAGCTGGAAATGCTGTGTCAGAGCCACAGAGAGGCAGATACTTGTAGAACAGAAGCCACCCGGGCCCCCTGAGGGTGTCATGAGGGCCCCCCTTGAGTAGCCTACCTGGGGTGCCAGGGGCAGGGCTCTGAGCATCATACTCTGCAGCAGCACCTGGTGCATCTGCGCACTCTGCAGCAGCATCACCTCCACCATGTCTGAGGGGAGACAAGCCCGTCAGTTCCACTATGTCTTTGAGGAGACAGGCCTAACATTTCATCAAGTCTGAAGGGAGACAGGCCCATCAGCCCTACCAAGTTTGAGAGGAGACAGACCCCTCGCCTCCACCAGGTCTGAGACAGGCCGTCACATCCACCAGGTCTGAGAGGAGACGGGCCCCTCACCTCCACCAGGTCTGACAGGAGACGGGCCCCTCACCTCCACCAGGTCTGACAGGAGACAGGCCCATCACCTCCACCAGGTCTGAGACAGGTTCATCACTTTAACCATGTCAGAGAAGAAATGAACTCATGCTTTGTGCCCCATAAGCTCCAGAGAGTATCTGTCACAAGGACCCACATGTAGGCCCTTGGGGGTGTATGAGAGGAGGAGCTGCTAGGTCAGGCAGCTTCCCCAAGATGATGCTCTTGCCCTGCTTCCAAATCCTGGGGCTACATGGTGATCAAGGACTTTATGTCCAAATCTCCTAATCTCATGGACAGTGACCTTTCTGGAGAGTCTGTGCCAATGTACTTGGGATCAGAAGATGACTGGCTTCTCCAGGGGGACCCTAAACCAAGTGTTATGTTTCTGCAGAAGTAGCCAAGACAGATGGGAAAGTGGAAACTCAGACAAGGGAAAGGCCAAGGCTGGAGCCCTGTGAGTACCACCCAGCTAGGGAAACCAGAGGGAACCTTCCCTGGGAGCCCAGGGCCATGAGGAGATGCCCTCTGGCTGCTTGGAACCATGCAGCTGGTGGTACTCAGTGACCTCAAGCACGGGAACCTATATACCTGCCAGCCCCATACCACAAAACATTGTCACTTTGGGTCATGTGATGGGCTGGTGCTTTCTGCAGCCTGGAAATGACATAGCCCCAAGGTCAACCTGGGACTACAGTCCTTGGCCCAATGCCCACAAGGCAAGTCCTGCTGACACTACAGTCCCCAGAGTCAGAAGCACAGGGCAGAGGGGTCTCTGCAGCAATACAGCTGCATGCCGCCTCACGGCCTCACCTCAGCAGAGACCCTGGAAGAGCCACACAGAGCACAGTGGCCAGCCTGGGCCTCAGACAGGAATCTGTACCCAAGTCAGCCCTTGGGATTCCCTCCAGGAAAATCCATTATGAGCAGCCCAAAACAGCAGCG